ACGTCGATTCGAGCCCAATGTGGCGTTGGTGTGCAACCTTGGGGGGATTTGCAGTAGGGGAGGTATGTAGGCTAATCAAGGACGAAACAGACCCCTGAGATATATTCAAGATCAAACGAAAAAGGGTATAGGTGGTTTTAATGGAGGTTTTCGTGTTTCACAATGTTTGGTCTTATTTTCTCGAAATTTGAAACGGAAAAAGGCCCCCATCGAAAAAAAGAACTAGGAAAACAAGAGGCTGGGGTTATGAAATAGCGGTGGCTGAACGGCCTGGAGCTCTCTCCACCTCGATCCACCAACTTCCTTTTCAAATTAATTATAGCTTTGCCTCCCACTAGACTTCTTTCGAGTTTGATACCGTCATCGCCTATTTTCCCGCTCCCGCTGTGCATGGTTTCAGCTGCACGAGGATCTGCGTCATTGCACGTTTTCTGCAAACTCCCAGCGTCATGGCTCCCAGCCTGAAGCATTTATCCAATGCCCTGGCAACGCCCGACCAACTGTCGAACTCCTCATCGTCAATCGACAATGTCCCATCTGATCTCGAAGCCTCCATTCGTTGCGCTGGCGCCCAGCTGACTCAAACTGCCGGGATCCTCCTACATCTATCGCAAGATATAATTGCCCAGGCGGTCGTAATCTTCACGCGTTTTTGGCTTGGCGCTGACGGAGGTAGCCTACGGATCTACTCGGTCAAGGTAAGACCAACTCCAGGAGCTCTGAATCTTTTTTTTTCTTCTAATCCACTAATCGGAGCAGGATGTATCCGCCGCTGCCTTGTACCTGACAGCTAAGCTTTCCTTTCAACCAACCTCGCCACGCTCCGTCCTCAACGTCTATACATTCCTCCTATCACAAGATGCATCACCCTTGTGGTTTGTACGGCAGGGCGGGGCTCCTGATACCCCTCCATCCCCTGAAACATATATCCTGTCCGAGGGAGGTTACCAATCCGCCCGACTAGTCCTCCTCCGCACCGAAACAATTATCCTCCGTACTCTCGGCTTTGATACACATGTCGCTCTACCGCATACCATCGCCTTGACATACCTTCAAACTTTAGGTGTGGCAAAGCCCGCTGTGGCTCAACGGGTCATCCAGCACCTTAATGCGGCACTACTCTCACCCCAGCTCCTTTATGTCACTCACCAACCAAATGCCCTGGCTGTGGCTGCCATCTACCTCGCTTCACGCGAGGAGGAGGTCAAGCTTGTGGATGGCGAGTGGTGGGAAGTCTTTGATGTCGACCGTGAAGAGCTGGGCTTTTTGGTTGTAGGCATGAATAGTGCAGAAGGCTTTATGCGGGCGGAGGTCAGTCGGTGGAAGAACAAAGCTATTCCTATTCCCATGGTAGTGGATGAAGTAGATGCCGAAATTGAGCGACGGCGAATGATGCAGGAGGGGGAATGAACGTGCTTGGGATTTTGCTAAGAACATCAGATTTCAAGATCCAAGGTTTACTAGGAAGGATGTTCTAGTAGAAGCTAGCAAGCTATCTACTGAATCCTCTACTGCAGGACGACAGGAATCCTCCTTATCGACAGAAAGTCTCGTTACGAGAAGGCCTGCGAGATCCTGCTCCACCCAGAAGGGATTCCAACGACGCCCAACACTGAACGGCCTCGTCTCGGTGAATATGGTCGAACATGGGGCAGAAAATTAGCTGTTTCCACAGTTTTGTATATCGCCAGGAAACTCTGCGGCCTGTCAAACTGTAACTGTATGTTACATACCACATTTTCTATCGTCGCCATAACAATCAAAGTAGATGTGTGAACGCTATTCCCAAAATTCAACTCACCAAAATAGCTAGGTAAATGGCTGATTATAACTGAGTGGCATAACTGTTTCCATGCTTACGAGCGACTAAGTATGCCACCCGACACAACTATTTTATTGGTTATTACCTCAATGACCACCTTAAAACATCTATGGGCATAGATTCGTACACCAATGTCAATCTATATAGTAACAAGAGTAGACAGCCGCTCGTATGGTCTTTTCAGTGGTCTTCTAATCAGGCTTCTTAAATATTCTTTTTAAATATCTTAAGATTGTTTCCCCCGTTCTATTCTTGTATGTAGATAATAGAAGAAAGCGGGAAGAAGTATACTTCATATATACAAGGCTCTTCTTATATATAAACCCCATAACTTTATCTCCAGTCGGCCTTTTCGAAAAATAGACCACTACAACGCTTGAGACTAAAGCAAAAGAGTTTGTATCAGTCCTCGCACGTTATAGAGGCTTCGACTCCGGCTTAATATTCGTCGTCGCGTATCATTATTCAATTGACCTTATAATCTAGGTATTGAGATGTCCTTATACTTCAATATCTAACAACTACGAAATCGGTTTTGACAAAGTGAGAGTGGATCTAAAATATTCACATAGATCAATGGGAAATTTCGAAGTGCCAAATGGCATACATACTTAGTCGCCCGTGCTGGACGAGTACGATGGTATCATCCGAACACGACAATTGGATTCGTATCGAGGTTGATTTTAGAGTAGGATTTCCATTAAAAAAATGACACGAGCCTCTGGCGTGTCACCAGCCCTGGGATAATGTCTCAATGTAGGAATTGTTTAGATATGACGATGGCGTTTGCTATCCTTCTACAGGGGCAAAAATCCTAATTTTTCATATGGAATACAGAACACTTCATGTATCCACACAATTTATTCTCTTCTACTCAGTGTAAACATATACTTGGAAAGGAATGGAAGGACATGGAGCTAGAGCAGTTCGTTAGGTGAAGTCACTAGAAGCGGAGGTGAGTCGCGTTTTCATACGGAGGCCTACCTTTCGTATATGCATATATCTGTACAATAACATTCAATGAATAGCACTGCACGCTATTTCTACTTCCAGAACCCCTTCTAGGCATCCATATAGAAGGTTATGGCTTTGAGGTATACGGGTCTTCGGTCATAGATCAAGATGAGAAGGAACAACTACTGTTTCATTAGATAGTGTGATATTTTGATATAGTGTACATGTCTTTTTCGCCTTGGTTAAGACTCCTTATGGAATATATATCTTTCTATCATTCTGGCTAAACAAGTCACGTCCTGATATACAAAGGTACTATCACGTGCAATGTTCAGAATGACGCTCACCCATGGACGCGGGGCGGATCATGTGCTCCACCGCTTATCATTTACTTCCTCCCCACCGCTTCGTTTGTATCTCTTTCTTCACCCTCACCTGTGAAACACGATGAATATTTTACACTCTACACTGTCGACATGGCGGGACCGCCTAGCCCCGGTCTCGCGCACTTCCACCTTCCGCAACACCGGCCAAATCACCCCAGAGGAGTTTGTTCTCGCCGGAGATTATCTAGTTTACAAGTTTCCCACATGGTCATGGGCCGACGCATCAAGTCCGGCAAAGCGTGTAGCCTACCTTCCAGATGGCAAACAGTTCTTGGTCACTCGCGGTGTACCATGTCACCGACGACTGAATGACAACTTTGCCGGAGATGCAGGGCTCGAGGATGAGATCGTGAGAGATTATCTCTCGGGTGGTGATGGCGGCGAAAACACAGCAGCTGATGATGGAGGGGACGGGTGGTTGCGGACTGGCGGGGGCCGTGACGCTGGTGCGGACCGTGATAAGCAAGAAGCTCGGATCCGCGACGTGCGAACCGTTGATGAATCTGGCAATCTGGGCGAGCAGGAGGATGACGATGATATCCCCGATATGGAGGATGAAGACGATGATGAGGAAGCCATCATCCGAGAAACAGATGATCAGTCAGGCACACAGTAAGTTCTATTTTCTTATCTTCAACTTCGCTTTTCTCTCTTTTCTAACTTGTTGCTGCTCTAGATCCCTCCGCACATATACTCTCTACATCACCTACTCAAACTTCTACCGCACACCCCGGCTCTACCTTTCCGGCTATTTATCCCCATCCGAACCGCTCCCGCCACATCTGATGATGGAGGATATCGTCGGTGACTATAAAGATAAGACCGTGACGCTAGAGGACTTCCCATGGTTTGAGGGCAGTGTCAAGATGGCCAGTGTACACCCATGTCGCCATGCGTCTGTGATGAAGACACTTTTGGACCGTGCCGATGCCGCCCTCAAGCTTCGCCGTGACAAGCTCAAGCAGACACAGTCTCGCGAGGAAGCGAATCGTGTTCTCCGAGCAGACGGCGGGTTGGAGGGCTTGGTGGATGGAACGCAGAATCTGTCGCTTGGGGACTCCCACCATGCACAGCCTGGCGGGGACGAGTGGGAAATGCTGCAACATGATGAGGAAGAACAGGTCGCCATTCGGGTAGACCAGTACTTGGTTGTGTTCCTTAAGTTTATTGCCAGTGTGACACCGGGCATTGAGCACGACTTTACAATGGGAGTATAGTTTCTTTGGATTGGATTTAGAGTCATCCTATCCCATCCTCAATTTCCAGGCAGCTATACTCAGCCAAATCAGATTGGCTAACGGCTGGGATCTGGCAGCTTGCTCCCTTGTTCTCAAATCTCGAAATGTGATATGCATGACACGACATGGATTTGGCGTTAATATGTTTCTGGGGGCGCGAATAATTTCCCTTCCCCTTTTCGTGGGTTGCTTTTGCTGTGTATTATCTTCGCTAGCTTTCGGGATTTTCCATGGAAATCTACCATAATCTTTAAAAAAATCGAGAGTAGACTTGTTGCATCGCGAGGTCATAACATAGCCCCTTGCGTTGGAGTAAGACCACGGGGGATCACCGAGTTCACTGTGTTGAAGGTTGCTTTGTACTAGTCTTGCGCCCGATTGACGAGGTATAAGTGTAGAGATGGTTCTCCAGATACGAAAATACGTTGCTAATACCAAGAGAGTAAGGAAGAAAAATTTGGTGTGTGATATATCATTCCCAAAGCTGCGCAGGGCGGCTTCGGTTGCTTCGTTCCGAACAGGTTCCCTCACCTCCTTACACACGTTGCATGAAACAGACTCAGCTTGTTTTCTTCCTTCGAAACAAAATAGCTTCAAACGATGGACCCTGTCAGGGAATCCATCAAGCAGGTTGATGAAAACACATGGCTTATCGGTGCCCTCATTCTCCATCGTTGCAACGGATATTCTGATACCGCGACGTGGTACGATCAGGGTGCGTATTCGAGTTATACTCTCTCTGATGCGCCCAATCCTTCGCCTCCATTCGTGCCCTTACCTGCGGACCACCCAACCATTGTGCTTGTCTACGACGCCGGGGACTCCTCGGCTGTCTGGTCATTAGGGAACAGTGCTTTTTGCAAGGTCAAATTGCGAGTCAAAGATACAACGCGAGAAGCTACAACTCTAGAATTTGTGCAGAAACAAAAACCCACCTTTGAGATCCCTAGGATTTTACACACAGCGGAATATAACGATCGTTCCTACCTTTTCCTTAGTAGGGTCCCAGGCCGCACGCTTTCCGATGCCTGGCCCACTCTAGACGACCATTGGAAACATCATTACGTGAATTCTGTGGTGAAGATTTGTCAATCTCTTGAGGGCTGGAAAGGTGATATGCTAGGAGGCGTGGATGGCAAATATATACCCGAGCAGTATCTCGTTAAGTACGGGGCCGATTACAACTATCAGCCTGAGATACTCCAACAAGCGTGTGAATTGATGGGTATGGACTGCTCCGAATTTGTATTTTACCATTCGGATCTTGGACCGGGTAATATCATTGTGGAGGACGTTCCGGAAACTGGGTCTGTTGGAATCATCGACTGGGAGGCTGCCGGGTACTTTCCTAGGGGATGGATCCGAACGAAGTTCCGAATAAGCAGTGGTTTGGATCTGCCTAGTTCGGTGACAGATGTGCATTGGTGGCGATGGGAAGTTCAGAAGTCACTTGGGGAACATGGGTTCGAGGACTATTCAAAGAAATGGCAGTCTTGGTGGTATTGAGGCCCAGAATACATACTCATACTGTTGCATCACGTATATGTTGGTGTGAAGCACTGAAGACCCTTCGGTGGGCATAGATCCGGCGGGTACAACCCTCAAATGCTTCTAGTAATATTATGATAGCCATGCTCAGCCCCGATTCCAAGACCTTGTATGCACGAAAGGAGTCAAGAGTCAACAAAGGAGGGAAATTTAGTATGATTAAAAGTTTGTACGGAAACAAGGTGTTCAAGAGACAAATGTGGCGAGGAATCACTTTCAATTATGATGAAAAGAGAAAAAGGCCGCTTCTACGGCCTGGTGATGTCTCCAGGGCTCTTGAGTAGTCTTTTCGGTCTTTACAACAAACTTCCCGTATACTCTTCTTAGATCTATTGAAGATGGTTTCGGTCCCTTTTTAGTCTTATAGGTAGACAAGGCAGTAGGAAAAGGCAGGGGAAAAGCGCATTTTGCTTTGATTTGAACCCTGTAAGCCGATGCGTGGGGGTACATTTGGAGGTCGATGCTGCGATAAACAACAAGTCTGCCATTCAATTAAAGATACACATACCCTCGGAGTATTTATCTTGCTCCCCTGTTGTCGATTTGCCTGCCCTCTCGTAGGGTGACCGAATTCGCAGCATCGACTTCCCATATATATATTAAGTTAGGGTTGTCCACCAAGACATCCATCCCGTTCCGGGGTCTTGATAATATCTCTGTACGTAGTTTACCCTTTGCATTTGAAGGTGCAATAATTTTCTATAATGTGCCTTCATTAGACATGCAGTTACAATTTAGAATGGTCTGATATGCGTATAATGATCTCGGTTCCATCCTAGTCAGAAACTCAGTCTTAGCATACCGTTATTCGTACGTAGATAGTGTTGTCAACAAAGCTAACGAGTACATACAGAACACTAGATGCGTTTGATGGTATCCGAGGTGTATTGATATCAATAGAGACATGACGAGAGAGGACACTACATGATCTACGAGCATTGGAGAATCTGTAATATCCCAGAGCAATATATTCGGGACTAAGAGCAATAACATTAAAATCACAAGGACGATAAACAGCAAAACATGAGTACGCCGAATACACAAAAGCACGCGCGGACTGCCAAAATGAATAACCATCTGCAACAGTAGCTAGAGCCAGACAAAGTAAGCGATAACAATCGGCCCTCGTGAGCGAGCACAGAAGATACAGGTAGTCTGGGGGTGAGTACACCGGCCGGTAGAGACAACATTGTGAAAAAGGTAGACAGGGAATAATATAGGTGTGGAAAGCAAGAGATACACTGGTCCAATTCATCATTAGATAGATCACCCACGCCAATAAGAGGTGGATGATCTATCCGGTTCGTTTTCGCCATTTTTCATCGTATTCAGTAAATGTAGAATGTGGAACGGGGCTTTTACTGGAAGAAAGCCAGCACGACGAGAGGAGCAAGTGCGAGGACTGATCCGGGAACCAGGGGTGAGCCAGCGTTGAAGACAGGCTTGGATGCAATGGCAGAAGGAGAGGCCGATGCGGTGGGTGCGGCCTGGTGGATCAGAGGAGTGGAGTACATGCTGGAGACAGCGGGTGCCCATGCGGCTGGGGCGGTGGTGAGGGGGACTGAGATTGGCGTGGTGAAGGTGGGAGGAAGGATGGCAGTGATGGCAGTCCAGTTAGGAGTAACACTCTCCGTGGCAGCGTTGGCGGTGGTAGTAGGCACAGCAACAATAGCAGGAGGACTGGGAGTAGTGAAAGGCACGACAACTGGGACAGGAAGGCTGGGGGTAGTGACAGGCACGTCAACTGACGCAGGGGGCTCAGGGCACGGGTAGTCGTCTTCGTGGTGGTGCACGCCATTGCCGAGGCTGCCACTGGGACCGCCGGGGATACTACCGGACATACCAGCGCCGGCAATGAAGTCATCACCTGAGCCAGGGCCGCAGGGTCCGCGGTGGATATCGTGGAACCCGGCGCCTAGATTTCCCCAGGGACCGCCAGGGATATGGCCATTGATGCCGCTGCCAGCGGAGGTCTCGCTGTTGCCCGGCTCCTCGCTGTTGGTTTCGGGGCTGGGGTTCATGATCTCGGGGAATGGGAGAGCAGGCAGCTGGGGAGCAGAGAGGACGCTAGCGGGACCGAGAGCAAGGACAAGGCACATGAGGCCGGAGAAGTTGATAGTAGTGGAGACCATTGTTGCGGTAGTTACTGACGTGTTGTTTGTTTGGAAAAGAGGAAGACAGAAGATGTTGCTGATTAAATGAAACCGAAGATAGAGAATATTAAGTAAATGTATCACTGAAAGAGCGTTGGAATAAAGACAGAAGAGCGAACGACCGGAGACTGTGATGAATGAAAAGCAGAGGAGATGTGAACAGCGATCCTTATGTACCTTTTGGCACCCCTACGAAGTATACACTCGGGGAGTATTGTGGAGAGCCAAGGGCACTGTCCAGGACCAGATAGGAACATATGAGGATATTTATGCAAGGCACAAACTGGTCCCTGGTTGCACTCATCTAAAAAAAAGCCACAAGGGCAGTGATCTGCAAGGCACAAAGTCAACAGCAGGTGTTGCGAAAGAACCTCTTAGGGATGTCAGGTCTTTGGGGGTCTGGAACAAAGTAATTAGTGGAAATTAGGGTACCCAAGCAACATGGTTTGATAGTGTGAGCTGCAGCTCTACTGAGAGACCAGATGTACCCTGAGCCACCAGCGTGAAGCGTATGCACGAGCCTGGCCCCAAACCTCCGAGCCGTCGTAGCTCAGCTTGGACAGGATTTGCGGACTCTTTCCTTGTATTGAACGCACATGAAGTACTTTGGAGCATAGGAACACACGTGTGGCTGAATGTGGAAGAAAGGTTGTAGAAATGCAAGGGATCTTAGCCAATAAGACCCAGAGACACTAATATCCCTCTTTACAAAAGCCTTTCGAAGGAACCAGTCAGGATATTGGATTGAAATAGAATGCATGTACATCCCACGCAAGGAACTCCAACACAGGAGAGTCTAAGTGGAACTCGCTTGGGCTGTTACTAGGGCTATTGCCTGTCAAGTCAAGTAGAAACCCCGAGAAGCGAAGACTGGCGCCAACGGAACCCGAAACAAATGAAACAAATGAGGTTTTATTGCACATATCAGCATAGATCATAATCTCGTAAGGTATTTCGCCAAAAGGGAGAGAGAAGACAAAAAAGGCTACGACATCCAAAGCATATGCTCCGCAAGGGAAAACATTAAAAAATCCACAATAGACATAATAGGATTTATCGCACATAAATCACAAAGATACAAGCATAGATATAGATGATGGGGAATATATGTTTCCTCAGACTCGACCCGGGTCCGATTCTCCAAATGCAGTGCCAAAGTTGGTGGATTTCTTGAATTTCATTTCAGGTTCCTTCTCGTCTTGGCGAGGGAACTCAGACTCAGAATCACTCTCATTGGGATCCGCCGATTCGACCGAGTTGCCCAGAATATTTTTTGCTTGATCAAGGAGTTTCTGATCCAATTCGTTCAAAAAATTGGAGTCGTGCTCCTCATCATTAATCAGACCGAGGGGCCCCTTGAGAGCGGGGTCTTCAGGCACATCCGGAAAGTAGGAGGCCTTATTTTCAGAGGGCTGATGAACGTTCGTCGGCACTGGAGACAGAGGGCCCTCCTCGATCTGGGAGGGAATCTCGCTGGGAGACCCATCCTGGGTGGACCGTCGACTATCATCACCTTCGATGATCGCCATCGGGGTGTGACCTGCATGGCGAAGCAAGTTCTCGTTTGGTGGACCGAGCTCCGACAGTTTCAATTTGAAACTGTTTCGGTGTTCCATGCTAGGCCTTACAGCGGTTGAAGGGGCAGTCCCAGGGGAGGTCAGGGGCGATGGTGAGGGCGGGGTGATCACTCGAGCTACCACAGCAGGTGGCAACGCCGTGGACTTGAGCGTGATACCATCTAGAGTGCTGTCAAGCTTTTCGATCGGCACCGGCAGACTCACAGGCCCTCCAGAAGCGGCTACTGGTTGCGACTGGGGTGAAAGGGCTTGATCAAGGGATGGCAAATTCAGTCCACTTTCAGAAATTGGCGATAGATAGCTTTGATCTGGAGATTCATGATCCAAGAACACCCTTGTCGGCCGAGTTCCTGGACTCGTCCCCTCCCACACCTGAGCAGCTGCGAAGCCATTTGTATTATACTGCGATACTCCGCCGGCAAGCACAAGTTTGGCTGCTTCTGGTCCTAATTGATTTGTTTTATTCCCCCGACTCTTCACAAGTACCTCCAGCTCGGTGATTTTCGATCGCAATAGCGCCCGCTCTTTCTCCCACAATTGTCGCTCCTGCGCAAACAATGCCCTCTCCGTCTCGAAGTTTACTCGCTGGCTTTGTAGAAGGGCTCGCGATTGATCGATATAGGAGGTATCCATGGCGAACGAGTTCACTAAGGCGGAGTCTTGGATCGCGGTTCGGCCGTAGCCTGAAATGGCAGGAGGAAATGTGGCTGAAACAGATTTTGTGCGACGGATAGGTGCTTCAGTTGGAGAGAAGCGTACCTCTTTGTAGAGACTTCCGTGACCGTCTAGTACGTTGGTAGGCTTCATGTCTGAAATTTGTGTTGTTTTCTCACGATAATGAGCACAAATCGGCAGATAAGGATATATTAGGGGACGCCGGTGATAGCAATACGATAGTCACGATAGTGCCCAACCTGCAAAGCTTTGGCTTTCCACGTCGAGACCAGTAGACCAGTGGAGTTCTTAGAGGCGGTCAATGAGCTCAAGGCACTTCTATTGAGTGCCAGGATTTCATGCGAGCTTCCCAATATGGCGCATGTCAAGCCTCGGGATGGATAGGTGCAGGTTAGGCAGTTATAGTATTTGGGTACCGTTCAGGTACGAAAAACGAGAGAAAGTGTAAAGAACGAAGTTGTTATATGGTCTGAAATATACGAAGTCCGGGGAAAGGAGGGTTACATAGGGAAAATACCAAAAGAAATTCTGTGAGCGTGTCTGATCACAGCGTATGACGTCAAAAGGGTTCTACCAGGAAATCCCATTAATAAGATGATGTACGTTGTAATCTCTGATCTTCTTTTGAGAATATCTATTAGAATACTACCTAATACTGTATAGAAACAAAACGCAATATATCTGGAGATGTCTAGAACTTCACTCTATGCTGAATTAGTGGAATAAATAAGAATGGAGAGAGAGAGAACACCGGGAACACCCTAGTTCCGCCATTTACGCCAAAGATGTGCACCTGCAGTTGACTGGTATAGTCGGCGCTCGGACGTTATGACACAGAAGCTAGCCTGTCAGAACAAACCCCAAGTCAAATCAGAATAGCTGTCCGCAACGCTGAAAGATACATATGACCAAAAAAAAAAGGAACATGGAAAAGTTGGCAAACGATAAAACCTCAACAAACAGATGAGGCGGGCCGAAGCCGGCTTGGCGTAACCAGTTTCGTCTGGAAATCCAAGGACCAAGCAGAACATCCCTTGATCGATCGATCATCGAGCGGTCTCAGCGGCAGACAACTCCGCCAAACAAACTGTCGAGCCTCATCAAGCAGATGGTGATCACCATTCGGCAGCGGATAGAAGCTCACATCTTTGCACAAGGCACCGAACCGAGTAGCGAGATCGAACACCCCTCGGGCCGTAAGATCCCTACCACCCACGTTCGCAGACGGATAATAGTAGCGTGGATCGAGATAAAGCAACACACTATTCCAGTGTGGAAGTTTCTCAGATAAAAGTCGTGCCGCGGCCTCGTATTGCTTCAGCGTGCGCTTCGGCACGCCAGTCTGCGTGTGCACAAAGAAGAATACCTCGAAGCCGACGCTGCGGATGCGGGTGCGGGCGGTTGCGCTGAGGGTGTCAAGGAAGTCCGCTAGTCGGTCGAGATTGAAGGAGTTACGGAGGAAGAGGGTGTGTGTTGAGTAGAGATAGTCTTCGGCTTCATCGTGGAGTTGGCGGTTCACTGCTAGTAACTTGCGTGCGGTGCCATCTTCACCCACCCAGTGAGGGCTCATTGATAATGCTCGGTATTGGCCACGGGCTGTGAAGGTATTGCCATGATCACCTAGCACGATCATCGGTTTGCTGACTAGGTACTCGTTTGGTACAACTAGTGCATACTCGTAGATCTTGAGACGGAGTTCGGCTGGGAGTTGAAGGAGCCGTGATTGTGATATTGACGTGCGAGCAACGTTCGGTTTCATATTTGCATTATAAGAGCAACGATGGAAATTCGAGCTTCGAAATGGGGCTATTAGATTATTGGAATTATGTTTTTTAAGGCAGTGGTACCACTCGGGTGTATATCCTGTAGATGTGTCGCCACCGTCAGAATTTTTCAATTGGAAACGGAAAATGTCAATGCTGAACAAAAATAGAAGTAAACAACGCACATAAATGCAAAGCATCACACGATGTCGACCCACTCGATATGAAGGAGTATCTGCTAATCGCGACTCCTTATATCACGGCGCATATACTTCACCGCATGTTACTAAAGATCGGCAATTCTTCACTGTCATGAAGTCATATCACACCAAAACTCCCCTAATTACCCGTTCCTGGATCATTTCATGGATAATTAGAGTTAAAGTGATCTGATTCGACAATCTATAAATTGTATACTACCCTTCTGAGTGACCCACGTATTAGTGGATCTGTAGGATGGAAGCTATTCAATTCCAACACGGAGACGTCATGTATCTAGACAAGCTTATCCAGGCTTTCCTTCTTTCCCTGTTCCATCACAGGCATTTGCTAACGAGAAAAGGAATAGAGTAGGGAGAATCTACTGGTAAATGAAACGTATGAGCCCCTGACAAGCTTTTCTGGGCAGGAGAGAGTGCCCGGTTCATCAGCCCAAGGACTACTCCATATACTGGAGCTGATTGCATGATCCGATTCAAGGGAAAAAAAGGTCAAGTCTTCAAAAATGCAAGATGCAATATATTCCCACGGAAAACTGTCCGAAAATAGTGGGAGCAACCAAGACCTGCACCTAATCATCGCTGTCTATAAACACCCAACGACCAAGCTGCTCGGAGAACAGCCAGACCCCAAGCCATGCCGATACTATCTCGTAAGACATTCAGTTTGCTACCCTTGACCTCTCTCCATCCCACCGGCACTTCGGCAACAGGGATCCGAGCGAACTCAGCCAGCATGAGCATTTCAACATCGAAGATCCAGCCTTCGGAATGCATGTACGGCACAATATAAGGCAGCGCACTGCGGGAGAACAGCTTAAACCCACACTGCGTATCCTTGACAGTAGCTGTTTTAGGGGGTGTCATGAGCCATAGAATCAAATGGAACGAGTGCATCAAGAAATTTCGAAGTTTAGAACGCTATCGAGCAATCAGTAATCGACCTCGCAAGCATCTCATCGTCCATAAAGCAGATATCATACCTTCACAACAGCCTCGCTCCCAACCATATGCGCCCGTGACCCAACAGCAACTGCCCGCCCGTTTGCATCTTCTACATCCCGACAAGCCCCAACGAGCTTACCCAGATCGTCGAACTTGCTCGCCCCGTCCGCATCTGCAAAGACAACATACTGCCCGCGGACATGGCGCATCCCGTGCGTGACCGCACCGCCCTTGCCGCGGTTATGTGTCAAATTCACCACGCGGATCGTGCCAGGCGGGATATGGACGCCCTCAGCAGCCTGCGGTGTCCACGGACCCGCGTGTCCCTTGGGATGCAGAGAAAGCTGGTGGTCGCGCGCAAACCTAAAAGCCACTTCCTCCGTGCGGTCTGTCGACCCGTCCGAAACGAGGATGATCTCCCAGCCGCGATCCGAGGCCGAGCCCGCGGGGTCACTGGTGGTATCCCCGTTCGGCTTGCGTTTGCGCATTGAGCGCGTCTCCATTGCGCCTGGGCTGCTGGCTCGGGCGATAGCACTAGCCGTATCCCCGTACATGTGCTCTAGGTAGTTGACGGCTTCTTCCAGCATGCCAGTCAACCGGTCTTCCTCGTTGTAGGCTGGTACCACGACGGACATGAATAGCTCGGCGGGTGCTATCGTGTGGGTTGTGGTGTTTTTGGAGGTGGTCTTTTTGGTGTCTAGGCTTTCAAGCCAGCAGGGTAAGGATTCGGGATCTGTTACGGATCCATCTTTGGCGAGTGTTCTATACTTCTTTTCTTCTGGTAGGGATTCTCGTGGGACTGGCGCAACGAAAAATATGAATAATGAAAACTATATCATTGCAAAAAGAATTGACAAGTCAATAAATTGCAATTGGGCCCACACGTGTCCGGAGTGCCAACCGCGCGATCTGGCTGGTACAAGCGGAGTGGGGGAAACGTGGACTCACTAGAACAAATAGGCCCAGTAAACTGGCTAGGGCAGCAATGAGTAAGATCTGGACTGGGATTTCCACCGCAGTATTGACGCATTGGCGACAGACCTGGGCCCAAGCTGCCGCCATTGTGGAAAGTGACGAGCTGGACGTCAGACGCGGAGACGGAGATGCGGAATGGGGGGAAGACGTGAGTGATGCCCGAAGGGAGAAGGCAAGCACTAAGTCCAAGAGAGAGATTTTTTACTCATAGAGGTACGGCAAAGTGATCTTCGCCATTTGAAGAGGGAGAGGCCGAGAGGGGGAGGAATGTAAGTTGATAATCGCCAGCTTGGCCTTTTATCGGCAACGCGCAAGCCGATAATGGATCCAATCCACATCCGGGAGCCACGGTTCGTAGACACTATATTGTACTATATTTTACTATACTTCACTATATGTTATTATAGCATGATTAGTCTGATTTATATTATAATCTATGTTATTCCTATATTAAACCATTTACCTTCCCATGTCCACGTCTACCTTGAATCCCATAGATCAGCCCCTTAGACATTGTCTCATACAAGAGACATGCGCTTTCAAAATCGTCATCGACGGAAAAAGCTGTATTACTGTCTCTAGCAAAAGACAGCAAAGGAAATCGGCTCAAAGAGAATGGGACTGGCCCAAAAATGCTTTGCTGGCCAGCCTATCATCCACAGTCTATAAAATCGAAGATAGACAACTTTGTAAGTAATGGACAAAGGGTTATGGAGAAGCAGAGAGCCTTGGAAGTTAATGACGAAGAACAAGGGGTAGTATGTATGTATATATCCATATACTATCCGCGAGCACTTTCCAAATAGGAAGTGACTGACACTGAAAGCTTCCACATCCGGTTTGTTTAGATGCTTTCCTCTCGTCATTTCGTTTGTCCTTCATCCTAGTACTTTGCTTCACTAATTTTCTGTCCTTTGTTATTCTCGCAACAACCTTTCGTCCAACTAGCAATTTTAAAACAGCCCATCGATAAGTCAAGGATGACTTATTTCTGATAGCCTCAATTGTGCCCTTCTGGCATAGAAGAAGTATGGTATGCAATGGCTCGGGCCCAAAGCACGACTGAATCAGGATTCTCGGGTTCCAAAAAGACAGACCAACTCATTATGGAATAGGCTTGCGAAAGTTCCAAATCATTATGGAACCATATGGATAGAATCGAGAGCATTTCCGGGACAGGCTAAGTTCCCATAGATCCATGGCAACCGATGCGATGTTCCTTGGAGATCCCAAACAGTCCAGTCCTTGGAAAAAGGTCCAGGCCGGGGCAGGCCTTCCAGGATGGGTCCAAAAGGAGCATCTGGTAGCTGATATCTGTCGTGTAGTCGTGGCGACTCATGAATTTCCTGTCTGGTAATAACGAAAGAAAAAGATCCACTCTCTGGCTTCGTGTACGGAAAGGGTCCAAAGGAATAAATCGCGCTCAACAAGGCTAGCGCACCGATTCGAACAAGAAACAAAAGAGAAATCCCCAGGATTTTACCAGCTCGTAAGTGATCACCGTCAAGACGCACAGCCTTCGCCGCAACGAAGCCACCAACAGAGCCAGCAGTCACCCAACCATGTTTTCAAGCTTCCTGCATCTCCTCGTCGAATGATAATGTCCCAGTCCCTACCAGATGAGGATTACCATGGAGATACACGGGGGATTCAGCTATCGGCGCAAATTCTTCTGCTAATCTAGTGGGCGTGAAACGCCGTGTCTGGTCGTAGGTTATCCAGCGGGTGTACTGGTAAGAGATGTATGGTCAGTTTGAAATGCGCTCTTAGGAACATAACAGAAGGGGATACAGACAGTTGCGATGCGTACTCCAAGCCACAGACATCGATGTCTTCTGGGTATCACTGTCGAATGTTCTTCTGTTGATGGTCTTTCGTCTTCTGTAGGAGCCCCCTCAAAGAATCTTTCTGGGTAATAAAGCCGGCTCCATGCCTGTCCTCTGATCAAAAAGTCCTCCGGTAGCTGTTGTGTAGCAGAGTCGTCAAGAAGTGGGAATGATTCGTCTTCGATCTTCGAAATGATCGTGTCGGGACGGAACAGGGTGTTGAGATAACTTGCAAGTAACGACCACGGAATCAACGGCTCTAGTCGTTTTATAGCCGCTGGATTGAGCGTGAGGTACCATACAAATGCCATGGAGATGTGCACACCCGGATATATATTCGGGTCGCCAACCTCACGGAGCATGACAATTAATGTGTGGAAGGCGAGAGAGCTCGCCTGGAATGCAAGCTGGGATGAGAGATCACTGTATGTTGGATATATAGGCGTTGTATCTGTCGTCTGAGATGCCCATTTCATCGCCGCTAGGCGATCGTCTGCTGTAGGATTGCGCAACTTCACTGTGCAGTCTGCTTCTATCACTCCATCTTCCCTTCCGTATTGAAATATCGCAGCGATATTGCAAGAAGTCATTTGGGCACCTTGCTGCCCATCTCGGCTTACCCGGCTAATCTCCTTACGTAGAGTAGCAAGAAACACATTCGCCCGAGAAACAAACTCCTCAACCGGAGCTTGCATAAACAGCGCACCGTGCGTGGTCACGAACGAAGCGATCAAGTTTTGCTTCTCGATCGGGACCTTCATAAGAGGAGTGACTAGCTGTGTCATGCTCTCGAGGGCATTTGGGAATGCGCGCACACTGATCAATGCTTTCGTGTAGTGAAAAAGCTGCTGAAGGATATCCGGGCGTGCTAACACAGCAAGATGATGCTGGATGCGGCCATTCTCCGGGCTTTTTTCTGCATCTTGATTATACCAATACCTCGATACCCCTGCCCAGACTTCGCGATCCTTCTTATCAAGTTCTTCTACGGCCATGCGATACCGCGCCAAGTCCCCTAGGCACTCGATCCAGGTCTCTTGGAATTTTGGCACGCTTTCTAGCAGCAATGTGATCATCGAGTACGAGAGGTAGATGAAATCAAGCATGTACTCCATCGAGCCGGGGAGTTTATAACGCAAGAGCTCTAGGAATGAATGCACTCCATAGCGCCACATGCGCGCTGGCATTGCGTACTTTTCGGCTAGCTCTTTGAGAACAAGATCAGCTGACGGGTGCTGGGAGGCGAGAAAAAGTCGTGGTGTTCGTAGAGTAGGGTTCGGTGTAGTGAGACAAGGGTTTGCCACTTAGGCTGTGACAATTCGTCCTTTGATTGCATCTGTTCCCTGTCGATCTTGATGCACCTCTTTTCCACCATGACAAGACCGGTATATATTCCCCGCACTTCGTTGACCAGCTGCTCTTTGGTGATGGCGTGGGTATTCGGTTGCCTAAACATCTCATGAGGCTTTTCTTCCTGAGCAACTGTCACTGGATCCATTATTCCGACATTTTGCTTTAGTAGTTGATCAATCTTTGTGTGCCATGTTTCCTGTGCTTGGGCTTGCACGGTATGAGGAATTTTGTGAATTACAGCAGCATTTCGACTGTGCGCAGCAATGGGCGTTGAATGTGATCTTTGTAATTCGGGACGTGTCGCGAAATCTTGAGCTAAAAACAATTCCTCTCCCTGTCTGAGTGCACTGATCTCAGTCTTTGGATCCCTGAAGCGTTCATTTACAACTTGGGGCATGCCAGGATTTAGTTGCTGAGAAGCCGAGGCCGTCGATCGCCGGGGCTCTCTGGAGACCCGGAAGCTATTTCGGCGACGAGATTTGCCAACATGCCCTACACTGTTGCGAGCTGGACTTCTGAGAGCTCGCACACCATGGCTACTGAGCGTTCCCGTAGTGCAATCATCTCCTGGGACGCCGGTAGAATTCGGTCGAGCACCGAATATTGGTGACGTGGCCGAGCAGCAGCCGCCGGTACCCATCGATTCAGAGGGTTCTTCTGGCAATGATCTTTTGATAGACCTGTATAAACAGTTAAAAGGGGGTTTCAATAATCAAAGGAGCTCACTTGCCTAGGTGACACGTTGCTATGGACTATGTCTGAGAGTCGAGTCTTGGCATCCAACAGGCTGTAGAAACGCCGTGGCCTTACCTCCTGACACAGCTTGTCGCCCATTTCAACTATGAGAGAATTAGTTTATGACTTGATTTAGGGTGCCTTACGTACCCGCGATAAAGAAGGGTGCAGATTTCAGGGAGAGGAAACGGTTTATTATATAGCATTTTTTTTCATGCAATGTGGATAGGAGCTTAGGTTCCCCGAAGGTCGCCTGCAAGGCAGCCTGGGGGATGGACTAGTGTTGAATCATACACCGACCACTCACAGCCTATCATTCTGCCTGGGTTCTTTTCAAGGTTTGATGGTTGCCTTCAATTACTTTTGATACCCTTTTTCTCCGATTTTCATGTGTGGAACGTTCGAACCTCTGCCAAGTCATTTTTTCTCAACGGCGCCTGTTGAATGGCCCTGAGCATCCGATCTATATCTTCCTGCCTCACTTTTTCTATGCACTTCATATCATCTGGATCTACAAAAAAAAAAACATGAAATAGCGCTTACTTCAAGCGTCAACCATTTGACAGCCTGACCGGTGCAGTTCAAGTTTATCCCGTTGCCCAACCCTCTCCTTATTGTCTCCCAACACCAGATCTACCATGCGCTTCTTATGGTAAGAAAAATTCTTCGCACCAAGGCCTCGCCTATCTTTGCAGTCCTTGGGCCATTGTTTGTTTGGTCACCGCTCTTTCGATACCAGTACCGAATTCAAGCACACCGGTTGTTTTTGACCAACTCGTAAGGACCATGGCATTTTTGAGTATATTGTAAAGAGCCTGTGTGTTGATCTTGGTTCACATGGGTACCAATTTGACCCGGACTAGAGCAGTTTCTTTTGAGCATGGGCTCCGAAGTGCATATCACTCGGTTCACCCAGAATGAGGTAATTTTGAATTCGTCTAGGGTTTGATTGGCGTTCAGGGGGAAACTATTGCGCTCACCCAGAAGTCGCCGCCTTGGTATTGAACCGCCAGTGAACAGGGTTCCTATGTCCGGTGACATGCAATCATGCAACGATACTTGCAAATGGGCCGATGTACAGTTGCCAGCGTGATATCAACGACTGTTCGACCACATGGTCTTGGATTGCCAAACGGCACAGGTGATGACCCGACATTTCGATGATATACATATGGTCAGGGATCACACGGAGTACTGCTCCCCAACATTCCCCATTTATACGGAGTACCTGAGCGAAGATACCGTAATACATAGTTCTCAACTTAGGAACCGCTTTATCACTATCCAACGAGGACTAGCACAGATGCCAGGATATAGGGCTCCAATTGAAATGTTCCTCTATATCGTAAACAATATCCCCCTGTCCTTAGAAACAAAATTAGAAACAAAAACAAATATGGCTTGGCACGCGCTACTCATTTTCTGCCTGTCAATGACAGAAATCTCAGGTCTAAGCCTATCATGGACAGTGGGCGCCCGTAATATTTCGGGTTTTAAGGGGTCTAGTACTTCGTCTAAACCCAATCTAAGGGTGTAGTCAGTTTCAACTCTATTGGATGTCCAATAAGAGACGTATAATCCAATATAACAAAGCAACCTAAGCTGTGCCACCTAATTATGTATCCATCTGGGTCGCAAGGCAACTTTAGAAATGTACAGACCACTTGGCCGGCGCAAAGGGACCCGTTTTAAATCTCAATCACCTTCCTTCGCGGGTAACTTAAATTAATGCAAGGAGGGATAATAACTGAAAAAAAAGGCGCTGCCACCCGGGTGGAAAATTGCCCCCAGATTCAGAATCGGGAAAGATGCATCGACTTGGCTTGCAATAAACTTGCATGGACCATGCGAGAGCGCTACCAGGGCGGGGAAAAGAAGGTGCAGAATTTCACAGATTTTCACCAAATTTCACCCGGGTGAAATTAATTCGACGCGACTTCTAGAGCCCAGGGATCTACGCACTTACGGATCTTCTCGAACATCTTACACTGCATGGGGTCCTCGGTTAAAGATTATCATGCGACTGGTCTTCGGCGTGCATCTGATTCTTAAGTTTCCCATTTTGCGCAATAATTAGATGATCTCAGCTCAAGCTCTTGTTTGCCTTCGGATGATCCTGGTTGCTTGGATGTGACCTTTAGACCATGGGGCAAACTATACTCCGTAGGATAGGTTTCATTGAAACTAGGCTCCCTCTAATTCGTACACTCCCATGTCTGGCTCACCGTGCTTTCCTCAAACACGAGTAGGCCAGATGCCATATTGAGACATGACATGGATGCTTTCTATGACTCTATCAGCAGATTCACTTTAGGCAGCGACACTGTTGTGGAAGCTGTTGACTGCAATTCATATATATATATATATCTCCCGCTCTATTGGCCAAGATATCTCTTGCAGCTTGTTTCTGCTTTCCTCTTTAGGAGAACCCAACGGGGCTCGTGTGACATGCATATCGGCACCCTCGTAGGACCCCCGAGATGTCCGTGCCCAGCCAAACAACATATTAATCCACAGAAAAGAAAGATCGGCACAGTGTACGCGCTGTCACCCAGCTATATAGCAATGACTGGATTTGCCATAGAGATAAAACCATGAGACTTTTTGGGTGCGTCTGTAGTCTTCTACAACAATACGAGGCTGTCAGGCTCAACATCGAGATGCAGCTGCAACTTCCCCTGTAAAACTTTATCTTGACCAAAATAGTCTATTGACCAATGATATAGTTGGGGGGGTTACTGATTGTAGGGTGAGAAGACTGAGATTACGTATATTGGCAGGAATGTGTTGTCCACTTCAAGTACAGTCGGGAGCAGGGACAACAAAGGTACTGAGAGGTACTCAATCTATAGGTTTAATGGCATTCAAACAGGTGCGCTATATCTTTTGTGACGAAATCGTTTCTCTACATGCCTTGGGATAGAGGGACAGACGAATATACAATATGGAAGATGAGACACAGCTGATACATAGCAGATTTGGGGTCATCCTGATAGAGTTGACCCCCTGAATCCTGCTTGTTGAGCCCTGTAGATGAATATATGTGATGGTTGTTTCTAATCAAAGATGAGACTTAGGATTCGGGGCTACCCTCCAAACCTACGGAGTATGATGAGACACTATGGTGAATTTATGGCACATTTGAAGTAGGAATGATCCAAAAGAAGAATTGATTAACCAAAAGAAATGCTTTGGCTATGAATATCGAAATGTAGATATTTGGTGTATACCCAGTATGGAAAGGGATGGCTAAGATCAAGACTCAACGACGTCATAGAAACAAAACAATAAACCTCCACATCTGCGCGTTGTGTACTAACCACCAACAAAGTTGCCGTAAAAATCTCCAATTGAAGGCTGAAGTCTGACCAGACTCAGATAAATGAACTCCATCCGCCTTGCCGCGCGACACTTGAGGCCAACACAGCCCGTCCCCACACGCAGACCGACCATCAGCATCCCCAAAGTCAAAACAATCAAAATGTCGACATTTACAATCCCCGGCTCAAACCTCAATGTGAATAGCATCCCAGATCTAAGCCAAGATGATTTACTTTCATTCCCAGCCTTCAAAGTCTGGATAGCAACCCTCCAGCAATCCCTCGCGCGACAAGAACACCCCTCGCACGAGTTCCACAGTGACCCGTATATCTTGCGCAAAATTGATATTCAATCGGTCGACCGCTTCGGTGGCGGGAGATTAGGCTTCGTTAAATTGAAAGCGGACGTCTCAAATGGCCAGGGCGAGACTTTACCCGGCAGCGTATTCCTGCGGGGTGGCAGTGTTGCCATGCTCGTAAGTACTCCCCCCAAAGCATTTTACTCGATGGGAATTTTTTTCCCCTCATTGGGCTCTAGTATCTACAGGTATAGACCTACATACTGCGCCGCAGCCCCACCACGCAAAGTGATGTATGTGTTGTGTTCTTTTCTAATTATATGAATAGCTTATCCTCCAACCGGATGATATAGCCTCCCCGACTGAAAATGACAAGCGGGCTATTATGACCATCCAGCCCCGTATTCCAGCGGGCTCACTGGCGTTTCCGGAGATTCCGGCTGGGATGCTTGATGACAGCGGGACGTTTGCTGGGGGTGCGGCCAAGGAGATCCAGGAGGAGACGGGATTGCAGGTTGAGCAGAGCGATTTGATTGATATGACTTCACTGGCGCTGCAGGCTGCGCAAGAGCCTGGTGGCGGTGAGCGTCTGCAGCAAGCCGTTTACCCGTCTCCTGGAGGGAGTGATGAGTTCATTCCACTGTTTTTGTGTCAAAAGTCTATGCCTAAGAAGGAGATTGAGGAGCTACAGGGGAAGTTGACGGGGTTACGGGAGCATGGGGAGAAAATCACGCTCAAGATTGTGCCTTTGGCGGACTTATGGAAGGAGGGGCTTAGGGACGGGAAGACATTGGCTGCTTGGGCTTTGTATCAGGGCTTGAAGCAGGATGGATTGCTTTGAGTGGGAAAAGCATATGCATGTGGGGCACGGGAAAGGGATATGGCGAGGTGTGTAGACTTGTTTGCTTGTATGCAAATGATTTTATTTTTTTGCATCAATGTATGGTTGTACCACAAGCTAGTGAAGTTCTGCACTACTAGCTCACAATTTCCATTTCTTCGCTAGTTCAATCCCCTCAGCCAATGTTCCAACCCTGGCATCAATAGCATAACCCTCTTTTTCGAGCTTCTTAATCTCGTCGAACAACGAGCTCAAAGGGACAGTAAAGCATTCAATGAACTCGTTATCCTCAAGCTCAGGCTTTGGGTTCTTGTTCTCGGGAAGAGACATATCGACCTGAACGTGGACCATATGCAGGTTGGTATTGCAAAGTCCTGGGTCTGACCAAGTCGAAACGCTTGTCAGCCTTCAATGCCTCAAAAAAGTTGAACAACGCCATGAAACAAAAACAAAGCTGTCAGTCACCGCTCACGTACCGTTAAACATCAATGGGCTAGTCTGTTCCGCTACACCAACATAACCAGTTTCCTCCTTGAGTTCACGAACAGCACACTGCTCAGGCGTCTCACCCGCATCAATCAGTCCTGCGGGGACCTCAATGACAACTGCATCAATAGGAGGCCGGTATTGCTTTTGCAGAAGTAGCTCCGAGCCAGTGTCCTTGTTCAGAATAGCGACGATCCCAACGCCATCAAGGTCGATACCGGCAGGACGAGTCTGGGAAAACGCGGTCAGCATCAAAATCACAATATAGATACTAAAAGAAGGCCGCGAGAAGCTGTTTGAACTGAATGGTGATTGGGATTGACCAATGCATCCAATAGACAATGCAACCAATGGATAATGTAAGGCAACCAATAATCATGTGGTTGCAGATACGGCGTAGGGCAACACCCGGGTTTATGCACCTGAATCAGAGGCTCCCGGAACGGGGGAGCCCTGTCAATGCGAACCGCCAGGTCATGATTCAAGTGAGGCTGGATTTTAGTTTTTTTTTATGTAGTTGGTTCTCGTGGCATTTCCCAGGTTGTGTCACTTGAATGCCTGCACCAGGTGCGGTGCTCATACCCCGGCCATCGACCAACAGCGCACATAACATAGATAGGCACAGAAACAAGGCGTGATGGATCTTACCGTGCGCTCAGCTGATTCCCATGTTCGCTCCACACCCAGCGGGTCAGTGTATGTTGTCTTGACCATTCGAGCCCAGCGGGCTTCATTGGGGCTCTGTTTAGAAGCATGTCAGCCAAATTTCTGGCAAACTATCGACGGCCCCATCTTGAGTCTATTTTATACATTGGAAACTGGGAGTTTATCGCTGAAAGACCCTCAGAGAGGATACAGTCACGTACCAATGGTCCCCGTGAGATGAGTTTGGACTTCGCCTGCGTGCGAGATGACATTGTGATGGGTGATATAGAGTGGATGGGAACAAGCGGCTGAGATTCAAATAAGATCTCCCAATGGAGTAGAGTGATGTTCAACCAATCCCGACGGGCAAATGGCCGAGGTCGGAGGGGTACCTAGCTTGAATTAGCGGGGTCAGCCCTTATCTTATCGACTATGTTGGTCTTCGCTGTGTCGTTAAGGTGAGAAAGGTGAGAATAAAATGGCCTACAGAATGTACAGTGAACTGCTGAGATAGCTTATGCTAAATGGTATCTTATTGCGCATCAAAACCTGTCTATATGGAGACGGAAGATACTGAAGGAGAATGCACCAGGCAAAGAAAGTATAATCGGACACAGTCCGACGAGACCACTCTTCTGTCAAAAGCAATGGAAGCACCTTTTGATGACAGAAAGTGTCAGAAGAAATGAAGAAAGAATAAAAAGAGCTCCCTAACGACCATACGCTCGCTATCATAACATCATGGGCGTATAAGCATCACCACCGAAAGTTCAAAGGCTCGACTGAACATCGCTGGCGAGACTATTCTCGATATCCTTCATACGATCCTCAAACTCAGACCAATGATACATGACGGTCTTTGCGCCAAGGTCAGTGAGGGTTTTAGCCATCTCCTTCTGTGTCTCTTCGCCGTTGTAGCTACCAACATAAGCGATAACGGGGATACCAGCACGGACCGCAGAAAGAGCGCCAGACTTGCTGTCCTCGATGGCAACAGTCTCGCCAGCAGTCTTGCCAACCTGCTCAAGGGCATACAGGTAGATAGCAGGATCAGGCTTGGAGGTCGGCTTCGGCAGAGAGGTAGCAGCGCTGAAGACTTTGTCCTCGTCAAAGTACTTATCCTGGCCAACCTTTCTGATGGAGGCTAGGACTCGGCGCAAAGCGGAAGAGGAGACGACAGCAAGTCCATATTGCTTCGAGGCATAAAGCTTCTCTACCTCCTCACTGGCACCGACGCAGGGTCTAGCCTTGGCCTCCAACTTGGCAATGACCTTGTCCTCTTCCTTCGTGACGTATCCTTCCAGCTTCTCCGGCTCGATCTCGAAGTTGTACTTGTTCTGCAGGGAGACCATCATGCCGCGGAAGTTCTGACCGACAAAGTCCTTGATGAGCTGGTCGCCGGTATAACGGTCGGGGATGTTGTTCTCCTCCAAAATCTCATTGGCCAGGTCGGCGCAAGCCTCAAAGGCCAGCTCCTCTGAGAGGACCAGAGTGTTGTCGCAATCAAAGAAGATTTCTGTGATCTGCAATTCCGATTAGCATCAGCAGGTCTCTCGTGGGAGATACGGCGATCTTCATACCTTGCCCATGATGAAAGATACGGAGATTAGATCCGGGGTGTTTGTTTATTGAGATCGGGGAAAAGCAGAAATACAATGTGGGAAGTATTCTCGTGTGATCCACAGGAGAGTGGTCGGGACAAAAAAAGAGAAGAGGGATGCCTGGAGGAAAAGGAAACTAGGCAACTAGAGTATTTAAGTCAAGGCAAGAGCTGACCCCAAATGACGCCGAAATTAGAATCCCTAAAAGGAAACCGGGCCAGAGCGGGAGGGGCTGGTCACTGACGTGGGGGGCTACGTGTACTGGATACTTGGGATTGGCCTATCTCATAGTACAAAAAACAGGTATTCAGTACCTCAACCCTGAGTATATAGCCAGACATTCAGCCAATTGAAGCACAGGTATATAGTACGCTAGTCTATTTACAGACTAGTATTGTCTTTCTACTCCGGGCAGGTGGGATACTTCCACCTTGCGTTTTCTCGCATCTTCTCGCATTTTCTGACCGGTTGGCTTCCGTTGGAAATTTGATAATCTCGTGACTTTATTTCATTGTTCCTGTCTCTGCTCAAGTGACTTCTATATGCAAGTTACTTTATCACCTGATGTTAAGAGTGTACAAGATTCTAGACTACATGCATATGGTCCGTGTAATTGGGCACTGCATACGACTACTCCGTACCTACTCCGTACACATAGGCCTACTGATTTGTAGGCCCAAACTCATGCACGGTCATGGCTCCGTCTTCTCATTATCTTCCCACTTCCAAGGGGAGGAAAGCCAGGGTACGGAATAATTGAAAATCATACATTGATATGCAGGCCCGGAATTCCGCCCGTTGGTCCACCTCCCCGTGTCATCCCAAACAATTACCGCGGTCAGACTATATCAAGTATGCAGTTGGACATTCAAAGCATGCTTGGCGGATTGGGAGAGAGAACCCCAAGATGACACCTCGGTGCAAAGTAAGACTAAGCCAACTCTGGTGCGTAATGAGCGATTTGAATACTTTATACCTCATTCTATATTATCACCGTGGTCAGAAAAAGGTTAGCCTACCACAATGCTATGGGAGTTGTGCCCGAACTTACCTTGTACTATCATTTTCGGAGCACGACACTCCGGGATCTACTATTGTAGGCTTCTCTAGCAATTTGAACCATTCTTTTTCAACCCGATGGAGATATCTACACATTGACACAGCCAGGAACCAGGTAGCACCCAACTATTGTATACATTGCACGAATTCGGATCCACCTCTTCCATGCGACCAATATGATTGGCCAGACTCAAAATCCCAAACGCACCTGCCAATTCCACAACGGCTTTCCTTCGCAACCCGAAGACCCAAAAAAAAACCCAACGTAACACTTCGTCAAATCAAATCAACCGAAGTCAGCACGACATTAGGGGATCTCGGGTCAAATCGCCATTTTGCACAGCTCGAAATCTCAAACGGCTCCTAATACAACCTTAGAGTACGGCCTCGTATATTTGGATTCGAAATATACTTGGCAACACCTTTGGCCGGCATGGGCTCTTCCGATACTTTCCCGACCCTAGAGTCCCTTCATTTCCCGGAGCAGCTGTCAATTTCCCAGACGCTATCATCTCTGCGTCGATCGGCGCTGTCCGTCGCCAATCGGCTCCAGTCTATTGAGACAGATGCCACCTTTGCGCAAGAGGTCGCGGACCACTATGACTTACCGCTGGTTGCTAATGAGCGCTGCGGAAGCTGGTATATTCCGCCTGCGACCAAAGCTGGCAGTGCTTATTTCAAAAGCACCGACGGCCACACCGGTCAGTGGGATTTTAGCTTTCGTAGGCTGAACTTGCAGTTGCTTCCGCTAGCTAGGGATCATGGGGGGTTAGTCTCGCATCTTTCCCACTGATTTTCTGTTGCTTGTGGATTTATATCTATGCTGTCTTTGGTTGACCTTCATTGAACCGTGAAGTATAAGCCATGGCCAACTCCAGCACTGCATAATCCTCTCATGAGCCCATAAAAAGAGCATAAAAAAACTAACTATTTGGTGTTTGATTCCGCAGCTGTGTAATTGTGGATTCAACTCGCCGAGGCAAATGTATGTACCACCTCTACCTGCACCATTCCCGATTAGAGAATGATCCCGCTCTCCTTACTTGATCCTGCTGGTTGTCATGTAATTATGACCGCGGCTAGGCCTGACGCGCTCTACTAACCAGCCCCTAGTGATGCCAGACGCACTTTCAAAAACTGTCCCAATCTGGAGCGCGGTCCTCAACAGAGCCCTATTCCCATCCGCGACTGCATACCACCCAGTCTGCCTTCCACCCGATTACCTGGGCGCATCGGAAGAAGCGCAGATCGAGAATCGAATCGAAGGATTCGTGCATTCCCTAAAGGTACGCATGCATGAAATAAACGTGACTTGTGCAAACTACTGCACCACGCTCCCCTCCTTATTCGGGCAAATGTGGCTGATCCATCCTTGTTACCCAGAGTCTAAAACTTGATCTGGACAATCTGCGCCAGCAACTAGGCAAACCTATCCAGGTCGCCTGGGCCAACAGGACATATTTCCACCCGGCAGATCTGCACAAGGGCGATGAGTACAATCTACTTGTACTATGTTCCGCTTCTAGGCGCGTGCATGGCGCCGAAATGTCCGAGGGTGGATACATCCAAGGCGCGGGCGATGATAGCGAGGCGTGGGCGTATGGTCTGACGCCGCCGGTTTTCTGGGCTAATCAGGCTGTTTTGAAGAATACGCCAGAAGACGAATTACCGGAGCTTATTGACCGGCTGGTGGCTGAGCACAAGCTGCTGGATGTGGCCCAGGACGCGACACTCATCTCTCCCACGCGCAATTTGTACATTGGGTCGGGGACGGACGTCGATGCTGGCGGTCGGTACGATCTTGTCATTGATTGCAATGGGAGTGCTGCGGCTGCGGAGGGCAATGCGAAGCGACTTAATTTGGGCTGTGATTCTGGGAAACTCGGAAGTCGAGATCTACGGAAATGTCTGGATAAGGTACGTGAGTTTATCGGCGTTCGTCTTGGAGAGGATTCGTCGCTGTCAGTGCTGGTTACCTGTGACAATGGGAAAGATCTTTCGGCGGGGACGCTTCTAGCGATTATTTGTCTCTTTTATAACGACGAAGGTATGTATGCAATGCCCCCAGATGGTCTGGGTGATGGATTTGAACGCTATGTGGAATATGAATAAATAACTAATTGTTTCTCGCAGGCGCATTCGATGCCTCATTGAGCAAGCGAGCGATCAGCAAGCAATTCATTCGACAGCGTCTAGCCTGGCTCGTGTCGTCGAAACATGACGTCAATCCGTCTCGCGCCACGCTTCAATCTGTCAATGCGTTCCTGATGCAGCCGCCGGATTATTGACTTTGAGAAATGTGGCTACATTGCATCGCTTGATCGAGCCTGATTTGTCTCGAAGCGCCTGGGTAATTAAGAGCATGCCCGAGAGACCGTTCATTCGTTGTTCACGGCCTCCACGATAGCGCCGGCACTGCCCTGATCGAAGGAATCCAGCACGGCCATATCATCCGCGCTAATGTCGAAGCCGAACACATCCGCGTTGGCCACAATTCTTTCGGGGTTGTCGGTCTTGGGCAGAGGCACCCAACCCTTCTGGAGCGCATAGCGGATCAAGATCTGCTGAGTGGACTTCCCGTATTTCTTTGCCACCTCCACTAGCGCCGGGTCGTTGGCTTTATAGTTTCGCACGATGGGCGAATACGCCTCGACAATAATTCCGTTCTTCTTGCAGTATTCGTCGATGACGCGCTGCTGGCACCACGGGTGGAGCTGCAAAGATAAAATGTCAGTGATCACAATCCAACCAAACAACTGCCCATGTAGATAGAAGCGTAGTAATAGAAACAAGAGCACCAACCTCGATTTGATTAACATGAGGCGGGAACACCTGGGCATATGAGCGCATCTCCTCGATGTGCCCCACACCAAAGTTGCTAACACCGATACTCCTCGCCTTGCCCTCCGCGTATAACTTCTCAAGCGCCTGCCACAAAAGTTTCCGCCCAGCAGAGCCTGAGCTGGATGAGTGAATCAAGAACAGGTCGACATATCCGTCCGCGCCGCCGATCTTGTGCACGGAAGCCAGCAATTTATCGTAGGTAGCTTCGATCGAGGCTGCGGGGCTGAGGATCTTGGTCGTGACGAAGATCTGATCTCTGGGCACGCTGGTGATGCGCAATGCCTCGCCGACTTCCGCCTCGTTGGCGTAGAACTGTGCTGTGTCGATGTGTCGGTAGCCTGCGTCCAATGCCTTCAGGCAAGACTGCACGCACTGGTTGGTGGGGGAGCGGTAGACGCCGAAACCAAGGCGCGGGATGCGAACATTGGAGTTCGGGAGGGGAAGGAGGTCTGTGATTTTGAAGGAGGCGGACATTTTGGAGTGAAAGTGTATGTACGAATGGGAAACGAAATTGAGAAGTTCTGAATGTTTCAAAGAATCTCCTGGCCCCGCTCTGCGAAAATGAGGTCATTTTGGATGACTAACACCGATACCCGTGGACCAAGGCTCCAAGCCCAGGGTTACAATCTATACAACATTGAATACCGAGATCAAGCCAAATTGCATTTTCGTCTGTTGATGTTGATATGCTGCTCAAAGATCCCAAACATGATCTCTGTTTACTTCCACCCAATAGTCTAAAAAGTTCATTTCTATATTGTACTTGGCCACCAAAGAATTGCGTGATACCATTCGGTTGCGTTTACAATGGGGTTTAGTATGTTATTGCGCCATCGAAGAACATTGTCATAAAGGCTACAAAGCAATCGATTATACTGCTTCCAAGAGAACCAAATCAATCACATGTAGTAGCTACACGTGCCTACCGCCTTCAATCTCGATTCCAATTTTTGACATACTCATAATATCGCTGTTCGCGAAGCCTTGGCCTATGCCGACAGGAACATTGAATCAGAAGTAAAAGAGTGATTGATGACTATCATTTTGGGCCATCATGTTGCTATGCTTAGAGTCATGTCATATATGGCATCCACATGACTTTATGGAGGCAAAGAAATAAAGGCCTGAAATGGAGGAAAGCGAGGTCTGGTGAGCCTGCCTGAGCAAGCAAGTGATACCTTGATGTAACATGATCTATTGCCTTCAAATTCTGCATGGTATCAGTAATCATAGTACGTGGGAGAGTATCGGCTCTAATGTATCTGCTGGTGGTTTAATCGAGGTGATATACAAAACTGATTTCGTCTGCTTGGATCAGAAGTTATATATAGGAAAACGCTTGCACAAAGTATGCTTTTTCTGCTTTTCTCGGCTCTCTATCTGTGAGACCGGAAAGAGCTGAAACTAAAAGATTATGAGGATATGTAAGAGAAATATCCGAGAAGAACGCCGAGAAGACCACTTGAAGACTACTTCAGAGCCCTGTAAGACCGTTTAAAGCCGCATAAGGTTGTTTATCAAATGGAAACCACTTGACATTCCCTACTGACCAATATCATGAGAATGACTCATCTACAGAAATACCTCGATAAGTCCAGAGATATATACAATGGCATCTTTCCTCAACGTGTTCTATGCCTGTCCCTAGCCTAGATTCCTAGCGTACTAGTAGGCGTACCTCACTTTCCAAAGTCAACAGCCATTTGATCTCTGCTAATTACTTTTTATTGTAGTATGAACCTGCTACGGCCAAAATATGTAGATCAATCTGAGGGAATTATTAAGCAGAGTAGTTGACGGTGTTGCGAGACTGTGACGACAAGGTAATTCAAACATAGGCTATTAATACAACTTCAAGATCTAATTCCAAAGTAATTACCACCAGTATTGAACTTCAAGGCAAATACTGAAATCAAAGATTAATGTTCATGCCAGACACTAGGACTGTGTCACACTCAGGCGAATATCATGTAGATGTCTGAACATCCTGGCGACTTTGTCAGGCTGTGAGAGATCAACCCAAGACCATTTTGCGCCCCGCATAATCTTCAACAGTACCCATAGGCCCACGAAGACAAAAACCTGTTTCAGCAAGTCTTGGTTAGTCGATGTAAATTGGTTTCAATTCGGTGCACATCGTTTCTCTTACCGATAGATACGATGCTAAGAATGGTAAAAGATGGAACCCATTCCACAACGCAGCACCATTAGCGACCAATGAGACAAAAATACAGCCCAGCAAGGCTAGATATGCCGTCAGTGGCTGACTATGGCTGCGGTATGGATAGTCATCATGATCGTCTTCGTTCCAGCGCTGGACGTGAGGGACATTTTCACGTTTGAGATGTTCACGATGCTGAGAGATACTGTTTATAAAATATATGTTAGTAATGCAATAATTGTGCAGCTAGATCGGTAGACGTACCATTGGTAGAAGCGAATGAATGCCAGACACTCGCATGCCCAGACGATCAAAACTGCAGAGTATGACATTTGGCTTAGTATCTCCACAAACTATCCGCTTTTGTTAGCTCTAAGCTCGAGGTAGGAGAAGATAATATGTTTTCTTACCTTATCCACGGAGACTCGGGTATCAACTGGGTTATTCCCAGAGGGTTGAGTGTTGCTATTTCCGCGGATCAGCTGCAGGAACGGCACCCACCAGAACGCAACCGCCGAGAATATCATGGCTCGCCGGGGAACCTGTCGTCTATCTGTTTTACCAAACCATGCAAAGACGCGCAGGTACCATCTCTGCCCTTCGCCCCCATCCAAACGACTTGTTATGCCAAACAAGGTTCGCGAGGCGATGTACAGATTAGTACCAGCACACGAGAGACACGTAAACACAAGGAAACCATTGAACACGTCTGCTAGATGCGGAATATGTGAACTTGCAGCAATTGCAACGAACGCAGCTTTGTTCGAGGGCTTGCACGCATCCGGTGGAAGCCAACTGAGCCGAGGAAGATCGCAACTTTTCCGCTCTATATTCAACGTTGCGAGCAGTCCGCTGACGGTATATCCAACCATAGCAAGTACCGGAATAAATATAGCGGGAAACTTAAATGATTTACCGATGTGGGCGTCGTTAGACCGTCGAAAGCTTTCCGAGGTCTTCGATTGTTCGTCTTCGCGATGTGGCCATTTTGCCTCTAGGGCAGAAGCAGCGATGACTTCAACTCCGGTATAGGCAAATGTTGCTATCGAAATGCCCATACTAAAATGTTCATTGTTAAATTAGGTCGAGGAAAAAGACGCATGCCACGACTCACAGTAAAGCAACGCCCCAGTCATTGGCCGCCCGTTTATCAAAATCGATAGGCGAAGCCCAATCTGATGGTGTAAGTATTTTATTTCGGCAATTCATTCATAAGAGGATAGCAATTGCATACACTTGACGCCCAGGGGGGCAGTACCTGGGCCAGCTGCTCATCATTAGCATATATTCCAAAGAAAAGACGTATTCAATGAAAGCCGCTCGTTAAGTACTTGACTAACCTCCACGATTAATCGCAACCAGTATCACAATAATGACACCAAGAAATATAATTTTTATGCTGCCTGTCGCCACTTCCAACCAACCATAAATCTGAACACTCGTCAGCTGGCACTTCTCGCTCCCGAGGTCGAAACCATTTGCATTGGTCAGCATTGACAGAGAAAGCATACCTCGATTCTTACGGTATTGATGCAGACGAGTACCAATGGGATTAGTAGATATATAATCAAGCCCTGTATAAGCGGTCTTTCATGGATGTAAGACCAAAAGTTGAACTCCGCAGCCGAGGTTGCCACCAGTGTGGAAAAAGACATCGAATAGACAAACCTATTAAAGCTGTCAGTGGCTTTCTGATTGGGAATTATAGATACTATCAAGGGGGTGTAGTTTACCAGTATGTAACACCAACCGCGATTCCCAGTTCTTCGTCGACAAACTGACTGACATATACTGACAGTGCACCAGGTATCGGCCAAATGCACAGCATTTCAGTGATACATTGCATGACGGCCCATGTCAAGATTCCGATGAAGATGAACGATAAAAGTACTGTCAAAGGTCCACCGAGTTCAAGAATCTGACCACCGCGCCAGTAGAGACCTGTACCGAGTGTCGCATTGACTGTGATCATCTATTTCTGTTAGCTTTTAAAATTCAAAGAAAAACAATGATGAGGATAGCTAATTTTGCCAGTACTAGGCTATAATGTAGGAACATCTTCTTTCAAGCCCACATAATCGGATATGCTCACTTACAAATAGATGAATGCCTCTCAGGGATCTGTTGACGGTCCGCTCACGGCCCGGCGTGATGACAAGCCGTTTCTCTGAGCATATTTTGAAAATCCCAGTGCTTTCCGAGTCCGCTGAATAATATGAGGGTGAGAATGTTGAGCTCGGGGGGTCATTTGGTGGAGGAAGCAAAGTATTTCGAGGTGGTAGATTGAGACTTCCATCTGAAAGTTGTCCTACGCCTCCTGTGGGCAGAACACCAGAAAGCCAGGGACGTGCCCATTCTGGTGGCTCTGCCAACTGTAACTCTGCCGGCTTTGACATGATGAATCAAGCGTATAGATATCTATTTACTCCGCAGGACAGTTACCCACCGCTGTGACTGAAAGCAAGGGACCTCGGGAGCTACTTAAATAAAAGTATAATAATGAGCCGCAGGTTAAGCATAACGCAAATCCGGATAATTCTCACCAAACTGTCGGGATTGAAGACCCCCCCTCCTTTACTCCGGATTTCGCTTCGAATTCTAGATCAATCAGTCTGCACTCGACATGTATGAGATCCTAGTCTTATCACAAAGCGGAGATGATGTCCCCATGTGGATTAGTCGCGCATTATCTCGAGACGACCCTCGAATCAGCGATACGATATAGCAGGCAAAATTGGCGAAAGATAAGAAAGGCAAAGATCAGCTTTGTGACGTTACATTGAGTCTGCTTTTTCAGCCGCTTGCTGTGATTTATCAGGTCCCTTTTCCCGTGTTTGACAGGGACTCGAGCTGAATCAGAAAGATCGCAATTTCAATAATCATGCCTGAAAGCGGACAAACTCCTCCTCAAACCACAAGCACTCGCTACTTACGTAGAGACAGTCTTCAGGATTTACTTGAACGACTGTTCCCTGGACAAACAGACTTTGGTATTCAGGTAACTCGTTTGAGCCTTGTGCGTCGGGCGCAGGTTGACGCGTATTCTAGATCAAAGAAGACCAATGGTCCTTCACTGCCCCTAGAATAGTGGAGACTGTAAGTTAGTGTGATCTTTGTCCGTCCCGAAATCTGTCGCTGACACTTTTCCCACAAGGCTGAGCTCGAGTAAGAGGTTTTTAGTTCGTTCTGGCCGAAGAAAACTGACATGAAAATAGTTCGGCTCAGGACGACTAGTGCAAGGCTGGTGTGGCATAGACATGATGGACATGAGGCAGACTGAGTTGAGGCACAGTGGAAGGCACAGTCGCATGCCTTGGTCTGTGCAAGATGTAGCGGAGGAGTGGCGATTCAATAAACATCCCCCCCTGGGGCGTACGTCTTATATAATAGTCCAGGTGCTGAATTCGATCGATTTTCTTTTGCCATCATCTCTACAGACCCGCACATAATGACTATCTTTGATAATTATTGCCTAGATCGCCCGGTCGAGCCCGTACAAGTCTTCGAGGTCAGACAGGATGCGACGCCGTTCCTCACAAGAGGCTCATACCAACGATCAGACCTTCGCACAGAAGAAGATACGGCATCTTTTCTGGAAAACAACCAGACCAATCCCTACAAGTGTCGCGTTGTGTATGTTAAATAAACATCACACTTTCTTCTGTTAATAATTGACAGGTCAATATGTCAACGCAATTCCTGGCGACAACTGCAGATCACTAAACCTATGCTTGACCTCCTCGTCACCGGACACAGGATAGGCCCATCATTTTGGGCGGTGCCGTCGTGCTTTTATCGACGCAGTGATGACCTGGAGGGGGTATTCTGTCTTCCATTTACAGAGTCCTGCTCTGACTCTATGACTGGTACTTAACTTTTACCGAGCTACCAATCCTACTGCTAAGTTGGAGAAACAGAAATTTCCTACACTCTGAGGTACCCCGAGTATAAGTCACAAGAAAACAAATGGGTCATTCGCCAGAGTGGAATCTATCACCGATACGACAAAACTTCATCCCAAAATCTTTTCGTACTGTTCAATCCCACGCCGCAATCCAAAGCGCATTCCCAGGCTGAGAATTTACTGCGCAATATTTGCCCCGAAGTTGAATCTGATCCATTTTGGCTACACCGGGTCTTGTTCGCAGTATACTTTCCTGCATGGAGGAAATACATCGCCGTACATGAACAACGATTTCTGCCGCTTGCAGGCAGTACAATCGCCACTTTTATTACTGGGCCTTTGAGTTTAGGCTACGATAGCCTCAGCACATTGACTGCCTTACAGACTAGATTTCTTGAAGTTCCAGCCGTCCTAGCATCAGCCACAGATATTCTCGACGAGCTATGTACCGTCATCAGCTCCGAGTCAGTGATCTCAACCGACAAGTCCGCGGTTCAAGTTTTCAAAAATTATCGTCGAGAGTGCATTGCAAATTCCCGTAATGCTTCCCATTTGCAGGAGCGGGCTCAGATTGTCTCGAAGCTACTCGCCGACACTTTATTATTTCGGAATCAGGTCCTAGCGAAGGAACAAAATACAAACATGCTACAGCTGAACAAGTCCGCGGTATTCATTACCACTTTGACGCTGGTGTACCTTCCGTCATCCTTCCTGGCCGTTAGTGTCCTTCCTTTGACTTTCAGCACATATCGGCGGTCGGATATCTGCTAACATTCTCCCATAATAGACTATATTTGGTATGAATTTCTTCGACATGGATCAGGAAAACAATCGAATTGTTGGTACACCTATGATATGGATATTTTTCATCTCATCTATTGCCCTGACGGCAATCACGTTCCTTCTATACTACTGGTTATTACGTCGCAATGGTCCGGCATTCCGCGGGCTTGCGCCGAATATACGAAGTCGCCAAACTTGGACTATTGAAGAAGTGAGGAGGCGGTTCACAGGTGGCAGCAATTCCAGCATTGAGCTACAGTCTTGCCCGGCTTGAGGAAAAAGCCTCTATACAAGCATCTAGCTTGGCGGCGACATGAAAGTTTTATGGTTTGGGGTCCCCGTTTTTGAAAATGAGATAGAGATACATGCAAAGTCGAAAATTTAGAAAAGGATGTTGGGCAGGGGATGGATTAAAAGTACCAAACAAATATAGAGTTATCCACAAGAATAAAACCTATGCAGCCGCTGAGGTACCCGATCTGAACCTAGGCACAGTTATTTTGTATATTCCACATTGGTTTGCACCCATCAAAGCGGCAAGAATAACAACACTCTCTTTTTCACCGTGGACCACTCTCTCGGCAAATTCATCACTGTATGTAAGACCCGGAATCTCAGCAAGCTCGGTCACAGTAATCGTTGTTGCCTGAGGTGCGGGAATGGCAATCTCCAATAGAAGCATCCTATGATGCGCCGCGCGCCTCCCCACTGCGAATATTTTCTCATCATTTTTGCCCATCATCAGCTTAAGGACTCGGTAATTCTTGATGTCGGCATGTATAGCAGCTGTCTTATCCACTTCTGCCAGGCTTTGGATGTGTAGCTGCTTTTCTCGGGTGACAAGGACACAAACATGGGGCTTTTGGAAAAACGGAGCGAAAGTCGTAAAAAGACCAACAGTGCTACTACTCTCAAAGCCCTATATAAACAGATTAGATAGATAGACAATATGAAGTTGAACACTGGGAGGTGGAGACTTTACTTTTGGCTCGATAATGAGCGGACATAGCTGGTTAGATTTGAGGGATACATGAATGACAGGAATCTCGTGTTTCTGATTTGGGCCGCTTCTTTGTGGTCGGAAAACCATGTATAGGTCGTCATTTGTTGAGAATGATAGCTGAACCACGTCTGCTGCGGGCCAATCGAGTTGATTCCCCAGCTGCCACTCATTCGGAGAATTGACGGAACCAATATACAAGGACCCTGTGTTCTGGTCCTCATATCCGTCGCTGACAACACATGCTATTGTCTGACCTCCAGGCGCGAGAGCCACCTTCTTTATCTCAGGCAGTGTTGGTAGAGAGATTCGCTCCCCATGTCTAAGATTGACGTCCATGCCTAATAGCCCCTTTCGTAGTTTGAAGATATAAAGCTTGCGTCAAAGCCTCATTAGACAGAAAACATAAAAATAAAAAATCAGAGAGAGCTAAATGCTTACTTGGAAAGTGCCCCCCGAGGTGGAAGCTATCAGATGTTTTCTCGTCAGGCTGATACTCTTCCAGCGATATTCCGGTGTCTTGATCAAATATTCTGCAGCCGGGCGTGCGCCCTCTGCTCCTTGCTCCAGAGATTGCGAAGTGTAAAGCGAAATTCTAGTGTCAGTCCAGAACGCAATAACTGTTCCATCTGGAGATATCTCGCAGCCTTTGAAAGACTGGGTCGGACCTAGATACCATTGCTCGACACGTTTGTCTGAGGCGGACTCTTGCTTTTTGCCTATGAGGACATTGATGCGCATTTGTTGTAGCTTCTTGCTTATACCAGGCTCTTTCTCTGGCAAAGGTGGGCCCCCTTCATTGTTCAGCTCCTTGTATTTCTGAAATGTCTTATACAATTTGTCTTCCAGTTTCCGGGCGTTGCATCTCTTTGATTGTTCTGGCTGGAGAACATCATGTTCCAGGTAATCCAGGATTGACTTCACCGCTTCCCCCTCCTTGGGGCTCCTCTGTCTGGCTTTCTTGATCAGTCCATCATGCCATAGTGTGACCGCTGGGTGGATCTTCGGACGACCAAACAGTGGATCTGCGACAAAGAAGCGATCACCATCCGAGCTGCGGTGCTTTATTCTCTTTTCTCGGTACTCTCTAACGCCAGAGCTGCCTTCCTCTAGGAATGTAAAAACGATACTGAGGATACACCCCAAAGACCAGACGTCGTTTGCTTTTCTCATAGCCCTGTGTGGTGACAGAGACTCGGGCCCAAGATAAGTGCTACCGTCCCCACGTCTGTTGTAGGTTGCCGAGGTAGATGCATCCTTGGGCTGCTGGAACCGGACAAACCAGCTGTCGAAGTCGGTCTCCTCTCTGCGAGATTTCAATTTGAGCCGAGACATGCCGAAGTCACTGATCTTCCAAACAAACTCCTGCTTGTCGTTGACTGTTTCAAGGTATACCAGAATATTGCTCGGCTTGAGGTCCATATGGTAACATACTATCCTGTCTCCTTCGGCCGTCCTCATGCCATTATGAAGGAAATCAAGCCCACCTGCGAGTCCCCGAGCCGAGTTAATCATATCTGTTTTGGTGATGGTATTTGGTCTTGCTCGGTCGTCCCCCATGTAGGCGCTTAGATCGCACATGGCGAGAGGCATGAAGATGCTGTAATTTGTGCCAATGGAAAGGCTACCGTAGATATCCACAATATTTGGACAAGTCCGATCGCAGGCAAGAATTTGCCTTAAGATATCTTCTTCCATGTCCTTAGTGGATTGATAGTCTTTGCGCGCCAATTCCTTCGGGCTCTGATTTGTTCCTTGAACAATCGGGTCGTAAAAGTGCCCCTTGGCAATCTTCACTTGGTATACAGTGCCCTGCGCTCCTTTTCCGCGATATTTTTGTTCCAGATAGGGTAAACAGTGCCGATCTAGGCTCTGTATTCGAACTTCCTTTTTGTTACAGATCACGACAGGACAAAAGCATGCTTGTTGTGTCATGAATTTGTCCGGCGTGACCCGTTCCCCAAAAATCTCTATGAGCCTCTCACGGTCTGCTGGCAGAGAGCAGATATTTGGCGACCAGGCAGTTGGAGCCAACAGTTTGATGGTGAATTTCCGCGTAGCCTCGATGGTGCAGGACGTGAAAATGAGAATAGCGAGAAAGTCATATAGCTTCCGTTCTCGCATTTTGTTGATCAAACTATCTTCGTTGAGATCGTAAATGTTTGTTGGGGCATCGTTTAATTGCAGACTGCGAAAGAGGCGTCGCAAGACTTCTGGCTGTAGAACTTTCTTCGCAGTACCATGAGGAGCAAATCGGCCTCCCTCCTCATGGCTCCTTTCCATTTTTTCCATAATTTGCACATAGATCTCCTCACAGAGCTCATTGTATTGAGTGGATTCCATATTGGGGTTTGCTCTGGCTCACTGCGTGAATGGGGCTCCAACTTTAGACATATCAGGTACTCCGTGCAGTAAGAAATGGTCGCAGGAAATTTCAAGCAGATAATAGGCGATTATTGACACGTTCCCTGCGCCTATGCCCCGCATAATCATGCGGCTCTCCCCGGCTTGGGCTGAGCAAAGATAAGGCCAAAATAGCCAAAATAGGACGTTATTCCGTTTCACCCTGGTAATTCCTCCGTACTACCCCCTAAGTAACCCCTTCTGCGCTTCATGCGTTGGTTATCAGGCAGTGGTAGAGGACGATAGAGTCTTTTGCCTGCGACAAAACCATCTGGCTCAGTATCTATTCCTTGACCTTCGGTTCATTTGTTTCTAGCTGCCTACAGTCTGCGGGATGAGGCTTTTCTTTCTTTTCTTATTTCTTTATTTAAATCACAAGCTAGCCTACGTATGGATTGAACGAACTTGGATAAACAGGCTGGAGAATGACTTTATTACAAGAGATATATGAAGAGGAGATTTGCACCCTTATAGCCCAGACAAGAGAAAAGGGAGTCCATAGGTATAAAGTTCTGCAAAGTCCACAAAGCCTAAAGCCGAACCTGACCCAGTTCACTTAAAGGCTGAATTTTGGGCCCACCGGTGGGCCACGGGCTTAGTATAAAGCCCACTGGGCTTTCAACGGAAGCCTATTAGGGCCTAAAAAGCACCAAATAAATATGTATAGACCTCGTTTCTCGCCTTTGTCTGATGGTAATAAAGAATTGTTTTAATATATAGTAAATCAGTCGTCAAATATGTAGTTGAACCCTCTAAATGGGCTAGGGCTATAATGGGGGGCCTTACGGCCCGGGGACCCCACGAATGGGCCGTGGGTTGGGCTTTGGACTCGACATCCGGGCCCATTGGTGGGAATCTAGATATCTGTCTTCGCCAATTTTGATATGTTCAAACACCCTCTTGGCTGGATACTATTTGGCTTCGATTCAAGTATAATGCAGGTGTCTTGGATTCTCAAGTGTCATCTTTATTTCCAGCTTCATGGGCAAATAGGAAAGTTGGCAGATCTTATACTCCATATTGCCGCGCCAGTCAAAAATGCGGGAGTCCCATCTCCAATACATGTTCTTAGTTGGAATTGGCAGTCAATTCATGTCGCTTGAATCACGAATTACGACAATCTGGGGATGCTTTGGGTGCAGCCCATTTACTCGTGAAAGGGTGGTCCCGCATGATAGCAGACTCAATGAGCATTGGGGTTGATAAACACTTATTCTCCAAAGATAGCTTAACAGTCTGGCAGGCGCCCATGCTGTGACCTACTCCCATGTTTGATCGAGTTATCCGGTCGTGGGAAGTTATCACCAGATGGAGAAGGTTACGCGAATGATCTCACCAGGAAAGGGATTTGATTTATAGACTATCGAACAACGCTCAAAATGACCGGACTAACCTAGACCTTGTCAACAAATACACGGAGTAGCCCTGGAGAGAGTCAAGACTTAGTAATACTATCTTTACAATCCTACATTTGCTGATAATATTCAATAACGTGCATTATAAGACCATGTCAGATACGTCGGTTTGACTAGTGGCAGGGTCGCCCAATCATTTGGAAACCTAGGAAATGGACTACCAGTTGACGAGATCCCCTGAGGTCTTAGGATGCTTTCTCCGACAACTGTCTATTTTCTACGCAAGAATGTTTGGGCAAGGGAGTGTTGTCTCAATTTATACGAATAAACTGTGAATACGCCGGGCATATTAGTGTCCTACGCCAGAATGAGCATCTGAAACACGACTTGAACGACATCCAACAGAAAGGAGAGGCTACCAAATTTTCACAGGCTCAGAGACTTGGAGGTGAGGTGTGGCGTCTATAAAACCTCCTATCTATAAGACAAAGGGGGTAAACAATAGAGATCTATACTTAGAAGTGGGTCCACAAGGGATGCACCTGCGAATTCTCACTTGATAATTTTCCTATTTGATAATCTTTTCGTCCAAGGTCATTTCGATCCAGTTTAGTTTCTTTTTTTTTCTCTAGTTTCTTCTCTCTTCTTTCGAGTTCAAACAAGATACGGTTGCTCGGGTGATCTTCAGCTCCGACTTGCGGGAGAAACACACCCCACTCGACATTATTTCCCCCCTTTGTGCTCCATTGTCTGATCTCCAGTCCAGATCGGAAACTGAGTCTTTAAGCCTCTCTGATCATCCTAGCCTTTTTTTTTTCTTTGGCCTGAATCTTCAACCCTGTTCGCTGTCGCCTCCCGACACTATCATTGCCAATCGGCCCTGGATGTCTCCGCCTTAATCAAAGATGTTGACGGTTGAGAAGCAGTGGATTAATGTGCAGCAAAAGACCTTCACCAAATGGTAACCCTCCTTATCGAACCATTTCTTTTTCTCTCTCCGTGCGACAGAACCTCAGCTGACGAGCAATGTTAGGCTGAATGACAAGCTGAAGGCACGGGGCCTGTCTATTGAGGACCTGGTCACTGACCTCTCCGACGGCGTATGTCCCACCTCTGCCCCGCTCTGGAAATTCTTGGAAACCGCTGATCGCATGTTAGGTCATTCTTATTCACCTCCTCGAAATCCTTGGTGGAGAGTCCCTCGGTCGATATGCCTCGAGACCTAAATTGCGTGTACAGCGTTTCGAAAATGTGAACAAAAGTCTTGATTTCATCAAGGGGAGGAGAATTCAGATGACGAATATTGGAGCTGAGGATATTGTGGATGGCAATCAAAAGATCATCTTGGGTTTAATCTGGACCCTGATTCTGCGATTTACTATCAGTGACATCAACGAGGAGGGCATGACTGCGAAGGAAGGGTTGCTACTCTGGTGTCAACGAAAGACGGCATGCTACGACGATGTAGAAGTCCGAGACTTCTCATCCAGCTGGAACAACGGCTTGGCTTTCTGCGCGCTTCTCGATATTCATCGACCCGACCTGATCGACTATGACTCGTTAGATAAGAGTGATCACCGTGGAAATATGAAGCTAGCCTTTGAGATTGCATCCAACGAAATTGGTATTCCTGACCTACTCGATGTGGACGATGTATGTGACGTACCCAGACCCGACGAACGCTCGCTCATGACCTACATCGCCTACTGGTTCCACGCTTTCTCGCAGTTGGAGAGAGTCGAGAATGCTGGGCGACGTGTGGAGAAATTTGTCAACAACATGCACGGCGCATGGGATATGCAGAATTCATATGAGCGCCGAGTGAAGGAATTGTTGCGACTGATTCGTGGCCAGCGCGAGCACTGGAAGAGCTCTTCGTTCGAGGGAACATACAAAGACGCCAAAGAACAATCTTATCAGTTCTCGCTCTACAAGCGGAACGAGAAACGCCAATGGGTGGCCGAAAAATCTGATCTGGCTGCTCTGCTGGGCAATATCAAAACCAAGCTGGGTACATATCGACTGCGTCCGTACGATCCACCACAAGAACTGAGTCCAGAAAACTGCGACAAGGAGTGGGAAATTCTTACCCGGGACGAGCATGAACGCAGTCAACTTATAAACGAAACAATCCGTGACATCAAAAATAAACTACGCCGCTCCTTTGCTGACAAGGCAAATGACTTTGCGCTGACCCTCAAGACTTTGTCATTGGCGATCTCTGGACTGGATGGTGATGTTGAAGACCAGCTTGATCATGTCAAAAAGTTAAATGGCAACTTGCCGCCACTCGATGCCTTCCTCGACACTATCGCAGAATTGGACCAACAGTGTGCAGAAGCCAATATTGAGGAAAACGACTTCACCACATACACCCTAGACGAGCTTGCGTATGAGTTGAGTCTCGTCAAATCCAGCATTTCAAAGAAGCTGGCTTTCCTCGACAACCAGATGGTTGCTCGCAATATGACCAACCTGACTCCTATCCAATTGGAAGAGTTTGAGTCGGTGTTCCGCCATTTTGATCGTGACTCTTCCAACACGCTCCAAGAGCTCGAGTTCTCTGCAGCACTGGCCAGTCTGGGACTGGTCTACGATGAAGATGAGATGCACCAAGTCTACGTGGAGGTATGTGGGGTCAACCGACTGTCGCAAAATGCCGGGGTCAGCTTCGAGCAATTTATCCGCTTTATGGTCAGTGTGACAGAGGATCAAAATACTGCTGAACAGGTCTTCCAAAGTTTCAAGGAAGTCGCCGATGGCAAGGTATGTGAAGCATTTCTGGTAATTTATCGGGCTACAGCCATTAACTTTTCCTGCAGCCCTATGTCACAGAATTGGACCTCCGACACTCACTCATTCCTGACGATGTTATTGAGCACTTAGTTAAGACAATGCCCCCACATGATGGCCCCGATCTACTTGAGGACCGCGAATTGCCCAAGTACGACTACATCAGCTTCATGGAGAAAATGCGAGAAGTAAACAAAAATAATGGGAATGAGCAATAAAGGGTATCATGGAGGTTGATATTTGCGCAGCATTACTGGTGGTTATGGGGAATTTGCACTAGCTTGGTGTTGCTGTGTTTCTGGTGTTTTCAAGGAGGACTCTCATGTTTTTCTAAGCATGGATCTCTCTCCCTCTTGTTGTTTTTTTGTCCTTGGCTCATCTTGCATCCTGGAGCTCGGCGGTTGTTACTTTTAACACATTGTGTGTATGCTTTTTTGTTTGTAATGATCAGGATACCATGTGAACATTTTCGAATTATCGGTAGACATGGAGTCGGAATTAGACAAGCAAGAATAGCCAAGATACATGAATATGTCAAACCCCTATTGCGATCGAGTCCTTGAAGCTATGTACTATTTTGGGTCTGCTATGTAGATGTCCACGAGTGGATATTGCCAATCATTGCCGTATTCACCCATGGATACAATTCACGTCATGTGACAGTCCCCAGATCCGCATCGGAGTTGATGAAGATATCCTGCGACTCATTGTACTTCTCGACACCCCTCGCTTCCTTCTGTACTTTTTTTTGAATCCAAGTCAGAACAGAAATTTGTTGACCACTCTCTGCCTTACACTTCTTATTTCTTTCCTCAATCGCATCCTCAGCTACAGTTTCCAAGATGGACCGCAGCTTGGACGAGATCATCGCTGAAGACACGGTAAGGCTCCAGCGATCAATGAAACCACAAAAATGTGAAACTGACTCACTTAATTGCAGCGGAACTCTGGTCGCCCCTCTGGTGGTGGTGGTCCCCGTCGTCACAACAACCCCGGCCGTCGCCACGAGCGCGATGGCGTCAGAAAGGTACAACTTGACATGAAGCTGAGGCTTTGTTCCAGGGTGGTATTGCATGACAGTGAAGCTAATATTTTACTTTGTATCTAGGTCCGCCCTCCTACTCCTCTGCGAATTTTCTTCTTGCTCCGTGACAATCGTAGCCAGTCCTCTGGATCGTCGGAGACTCGCCAACGAACACGCCATGGCAAAGACATGGAAAAGAACTTTGCACGATACCTCATCTGACTTGGAGCTAACGCTAAGTCTATTCGAAAACAACAGCCATACACTTCAGACCGTGTCGATCTCAACCTGTGAGTATTCTTCGCTGGCTACTAGGGTGTGGATGATACTGACGGGTCTGTGTTTCTAGCGATTGGGTGCACGACAAGTTTGACGACGATCGATGTATGTGGCTTTTTCGTGCTTTGTCGAGACCCTTCTAACAGCATTGCTCTTCAGCCCGCCCGTCCCGTGGAGGCCGCAGAGGCCGCGACGGACACGATTCCGATCGGTATGGAGCCACCCATCATATCAGCTTTGATTTGATAGCTCGTCTGATCAGAGCGCTAACCGGATCATTAGCTCTAGCACACTGACCAAAGTCCGCGTCGAGAATCTTCACTACGACATCACCGAATCCGATCTCGAGGTAAGTCTCAATCAGGCCATACTCAACACTCACATAAGAATATTTCTAACAATTCTCTTCGCTGAATAGGATCTTTTCGGCCGAATTGGACCTGTTTCTGAACTGACTGTCTCTTATGACCGCGCTGGACGCTCCGAGGGAGTTGCTTACATCACATACGCTCGCCTGAAGGATGCACACACCTCCATTGAGGAGTATGACGGAGCCAACGCCAAGGGCCAGCCCATCCGTCTTTCTCTGGTGCCCGGCCGGCGTGAACGTAACCCCCTGGACTCCGCACATCGCCCTAGACCCAGCCTTATGGACCGCGTCGAACGCCCCCGCGACGATCGCAGCATGAGCCCCGATGACAACGTAGACGGCCGACGTCGCCGTGGTGGGGGAAGCCGTGCTCATCGCAGCGACGTCACCAAGCCCGCACCCGACAATATCGACCGTTACGTCCCCGGGCAGCGCTCTCGCCAGCGCTCTCCTAACCGCCGCGGTGGAGGCAGACGTGGTGGACGCGACAACCGCTCCCAACAGACTGATGGATCCAACCGCCGATCCAATGCCCGTCCGCGTAAGACACAAGAGGAGTTGGACCAGGAGATGGAAGATTACTGGGGTGGTGCGAACAACGGTGGTGAAGCGGCTGCACCCGCTCAGGACGCCCCTCAGCAGAGTGCTCCGGCCCCCAGCGCACCGGCTGCCGACGATGATATCGATATGATTGAGTAAATACTTTCACGGTCACTCAAACTACGCGAAACTCGCTTGTCTTTCGCATTTCAGATCTTGTGGGCCTTTGTGATACATTGCTTTTGGTCTTTTCTATGGATCCAGATCAGATCACCTCGGCCTTTTTCCACTCTACTTTCTTTCAACCGCTGAGGCATTTCGGCACGAGCGCTGAAACTCTGTACTTTACCTCAACCAACAAATTGTAACTTCGTCCATACCACCCATTTGGCTTTTACTGCTTCGGTTCCCTTTACCTTCACGGTGCTCTGTCCTTGTCCTTGTCCTTGTCCTTGCTTTCCTTGCATATCCACACGCCGGCGAAATGGAGCTCGTGATAAAGTCTTCTTTTATTATTGCATTGTTTGGTGTTTTTCTTCATGTCTTTCTATCGTCTAGTCGGAGGTAAAATCAAATGCGTAATGCCATAAAGCTTGCATACAAAGAACGAGAGGCTGCTTGCAATCAATGGATAGTGGCAAGCTACAAGTAGATAAAGCCTAACTCCAGTAAAGGCTGCCGCCAATTATAAATGAAACAAGGACCGCAAATGACAAAGGAAGATATGAGATTCTTCCCTGATTTCTTCTGTACACTGTAACAATTATGAGGGTTTCAAGTTCACCGCCACAGCCCGTAAGGTTCGCGGCATGCTTTCCACAACTTGATAGTACCGTCCTCGCTACCGGTTCCGTAGAGCTTACCATCGGGGGAGAAACTGATAGACCAGATAGGGCCATGGTGACCCTTTTGAACCTCTGCAGAACAAGTTAGCACGGCTCAAATGGTGAAAAACACAACACCAGAAGTAAAAAGACATACCCAGCTCTTCGTCCGTGTTCAAGTCGTAAACTCTTGCCCAGGTATCATTCGCACTGCCCGTAACCAGACGGCCAGACTCGCTATTGACCGCAGCACTGGCAACATCATAGTCATAATCAACCTTCTTAAGCAATCGACCATGCTGCACGCCGTCAAAGAGATAAACACTCTTGCCTGCAGCGACTGTCAAAATCCCCGCATCATTAGGTCTCGTTGCCAGACTATTCAGCTCACAGGAGCCAATCGGACCATCAACAATATACTCAACGATCGGGTGGCGCGAACGCAGATCCCACCAGCGGATCTTGCGGTCTTCCGCCGCCGTCGTGACGACATTGTAGTCTTGGTTCCAGACGATAGACTTAATTGTGCCGCCATGCACGCCTGCACCGATCTCGTAGCTAGCCACCCCATTCTCGGTAGCCGAACTGGCTGAGGACGGGAGAGGCGGCGTTGAGCCTGTGCTGGAACTGCCGCCCCGCGTTAGATCGAAGATTCGTAACTTCTTCTCTGCGCCGCCTGTCGCGAGCACTTGTGGGTTCGCTTGAATGGGGAATGCTACTGCCCGCACGATGTGTGCGTGCTGCAGTGTGTGCAGACATTCGCCTGTGTAGGTATCCCAGACCTTGCTGTTTGGGGATCGAGGTTAGTTTATCATTCTGGGAGATGATTAGTGAAGTGCTTACGCAGAGAAATCGGCTGCTGCTGTTGCTGAGATGGCGGCGTCGGCGGAGAGCCTTGCTTGCCATACGGCGCCTTTGTGGCCGAGGAAGGTTCCAATCCTGGGGAGTTGATGTTAGAGGGTGATTTCTGGGCTTGGTTTCATTTGTCGTACCAATCTCCCGTGATGCCATCGCGGAGCATGGGATTATTATCTTCGGTTGGTTAGTGACTATGCGATGACTTGTGAGACTTGTCGAGATCATTGATCATTCTTACCTTTGCATGAAGAGATGAAGTAATATTGCTCGTCCTCGACGGTAGAAGAGAAGCTCAGATGCGTCACCGGACGAGAATGCCCGTGGCAAGTCAGAGGGACTACCTTGGGGATATCTGCTAAATGCGCATCAGTAAATATACAAAATTGTAATTTTCAAATTCCATCTACACAGATCACTCACCGGCAGTCATTTTGTCAGTGTCAAGGGAAGTTCCCGTGGTTTCAGTAGTTTTGATGTTAGGTATTAGAGAGCCAGTCAGATCAGCGAAGTGCTATGTGCCCAACCGAGAGCTCGCGACTTGATATCACGATGCAAATCCAGGAACCAAACCGAGAGCAAGTTCAATATGTCTAAGGAAGGTACATAAGAGATTCGTCAGGGTCGTCAAGTCATCAAACAGATATGTGGGGTTTGAGGAAAAGCCGAGAACAAAGGACCGAAGAAAGTGGATTAGACAAGGATTTTTCCAACCAGACACCTCAAAAGGAGAGAAGGCCTCTGTAAATACGAAACTCCTTCGGTGTGTAGATGAACTTGAATTTCAATTTCAAGCAATAACGGGCAGCCCTGGAGCCGATCACCTATTAGGTAAGACGCACGCTAGTCTGATTCGGGTATAATTGGAACACGTGAGGCTCATCGCATGCAGTTCTATATGTTGTAGGCACAATTTGCAACGAATCATTCTGAACAGATATCGATGTACATCTAAAAGTACCTTTTGACGTGGGGGGAAATTGGAATAATTCATGCTTATCTCTGATGAAGTAAAGGCGATGGTAAGACTGTCGTCCCGGGAGGCGATCGGCCCAGCCTGAGTTAACCACCCTGAGCGCTCGAGGAGTGCCTGATCACCCCGATGCTCTGGTTGGCCGACGTCACGCTTCTTTCTTTGTCTCACTTCTGATAAGTGCTTTGTTGCCTACAGTCATTCCTAGGAGCTTGAACAATGAAATGGCGTAGCTTTACATTCTTTACGTATCTCCAGAGCCTGTCTCCTCGAACTCACTCCCAACGACCATGATCCGTCGGCCTATTGGAGATAAGGGTCTTCCCTGAGCCCGGTATCTGCTGTATCTTCCTTCATGATGGCAATACATTCTATGCAGCCCTTGGCGGAATTCTAAGGACGATATTCGGCCGCTATCCTTCCCCTCTATGCCCGGGATTCATACAGCTACAGAGCGCAGGAACCCCATTCATTACTATAGCCTAGCACAATCTCCGTATTCCATAAGCTGTACTGTCCCCATATAAAGAAGCTAGCGAGGCGTCAGTAACCTATCAAAATTCAAATGCTCTCTGATATACAGTTTTATGTATCTCCAAAGAAATGATTTGATAACGGAAAGGATAAGTTGGTAGTAGGTCAACTTTCATGTTCAACACATTGCGGTTTGAGGCTATGAGTGGTGGATCTTCCTGGGTCATTGGGGTACTTGGTGATGAATCACAATAGATCAACATATCGAAGACTACTGATTACTGATGGGGCAGTAGAGTTTGCATAGCAGACTCAGGTTTTCTTACCATGTTCAGATAGAAACTCAGGATCATGCGTCCTCAACCATCTCGTTTTCCCAGATCTAGGCCATAAACCCCCCCCCCGCACAGTCGTATCGTCTCGTAGCCGCCGGGAGCTTGGAATATCGAAGGCAAGTCGGCCTGCTATCAAATCGTGATGGTTTCCACCTAGTGCATTACGCACCAGATGCACGGCGACACTGTCATCCTGGACTGTTGTTCTCCCCTTCACAAACTTCCGGCTTACTCCTTTCCAAAATTGACCGAAGTCGAATGGTTCATATGTTGGTTTCGGCTCGCTGTTCTTTTCCGCAGCTACTTTCGGTTCCAACCACTTCCCCACTAGATCAACAGCCTGCTGGCTAGACAGCATATCCCACAAGCCGTCTGTTGCCATGATTAGGAACGAAGGAATACTAGGGTCAATCTTAGTGCTTGTTACGACCGGTTCAGTTGTCAAATAGGGTGGCGTCTGAATGTTGTATGTTGGGACTAGAGGGGGTGGACCATAGAATCTCCTTTGTAGGTCCTTCTGGAAATGAATAGGCCACTTCCACTAGCCATCGCCAAAGGCTCGTGAATCCCCAATCCCTAGCACCCGTCCGTTTTCATCAATACCTTCTTTATTGGGGTACTCTTTGTGAAGCCGGGCAATTTCTTCTTTGTTTTGCCGGTCTGATCTGCTGACAATGGTATTGCTTCCCACCTACCATCCGGCCTTTGCTGCCCCAGAGCCGGTCTTGAATCACCGGTACACGCTACATGCCATGTGCCCCTTGTAGAATCATACATAGAGAGTAAAGCGCTTGACCCGGAATAAGCAGGTGCCAGTTTCTTTATTCTTTCTTGTAGTGGTTCTTGGCTTTGAGAGGTACCAAGAGCTGTTTTGACAATGGAATCGTCAAGGTTTATGAATCCTTGAATGATGGCGCGCTGCACTCACTCATCTGGCACAGGGCTTTTGGTTGGGGTCGGCTGCATTTGACTCAAGCTGTGTCGGACAAAAGGCAGGAGTTGCGTCTTCAGCAATTCTGATTTTTGTGGTCCTGAATGACCATCAAAGACACCCCGGGCCATCCATTTACTACCTCCTTTCCATGGCGAAGGAAGTTTGCCATGGGTGAACTGATCCTCGCACGGGCTGTCAGAAGCTAGTTGAGCACCATCATATCTGGTGACGCCGGCAACATGTCTGACGGGAAATGAAAATGCTCCCTGAGATATGATACGCGTGACTTGAGCTTTAGAAGGACCTGGTTCAACGCTCCAGTACTCAGCTGGAGGGCTTTCAATATATGGCGCGTCGTCGCGAGAATTTTCCAACCACCAAATGGCAGGTGCACCGACTACACCAGCAACCATCATGTATCCCACCAATTTCGAGAATGGGCCTAAACCTGAGCCAGAGCCCTAAGTTGAATATGAATTTTTGGCCTGCAACCCCAGGCTTGATGCTTTGCTCACGCGTAGTCGCGATCGAGTCGCCCCCCCATGACATTGTCGGTAGAGTTCAACTGAAGAGATTGGAAGGGAAGGAAGACGGGAGGTATCGGAAGCAATGTATGTAGGCGTAGTTTGAAATCCCTTCTTCCCATCTGTGATTATGGGAGACATTGAGAATTTGGCCCCTTGCCTATGTTGTACTTGTGGAAGGTGGATTACAGTAGGTACCTAGGCAGCATTTATTTTATATTATGACCAGAGGTACCGGGTTCAGATCCAAATTACACACTAAACTACCCAGGTGGATTCCAGCTCAGAGGGACTTGCACTTAACGGGTGCAGCTTCATTTAGCCGATTTGGATCTATCTCATCGATCACACCGACTAAGAAAACGGGGAGATGAGACCTTAAGGACAGGCCACCGTGGCGAGAATCTGGTCTCAAACTGATCCAGTGAGACTGTAATAATTTCGACTTCCTCGCCCTGTTCCTTCGCAATTGTATCGTTACAGCGTAGTCCTCTACGCTCGGATGGAGATATAAATGGACTTGCTAATCTGGTAGATGGGACTTAGTAACACCACCTCGGGAAGTTTTAAGAAAATCCACTACTCCGTATAGAAAATCCAATCAAAATGTCCGTTTGCAGTTGATAAGTCGCGTTCTAGCAGGTTCCCCAAATGGCGTTACCGCCCACGTGATATGACTATCGATGCTTCGGCGGGGCGATCCCCCGGAACGACTAAAGGACAACAACATACAGGGGAGCTTGATTGATCATTAATTCCGCGGTGATATCCTCAAAATATCTCTTTATCGGATTCTTTTGCCTTTAATCTTTTCTCCCTCGAAGTTTTATGTATGCCTGACTTCAAGCTCTCCGCAACTTTGGAGGGCCACGGCGATGATGTAAGGCTCCTGGTCCCAGCGTCTGTCCAGACGCCGTTGACTGCGCATCCAAACCACAGACTACTCACACCATTTTGATTTCCCATCTAGGTTCGCGCTGTGGTCTTCCCAAACCCAAATGTCGTCCTTTCGGCTTCTCGTGATGCAACAGTTCGGCTTTGGAAGCTCGTCTCCACTCCACCTCCCGCATATGACTATACCATCGCTGCACATGGTGGCGCCTTCATCAACAGTCTAGCCTACGTTCCTCCCACATCCGAATTTCCAGAGGGTCTAGTTCTTTCTGCTGGACAAGATGCAATAATTGAAGCCAGACAGCCTGGTAAGGGTGCAGAGGATAATGCGGACGCTATGCTCCTGGGTCATGGCCATAATGTCTGTGCCCTAGATGTGTCCCCGGATGGCAAATGGGTCGTCAGTGGTAGCTGGGATTCCACCGCCAGGTTATGGAAGGTTGGGAAATGGGAGTGTGATGTCGTGCTGGAGGGACATGAGGCAAGCGTCTGGGCCGTGCTGGCGTATGACGAGAACACAATCATCACGGGTATGCTATCGTTTACAGCCTTCGTAATTCCATACATGCTAACATCGTCACAGGCTGTGCTGATAAAATGATTCGGATGTTTAATACCTCGGGAACCCTACTCGGAAGCGTACAGAACTCAAACGACGTTGTCCGGGCCTTGTGCAAGCTTCCTGCCTCGAACTCCACAGGAGCTCACTTTGCCTCGGCTAGCAACGACGGAATTATTCGTCTTTACACACTGCAAGGCCAACTTGTTGCCTCTCTACATGGTCATGAAAGCTTCATATACTCCCTCGCTGCGCTCCCATCTGGTGAGCTGGTGAGCTCCAGTGAAGATCGTACCGTGAAGGTTTGGAGCGGGACCCAATGTGTGCAGACAATCACTCATCCCGCAATTTCTGTGTGGAGTGTGGCGGCTTGTAGGGAGACCGGTGATATCGTCACTGGTGCTAGTGATCGCATTGCTCGTGTTTTCAGCAGAAGCACGGACCGTCATGCAGCCCCGGAGGCCATACAGCAGTTTGACCAGGCCGTCAAGGAGTCAGCTATTCCGGAGCAGCAAGTTGGGAAGATTAACAAAGAAGAGCTACCTGGTCCGGAATTTCTCAAAGAAAAGTCCGGAACCAAGGAAGGTCAGGTCCAGATGATCCGAGAGCCTGGTGGTACCGTGAGCGCCCACACCTGGTCGTCAGCCACGCAGGAATGGATTGCTATCGGTATGGTAGTGGACTCAGCTGGAAGCAGTGGCCGGAAGACCGAATACCATGGTCAGGATTACGACTACGTCTTCGATGTTGACATAGAAGATGGCAAGCCTCCGCTAAAACTACCGTACAATGCCTCGCAAAATCCATATGAGGCTGCTACCAAGTTTATTGGAGACAATGAACTCCCTATGACTTATTTGGACCAGGTTGCCAACTTTATCACTCAGAATACTCAAGGTGCCACCATTGGGCAGGCCGAGGAATCTACGGGTGCTGATCCTTGGGGCTCAGACCGACGTTACCGCCCTGGAGACGCCGCAGCGACTGAAGAGCCTCAGCCACCGGCTCCCGAACCACGCCCCAAGGTGCTCCCTCAAAAGATTTATCTCTCCATCCGCTCAGCAAATCTCAAGGTTATCACGAAGAAGCTTCAGGAATTGAACGCGAAACTTGTATCTGATGGAGCCAAGGACGTGGCTTTGAGCCCCTCGGAGGTGGAAACGGTAGTCGCCTTGTGCGGTCAGCTCGAATCCTCTCAGCAGCTTAAGCTTACACCGGAGGTTGAGTCTGGGGTGCCATTGATTTTAAAAATTGTCACAACCTGGCCTGCCACTAACCGACTCCCTGGCCTAGATATTCTTCGTTTACTAGCGGCTGCTGTGCCATTTACAGCTTCCGCCGAGTACAATGACGAAAATGTCGTGTCAGGTGTGATATCCAGCGGTGTTTTTGAATCTCCTCTTAATGTCAACAATGCAATGCTCGCAATGCGGACATTCGCCAATTTATTCGAGACGACCGCGGGCCGCGACCTGGCCATAAGCTCGTTTGATCAGATCTTGGCAGGAGTAAAGTCGGCATTAGCCAGCAGCGGAGAGTCGCCAAACCGCAACCTTACAATCGCCATCACGACACTGTACATCAACTTCGCTGTCTACCTTACCTCCGAGGGTAGAAGCCAATCTCCAGAATCGGCAGAAAGGGGTCTGGTCCTCCTGGAGGAACTGACTGGGATCATCGCGGGAGAGAAGGATTCAGAGGCGGTCTACCGAGCTCTAGTTGCGCTCGGCACACTGGTGACAGCGCTCGGGGAGGAAGTTAAGAGTGCTGCCAAGGATGTCTACGAGATTGAAGGGGTTCTCACGAGAGCCTCTGCCTCCGGTCCTGGAAAGGAGCCGCGCATCAAGGGCATCATTAGCGAGATCCGGGAGGCTCTTTGAGAGTACGTGCTATTTTTTACTCGGTATGCATACATCAAGGATGCATTCCTTCTTAACGACGACAACGCGATTCCCACATAAAGGCTATTCATTACTTTCCCTTCCAATTCGTATTAGCTAAATCCTAAATGCTCTCTCATCCATGAACTAAGTAGCGTTCTGAACCACCGTTCACTTCTTTACAACCTCCCTTCCGCATCAACCCCAATCTCCAAAACCTGATCAATACCTTGATATTGAGGCATGCTAAGCCCATATTTATCCGCAATGTTCTTCGTCAAAAACCTACCGCCAATGAAATGCCTGCCCCGGTAAAATGCCACACATGGCTTGGGCGCAGTCAGACTGATCAGCGCATGTGGCATAAACTTCGCACCAGGTCCTTCCTTTGGAGGTCCGCTCTGGATATCCCACGAGCTAGGCGCATCGACACTCAACGCCTTGACATTGGAGGATTCGATCTGCGAAACAATTTCGCCGAAGGGAGCACGCAATGGTCCACCAAAGGAGAAGCCGAAAATGGCATCAACAAGGAAATCTGCTGTCTTGAGGGCCGGTTGGAAGTCGTCTATGAAGGGGACGGAGAGGTTTTGGAGTTGAATCTTGAGGCGCTGGGTTGGGTTAGATCTAATGTTGCTTTTTGCTCTTAGAGCTCTTTTGGCACTTGGGGTTTCGTACTTGGTAGAGCTCGTTTTTGCCCTGTTTTGGGTAGTATACCGATGGTGTGTAGCCAAAGTGGGCTAGGTGTCGAGCGGCTACGAGGCCGTCTCCTCCTGCGGACTTTTTAGATCGTTGTTGCTTGCAATGGCAAGTTTGAGGTTTCTTCTTACCATTATTGCCTGGTCCACAGACAACTAGGATGTTCTTTCCTGCGCTCGGGGGGTGTACTTTCCACACTGATTGCCCACTGTATTAATATGGCAGTAGGTGCATGCTCAAGATCGATGGAACTTACCGGCTTGCGAGACAGAAAGGCCTGCTAATTCCATCAACTGGTCTAGAGACCAGCCCCCAGTCTCCATAAGGTCCTTGTCAAGTGAGGCGGCATCTTTGGCCGAGATTGCCTAAAGCATATGTCAGTTCATATGATTTGTAGCTAATATCAGACTACTATACCTTCAACGACATTATTGCTGGTTTACTATAGCGACGAATGGTGGGAGCTAGACGAAATTTGATGAGTGTAGAGCGGATCATATGGGTATGTCAAGCTCAGAGTCAGATTTTGGGTTACTTGAGTGAATTGACAGAAACTGTGTGAATCAAAGTGACAGTCAGCTCCGCAAGTAGATCTACTGAGGGTCCTCGGACCATTACATCATGTATGCGCTAATCCATATCTGGCTGTATCGGATCAATGATTAGTCCGTAACTCCTAGAACTTTTGCGGAGGCCAGGCGGGATTATCAGAAAACCAGTATTGCGCGCTCCTCAATTGAAAAAGCATTACACAACCGCCAAAATGGTTCTTCGAATTCGACTCGCGCGCTTTGGCAACAAGCACAACCCCTTCTTCAACATCGTCGTTGCGCAAGCCCGGTATGTGACTTCTCCCACATGAATCGATATCCCCGATACACCGGCCTCCAACGCCAAACACCGATGTTGCCAGGCTATGGAATAGTTGAATCCACTGTGCACACTACATCTATAAGATGAACTGAAATTGACCCTATTACCCTCAGCTCCGCCCGCGGCGCTAAGCCCCTCGAAGTCATCGGCACCTACAACCCCATCCCGAAACGTCCCACGAACCTGTACGATGAGAATGCCGAAGCGCGCCCATATAAAGAGATCGCTCTCGACCGGTCACGCGCAAAGTACTGGCTCGGTGTTGGTGCGCAGCCTAGTGATCCCGTCTGGAAGCTGATGGGCATGGTAAGCCGGACCCTTGTTTTCTGTATCTGCGAATGTTTGGCATTAGAAAAACCCGACAGAGATGAGCGGCTATTGTCGGATGCACATTTTTTTAGCAGATCATATAGACGGTGATTACGTCGTTGTTATACGGACTACTTCTGCTAACACTTGGACCTCTCTCTAGGCTGGCCTTGTTGCGCCCAAACCTACTACCTTTGATAAAGCTTGATTTTGCTTGTCTGACTACATGACTCTTTGAGGCTTTTTGGCTGGCATTCTTGATAGCTGTCCAAGGTTCTCCATTCCGACATTCTTTGTGGCCGGACAACATCCCAGAACCATGGAAAAGTCCAGTCATGCACCATGAATGACGGGTCGAAAGTTGCGCTGTGTTTCTTTTTTTTTTATTAGGCATTTTTGGCGTTATTGGGTTGCCTTGTGGGAACCTATGTATATTATATGGCAGCCTGGCTGCTCTGACTCTATGCGGTAGATGAGCCGCATGAATATCTACTGATACTTGAACTACGAAGAACACATGTCTATGTAGGCATATATTTCGTACCGAGGTAGTATAGGCATTACAAGCTGTAAAATGCTCATATGTATAATATAGAGTCATGAGGTATATAGATGCTAAACCGTAATATGTACAATGTTTGACACTGGAAACCGATCGTATTCGGTAAAAAAGCCAAAACATTTGACGCGCCTATGACCACTTCAGGCACACGTTCTTGAAGAAGTGTTATATAGCCCCCTAAAGTAGAGTGCCTTCTCTCCACGGCCCAACCAAATGAACTACCGCCCCCTCGATAAGCCCAAGTCATTTCCCCCTAGCAGCCAATCCCATGTGTTGCCGGGGTTGGACCCGTGGCAATTGGTCAGTGACCCTGGAGGATCGCCAGTTTTTGACTTTGTGAATTCCGTGGACGTGTGTGATGACCTTGTGGTGAGTTACAAAATGGGTTAGATATTGATATAAGATTATATAGAGAAACGAGAAACAATAGGTATTCAATATCAAGGCCGTTGGATCTTGCGATCTGGACGGCAGTTGTGAATATTTCCAAGCTTCTACCAATAAACCGTTAGCCTCGGCGTATTGTACTAATTCTGGTACTTTGGAGTACCGCATGTCCACGGATGTTCTACCGATTAAAAAAAAAACATCCTGGTATATCTATGTTTCATTACATAGAGCCCCAATCTCGTGCAGAGCCGGGGTACGGCAAGCCGCATGGGCTACACTTGCATGGCCGGTGCTTTTCCAGAAGAGACAGGTTCATGATCCACTCGTCGATCTTCCCAATACAAAGGAGAATAGAAAGGGAAAAAAAAAAAAAAAAAAAAAGGACATTCCTCAGTCACAAGTTCGGGGCACGCACTTAGTAACTGTCTGCATGCGGTCAGGTTCCAGGGCCACAGTGTAAGATTGTGTAAAATTGGGTAAAATTGTGACTATGTACTGTCATATACCCTAGAGTACATCCCTCAGTACGAGGATCTACATATAACCCCATGTACACCCACTGTTACATACCTGTTCCCCATTGAGTCGCGTCGTGAAGGGCAGATCCATGGATCTGGCACTTGTGGACTGGCACTCGACCGTTCCGGACTCTTTTCTTCCCCCCTCCCCTGCACTCTCCTTCTCCCCTCCTTTCAAACCCTTTTTCCCTTTTGCATACCATTCTTGTCCATCTTTATCTCAATCGTTTTCAAAGCGCTCATAGTCCAACTGTCGCAAATCCGATGAGACATCCAGTACTCGACTTCCGATCGAATCGCTAATCGCCTTCTTCATCTCTATCGCGCGTTTGGTCTACGATCTCTTGTCGCATTACCACTCACTGCGCCAAACTTCGACTTTCCAGATCCCGCGACTTCTTTTTTTTCCATATCCGGACTATCTTCCCCTGTGTGATCGCGAACCCCCTCGAAAAGCGAAAAAAAAAAAAAATCAAAAAATTTTCAAATCTCGTGGAGGGATGAGCGGCAGCTCTAGCCAGTCCACTCGTACGAGTCCCGGGTCTTTTGGAACTACACAACTCACAGAGTCCGTGTCATCTGGTTCGCCCCCACAGCAGTCACTCCCTTCTTCGCAGGCGCCTTTGACGTCTCAGCATGCGATGTCGACCGACGTCTATAGTCCGAATGCGTCGCAAGCGCCATCATCTATGAACCCTTCTTTCTCATACCCTTTCTCTCCTATCGGTACAACAGCTTCATTCGATAACAACATGCGCTTGGAGAACGATCGCAACCTTCAGGGTCTGAATGGCCTCAATCGTGGAAACGGAGGCGCGATTCTCATGCGCAAACTGCCACGAAACACGAGTCGCGAAGCCTTGCGCAGTATGCTTCTTTTCGCCAAGGACTTTGTTGACGCGGACTTTGTGACCCTGGATCTACCCGAGGATGATGGGTTTTTGACCGCGATCGCGCGATTCATTACCTTACCAGCCGCTGAAGAGGCCAGATCCCTACTCGATGGCAAGCCGAACTCCAAGAATGATGCCAACATGGTTGTGGAGATGTACCCCGGTCCGATGGGAGCGAACCTGTCCAACACGCGCCGTAATACCATCGATCATACCGCGAGTCGTGCGTTAATGGGTGCCTCGAACGGTCCCCTTGCGCGTCAATCGTCGCGCTTCAACGGCACATTCCAGAGTTTAGAGAGACTCTCTAATGCGAACCCCAACCAGCCTATTGGCGAAGGACTTCCACCGACTTCTGAATCAGGCTCGCGTATGCACAGCCTTTTCTCCCCACAATCTCCGATCGGAAATGGCATTGATAACCTCCCACGCATAACCGGGAAGTCTATGATTGATGAAGACCCGGACGAGGAGACGGGCGAGTTGCTCAAGGATCCAGTAGGCTATGCAGAGAATGGCCATTCGACCAATGTCTCTGCCGGTCGCCGGGCCACCAACCCCCAAATACCGACCAACCGCTTCGCCAATATGTCCTTGTCAACTAACATGTCCTCGCCACCTTTGCAGAACTACCCTGGGGGTGGCGCGCAACGCATGGGAGGTGGAACACCCGCATCTGCATACCCGAACCAAGGTCATGGTTTCCCATACAACGCTCAGCACACACCACGCCACAGCCTCCCCGCTGCAAACCCGAATGACCTGAATCCTCCTTGCAACACCCTCTACGTTGGCAATTTGCCACCAGACACTTCTGAAGAGGAACTCAAAGCCCTTTTCTCCAAGCAACGCGGATATAAACGACTCTGTTTCCGAAACAAGCAGAATGGCCCCATGTGCTTTGTTGAGTTCGACGAGGTCGCCATGGCCAGCAAAGCGCTCAATGAGCTGTATGGCTACAAGCTGTCGAACAGTGTCAAAACTGGCATCCGTCTCAGCTTTTCGAAGAACCCCTTGGGTGTGCGCTCTGGCCAACCCGGCAGCATGAACTCGTCCACTTCTGTCTCTGGGCAAGGCGCAGTTCCTGGAGGTAGCAGCTTGAGTGGAATGCATAACAACATGTTCTCGGCTGTCAACGGTCCCCCTCCTGGACTGGCAGCACCCCCTGGTCTTGGCATGCCCATGCCCGCGCCCCCGATGCGCAATGGTACCTCCATGCACACCCCCGTCAATCCGCATTCCGGACTGATGGCCAATGCCTCATACAACCCGAACTCGGGTCTCGGAATCCGAAATGGAGCTAATTCAATGATGATGTCGCCGCCGCCCCCTTCTAATTCCGGCGGCAACAACAACGTGGCACCGAACCTGAACGGCTATAATTCCTTTTACCCTGACTACATGATGGGTCGCTAAGCCCATAAAGCGTTATATTGAGATAATGCCCGGCATGTTTGAACGAACTGGGATATCTGGCGCATTTGGGGATCTTCGTTTCGTGAGCTAGATCAGCATTCGGCGGCTGCATAACTCTCGGGAGTATTGTTTCGGATTTGCTTTTCTGTTTTTCCCCCTTCTTGTTTTTTCCTGCCAGTGTTCTTCTTGGCTATTCGTCTTTCTGTTGCATGGGAACCCGGGCGCTCTTACATTCCTTTTTTGTTATCTCTTTTCATTGGGAGGATTGCATTTCAGGTCATTGCCAAACTTGTATTCTTATCTGGTCGGTGCGAGGCGCTCGAGAGCGTGTTTGTTTCTGCCATTGCGTTTCTTCCACACCTTCATACCCTCGTGATTTCTTGCTGTTCTTCTTGTTCATCTCGCTCGTTTACCCTGACTCAATAGGCAATGCACACTAATGCGTGTCTGCTGTCTACCCTAACGAGGATCTATACGAGCTCTTATCTACTTTATTCGACGTGATTCCCCCTGTTTTGTTACATCTATCCCCTGGATCTTTCTCGATGCATCGTCTGCGTGGATCGGAAAGGATTTTGCTGATTTACTTGCTTTCTCTATTGCAATGCGTGTTTATTTCTATGCAAGTATGAAAAAGAGCGTCTTATGTGGCTTTCTTTAGCTTCTCTTCTAATATTTCTCTACTCAATGGCATGAGCTACGGAAGGACATGACACCAGCTCACGCCGACCACATATTGTCCCAGGCGTTCGCGTTGGTTTTTTCTCTCTCCTGCCATATTCTTCTCATCTCGGCAGAGTCGAAGGCGTCCAGCCCATGCATTTTGCTCGAAAGCTCTTTCCTCATCTTGCTTGCATTGCCGCTCGTTTTGCTTTGGGTCCGGCTTACTCTGCTTCTCCAGAAGAATGAGGAAACGAGGCGTGTCTATTATTTTTTACTCTTTCTCTTACCCTGTCTTGCTTGGGGATATGACACCGATACATTTGCTCCGATCTGTACCTGATACAAATGAACTGGTTCCAGTTACCCTGGAGAACAAGCCCATTTAATTCCTCTATAATTATCTCAAGATCTCGTAAAGAGCTATGGGTCCCCTTTTTACATCATATGACGACTCTTCATAAATGTAATAGAAACTGTCAAACAAATCTGGCCTTGCGTTTGCTGCCATTTCAGAGCATATTCAACCCTATTTAGAGGCAATCTTTATGTTATGAGGCTCAAGATTATCAATGTGAGGAAGATGTTTACTCGGCTGTATACAAGTGGAGATGTAGTCACGTGATGGCACTACCGAGAAGTTTCTTCCCCTGCAGACACCTACACCTCCCGCTCCAACCCGACAATCTCGCGTCCTCCAATTATTGCTCTAAAAGGGTCAATGGCAGCTGGAACTCCTTGATTCTTAATATCCAGCGTCTTGCATTCAGTTTAACATCAAATCTTCCCTACCGTTCCCTCATATTCTCCCAAGATGCCACCCCGGATACAGAGCCGGAGTGTCTCCAACACCCTTCTTCCCTACCTCACAGCTCCCTCCTCTTCCTCATCCTCCCTCTCTTCTCTTCCTTCATTATCCTCTACGTCATCACAATGTCTTTCCCGTCAATTCTCTGCCACGGCAGCGCCACAAGGACAGACCAAGCTCCGTCGGCAGATGTTCGAATGGCTTAACAATGAAGGATCCGTCTTCAAGCATCACATCCCTGGAGAAACCAACTACCTTACTCGCTTAAAACAGCGAGGCTCAGAGAGTTCGGAGAAGAGCCGTCCGTTCCCCAACAACCAAAATTTCTTCAGCGAGCCTATCCTCAGTGAGGAGCTACGGAATGAGGTCTATAACTGCGTTGTTGAGCAGAAGAAGAGTGTCCGCGTCGTCAGTGTGGAACTTGGAATCGATATGAAGCGTATTGCTGCTGTCGTGAGATTGGTGGAGTTGGAGAAGAGACAGCGCACACAGGTAAGAACCTTCTTCCCTTTCTGCTTTTCCCTTCTTTTCCTCCCGTACTATGCCTCGATCCTCCACGCATATGATGAGTCACAAAAAATCGATTAGTCTTGAAGACACCCACATGGTTATACCAATTTTTGAACTGAACTGCGTTACCCTTACATTTTTGCATTCCTCTCAAGTTTCATTTGGCCCAGTGACATGAACTGACGAATATCAAATCAGGGTAAACCCTTAGCACTGCCATATGCCCGGGCCATCCACGAGATGGTCCCCACCACACCCCTCGCCGAGAAAGGCGAGCGTCAAACATACCACGAACACATCAACGACCTGCCTGCCCACCCCCTGACAGGCTCTCAAATTTTCTATCCAGTTCCCGAATCCCGCTCTTTCAACCGTGTCGAGGCAGGTCGCGTCTTCTCCGGCGCCCCCGCAATGGAGCACTCCGAGGCCGCAGCAATCTCCCACCCCTCTGACCTCGCCGAAAAGATCCTCGAGGACCCTAACTCCATCGGTTGGGTCGGCAAGGGCGCTAATGCCCGCCAGATCCTGCAGCCTGCTGATGTGCGCATTCCTCACCCTCACATGGTTGCCCTGGAGCGGGACCGTCTCGCGCACCCCAACGAGCGTCTAGCTGTTGCGGATCTCCAATCTAAGAGACTGGAGCGCCAGGACGCCATTGAGCAAGCACGTCGCGAGCGCATCCAGGCTCGCCGTGAGAAGAAGTTGACGGTAGTATCCCCCGAGGACTCGCGCTTCGACTACCGTATCAAGGATACTATCTACACCAAGGAGACCACTGGTGCTGATGGCCGTGGTTCAAAGGCTGCCGGTCGTCGCTATGGTGTGCCTCACCGCGACCGCACACGCGGCGAAGTCAAGATTCCTACCCGTGTGGAAGCTTGATTGATTTTGAGATAGTCCTCACCGGGGCAGTTTCTCTCCTTTTTTGTGTTTTTCAGCAACTTTTGTGGCTACGGCCTTTGTAATTTTACTTGTATGCTACTCATCCATGGATGTATGAAGGAGGTTGACTACTTATGTACCTATATACCGGATAATATCCTTTTCCATTTCACGGTAAATCTGAGCTTGTATTCTGTGCTCGCCCAGAGTGATTTCTGAGCATTACGTATAATCAACCATCCCGGCTACTCCGGTGCCTCCGGGAAAGCTCTGGTGCATGGATGCCCGAAGATAATCATGGATGACCTTGGATGATCCCCGGGCATCTCCCGCAGACATTTCGTATCCTATCAGGACTATCAGGAATATCTGAAAGAACATATCCTATACGATCAGCACAGAAATTAAGTGTTCAAGAATCTCCCGTTTATCAAAAGTACATATAATAGTAAGGTCGGTTTAAAGTATTCACCTTGAGATTAGTGCAGCCACAGTGTGGGGTGATCATATAATCCCCCCTGTCCATAATCCTAGACTAAACATGTATACCATTCCCCGAATCCTGCCAGCCCTGGACAAATGAATGCCGAAAAATATAACAACCCGGAGATATCAAAACCACAATGCCCAACGCCTCGCCAAGAATCAAACATCAAAAGATATATGCCCAACAGTCCGCCATTCCCTCCAGCCCTTTCCGTTCCTATGCCGTTCCACTCCTTCCCATTTTCATGTTCTACCCAAATAGCCACATGATGGACTTTCAACGGGTCTCCCCGACAGTCCGACAGCGTCTCTTCTTCGTCCCAACCCATCCGGAAATCGCATCGGATTCAGCCTCGTCATCGTTGGAAATAAAGATAGACCCGATCGAGGCGAGAGCATTCTGAAGCCATGAAGTAGTGGGCGAGGCTAGAGATGTATTCGATGACATGGTCTGAGTGCGGGGGTCAGATGGTGACATTGCGAGATTTGGGAGGTTTGTGATGAGAGTTGTTGAGTATGGTAGATAGGGTATATTGAGACTCGATAATATATAGAGATGTATATATAGGATGTCAAGAGGTATGTAGGATGTGAATGTAGGATGTGAAGATTCGAGGGCAAGCTCATGGTATTTAAAGACCGACGACATGGACGTCACATGCAGCGGAAAGTAGAAGCCAGAGTCTAGATCACCTGCGTCCTTTGTGACCCGAATGTGGATTGGTCGATGTATCGTGACTTGGGGACTTGGTATTGGATTTCTGAAAGCTTCGGTCGCGGTTGCACTGAACTATTGACTAGATATGATGAGGTGCAGGTCTTCGTACTTCGGTCATATTGGGCTTGATTGGTGCTATGTGCTACGTATGATGAGATTGTGCAGATCTATGTACTACTATTGATTCAGATGGAATATAGGGGGGTTTGGATGTGATCGATACAGTTGATGAGTAGCTATTGGACGAGTTCTTTCTTTTTCGGGATTGTATTACTTTGAATACGACAGAATCAGGAAAGGAATAATTTGTGCACAATTTAGGCTGAAGATAGATTTTGTGTTTCATTCATGGTCTTGGCTTAGTTTAAGGTGGAAAGATGAAAAGATGAAAAGCTACAAATGGTATCACGCTGAGGGTTCCAAGGCTGAGACGAATACTTTACATACTATGGCTAAAGGTATCTACAAAACCATCACCTCTCAAAGGTATTAGTGAAATAAGTACAAGGCAGGAGGATACACCAAGCCCTCGGCAGTCAAAACAAACAAAAAAAAGACTGTACATTGACAAGAAAGAGGCATGGGGACATCTCGTCCGTGTATATGAGAATGTCCATTGCATAAAAGTCATATGCAAGAGCGAAAATACGGGCGGACAAAGGAAACCAGCCAGGGTGAGGGGGAGTACGCAGGCCGACGTATATGTAGCCAAAAACAACAAAATATATCCATGTAGCCAAAAGAAGATCGACGAGGAAAACCATGCACTGGGTCCGAGACCCTCCAGTGAAGTGCATGCTACCATGACAAGAAGAGGAAAGGGCAAGATGGGAGAGAGAAAAGACATGTTGCTATGCGGGGTATTCAATGGGAGAGAGACAGAAAGTCGAAACAGATTGGAAGAACAAAAAAGTGTGGGAAATGTGTAGGGATTGGCCCAAGGCATGGTAGCTCATCCAGAGACAAATCGATCTTCATTTTTCATCCGGACCTGCAGCCGTCGCATCACTGGTTGGCACGACGTCGTCCGATGTTGGCAAATGCGGACTCACGGGCGAATCTATGGTGTCAGGACTGCCGCTACCCCATGAATCTTCCCGCAGGATTTGAGCCCCTGGTGGGAGTGGCTTGGTTTCAGCCTGATCAGACTTATTGGGGGTGCGGGAGCTCGAGGGCGATGGAGGATCCACCTGTGGCGGTTCTTTGCGGTAGCCACCTTGCATCGGACTGGCGGTTGTGTCAACAACCGGCGAGGCAGGGCGAGGAGAGTCCAGGAACCCGCGCCATTTACGCCAACCTTCAAAGTCAATCAGGGCTTGCATGCAGCCCCATTCTGTCACTTTCTGCTCGAGCCAAGGAAATCCGACGGGCTATTTGAGAAACGTTAGCATACTGATTGAGAAAAGATACTTAGTCGCAATAGGGGGTTTGTTATACCTTAGTCAGGAAATCGTTGCAGCCAGCAGCCAATGCCTCGTGTCGATCACTTTGCAGACTGCTAGCTGTCAACGCGACGATAATAACTGGACTCCGGAACAGCGATAGATCTGACAAAGTGTCCTCTTCGCTCACCGTGCGGTGAAGACCGGGTCTTCTGTCCGCAGCAGACGTATTGGACGCGCTGAAGCGTCCAGAGGCTGTCTTCGGGAAGACACCAATACCATTTAAGCGCTCCAGGCGCCGGATCTCCTTGGTGGCTTCCAGACCGTTCATCACCGGAAGCTGGATGTCCATCAGGACTAAATGGAATCCACCTTGTCGCCATTTCCGTACCGCCTCTTCGCCGTTCATTGCACATTTCCAGCGCACTTTCAGCCTTTTCATGAAGGCCTCCAAAAGCTTCTGGTTGATGATGTTGTCTTCCACAATGAGGACATTGATTGGCGGAACGGTGCCGTCAATCAACCCACCGAACATAGCACCAGGAGAGGTGGCCGCTTTGGATTTTCGAACCACGCGTGGTGATGCAGTTGCCGGGGGAGTGTGTGATTTCACCTGTGGAGATTCTACCGGCGGTGCTGCCACCGGGGGTGTTGGAATTGCGGGAGCAGCAGTCGGGATAGGTTGGGAATGAGGAGTAGGGCCGGTTTCTATGGAGGTTAGTGGCCATTTTGAGGAAACTAACCTTGTTTGAAAACGTACCTGTTATGGTTGGTTGTTGGTTATGAAGAATTGTGGGAGAATTCGTTTTGTGTCGTGTCAACGGAGGTCGTTGTCGCACCCTACGGCTTCCCGGGGATGGCAGCAAAGGAGCAACACCACTGTTGATAATGGAAATTGACGGCGCACTGGCCGTTGCTGATGGAGCCCCCGAGTGTGCAGATGGTGTGCCCGCATTCGCATTGACCGGCGGCATGAGAGGGAAATAATCGCCGTGCTCACCGGGTTCCGAGTGGTGGTGGTAGATTGAATGGCGCGGCGATGGTTTTGGGGTCCGACGTGACGGGGCATCTATCACCAACGCTTCCTCAATTTTCTGTCCGCCGGGATAGTATGTATCGAGTATAGATGAGACGACTTCCTCCGGGCTCAAGAGGCGCTCGGGGTGACCTGATCGATTCGTACCATCTCGTGGTGCAATCCGGATCACAATGTCGGGCGAGTCAAAGCTTCTTCCTAATGAGTTCCCATATTTCATGATGACCTGATCACGTAGCTCATCTACCACCGCATCCTCTCTGCACGGCACCAAGGTGGCCGAGCCACCGGGCCGTTTGACCCAAATGCGACGTGTGACCATCTCGTGAGGAATAAGAGGAGTGAACCCACTGCTCTGGTCTGAAGAGAAAAGATTCGCTTCCAGTAGCCCACTAATCAAGTGTTGGTGTGTTGGTGGGAGAAGAGATTGACGACGGATCGCAAGGCTCGGGCGCTTGGGAGGAAAATAGGAAGCAGAAGGTCGGCGATCATTCGTAGGTCGCTCGACGACAGTATCCAGGGTCGGGGTCAATTGAGTCTCTATTGGAGTGTGGGCTTTCAAGTGGGACTGGGACTGGAAGGAGGTGCTATCGGAATGCTGAGGTGTCGCTAACGGAGGGGTTTCGAGGGGAGATGGAGGGTCCGAGAGAGGAGTCGGCAGGGAAGAATTGTATGGCTCGGTTGACGGTGTACAATTGCGATGTTCCGAAGCAGACACGGAACCTCTTTGCTTTGGAGATAGGGGTTCCTCCAGGTTTCCAGTGCTATAGGATTTGGAGTCAGGCCCCGAAGGTTTTAGGTGGGAACTCGGGTCGGCATCCGCTTTTGGAGATAATCGTCCAAGCAATTTTGCCTTCAGACGTGATATCCGTTCTGACATCTTGGGGTCTTCATGCCATTCTGAGAAAAAGCTCTGTCCTTTGGCTTTCCCCCAGACCAGTACTGCTTTTGTTTTTCCCCCTTGGATAGCACAAGTTCAAAATGCAGAGAGAGGTCGGAAGTCAAAGAAGTCAAGAGGGGGAAGTGGTGACACCTTTGGGCAGTCAACTTAAGTCACGTTAGTTGCTGATCTCCCGGTTGAAAAAAAAAAGCTATGGCCTTTTTCTGGCCAATATTGGAAGGATTTGGGGTTTAGTTTTAAGATATGTACAAAATATATCTATTATTAGAAAGTTATGGGTCTTTTCTGCCAGGCGAGAAGGAATACATATATAGAGCTAAACTATGCAGTATATATATATATATATATATATATATGCGAGCTTCATCCTTGACTATATTTTTAATTGCAGAACGCGATAATTAACAAAAGCCTGGTTCATATTGGATGAGAAATCTGATTGAACCCCGATAACACAATTCACCTATGGCCACACAAAATGATCTACACCCGCAACCAGAGCTTAGCCAGAGGCAGGGCCAATGGTTCTTAGAGCCACCGGAATATTCTGAAGAGCTGCATCGGTCGTTGCACTCCATAGCAAGATATACCACCCATCTCGTCCTGTCGGTTGGGCGTAAAAATTGACCCTGTCCTGGCTACACACAACGTACTTTCCATATAAAGTCCACACGTTGGTTTGTGGTGCCAACTTGTTTGTGCTGTTACTTGCCTGGCTCGGGGTAAAAACGACTGGACAAGCCATTGTGCCAGTATCGCTCAATCCCAGCAGATTGGTAGTATTGGCCAGGGTGGTCGTGTTATCGGGATGAGCAACCCAGGTGTTTGGTTCGTCGCCAAATGTCACTGTAGCTGGATCAGATACCACTTCTGAGGACTCGGGGTTCAAGGCATACGAGAAAATGCAGACTTGCTGGTTGCGTTTGACAGAGCCATATCACCGATCTGAGCTTGACCTGTGCGGCAAATATAATTAATGGTGATCCGTTGAAGGGTGAGGGGATGTTTACCGTCTGCATAGAAGACAGGCAGCCCGTCAATGTTGTGGCCATATGCATAAAGACTCCACGAGCCATCGTTCTGTCGCTTTTCCATTGGATGCGCCGAGCTAAGCGCAAAGATCGCAAGGATTACAGCGAAGATGATTGAAGTCATGTTTTGAAGGATGCCAAAAAGTTTCTAGTTTGATAGATATACCATCAAAATAGCTGCAGGTGCTTTTGAAATCGTCTATATATCTCCTCTCCGGAGGGTTGCCCTCTTATTTCCCCGAAGGTGTAGTGGCACGAAGACAAACTCGGAGTCTTCGTAAGCTGAAGCATATATGGAACTGGTGTGACAGGACCTGCCACTTGGAGATTCCAGAGAGTCCTTGTGTCCTGTATACATATCCTACCATCGTACTCCTTCAGTACAAAGTTCCTTCTAAGGCTGACCTAGCTGAACAGACACTGCCCAGATGACTCGCATGGTCACACCATGCAGTTTCACACACATTACCTCACATCTACATCCATGCCCGAGATTGGCTCATCATTATCCTTGCCTCCGTTTTTCCCCTCTGATACACGAGCGTTATGCGAGGCAATGCCCCAAATTACCCTATGTTAATCCGTACGTCACTCGACCTAGCTGTTTCATAACCAGGATGGACTATCAGACACACGAGATTAGGTACCCTGCGCCTGGAGCCTGAAAAAAGAAAGATCTGATCACGACAATGCATGGCCCACGTGGATGCGGCCCTACAAATTGGGACGGCACACAAAGGCTTACATTATGTGGTTAGACACTTTCTAAATCCTTCGCCTTCACATGATGGTCGATGAGGGCGGAATCTTTTGCTATCCATGCATGAAATCATGGAAAGAACTATTGATTTATAACGGTTTATTTGGGATAGACACAAAGCCTCACATGATCCTGAGACTAAGCTAGTGGGCCTTAGCTAACTCCATCATGGCTAGATACATCATCCCCGATACTCACGTATGGATTACTGAGAAATAAGCCCTTGAACAATTTATTTCGGACAAACACGAAGCCTTGCCTCATGTTGAAACTGAGCTGGAGGGCCTTAGCTTCCTTGTGGCCAGGCATCATCTCCACGACTCACCTATGAATCATCAAGATATACGCCTTGAACGATATCTCTGGGCCAGACACGAAATCTTGCCCCATGCTGAAACTCAACTGGAGGGCCTTGGCCTCCTCGTGGCTGAGGTATCATCGGTTAGGCTATTATTTCTACTTTTGTCTGTTGAAGATGACGATATGCCAGCATCTCCTAGCAATGTACGAGGCAATATACGAGATAGACTGCCTTGGGGTTAGAAGAGGCGTTCGTAAAATATCAGCTTGAGGCGTATATGGAAGGTATATAAATTCCTTCTACGACTCAGTGAAATACGTGCTAACTATCTTCATAGAAAGCAGATATCAACGGTGTCTATCGAGTCATCATGAGATTTTCATTCATTGCCATCTTGGCCCACTTACTTGGTGCTGGCATTGCCTATGCCCATTACTCCTACAACCCATCAACAACGTTGCGACCAATTGTCACACAAACTCAAACTCGCAGTATAGTATATGGGTCCGCACCTACTGAGACTCAATGTGCAGGAAATACCCCCAATGACAGATCTTCCTGGTGCAATTATAGCATCGACACAGACTATGAAAATGTCGTCCCGGACACTGGTGTTACGCGTGAATACTGGTTTGAGGTTAAAGAAGCCATGCTCTCCCCCGATGGATTTGCTACTCCACGTCTAGCCATGACTATCAATGGCACCTTGCCTGGCCCACCTCTTGTTGCAGACTGGGGCGACTGGGTGGTCGTCCACGTTACCAACCATCTCTACCAGTCAATGAATGGATCGAGCATTCACTGGCATGGTATTCGTCAGAACTACACAAACCCAAATGATGGTGTGCCCTCGGTCACGCAGTGTCCTATTGCCCCCGGCTCGACTATGACCTACAAATGGCGAGCTGGTCAGTATGGATCCTCGTGGTATCATTCTCATATCGGTCTACAGGCTTGGGAAGGCGTATATGGGCCTATCGTTATTAATGGACCGGCAACTGCAAATTATGATGTGGATAAGGGCGCATTGTTCCTGAGTGATTGGACGCATGAGACTGTGGATCAGCTGCACCAAGATGTCCAACTACGCGGCCCGGTGAAAAAACTGTCAAATGGACTCATCAATGGCAAAAATATCTATGGAAACGGCACGAATACTACTGGATCTCCGTTCTACATGAAAGTAGAAAAAGGCAAATCCTACCGGTTGCGACTCGTGAACCCTTCTATCGACACGCATTGGAAGTTCACTATCGACAACCACACAATGACCGTCATTGCAATGGATCTTGTTCCTATCAAGCCATTTGTCACAAACGTTATCAGCCTTGGAATGGGTTCGTTATTCGGCATCTTCCCCATTGCTTTAAACGTACAAATCCGCTAATGCTATACTTAGGTCAACGTTATGATGTTATCATCACAGCCAACCAGGAGTCCGTAGCAGAATCCTTCTGGATGAGAGCTATACCAGCCGACCGATGTTCACAAAACGAAATGACCGGCAACATCCGAGGCATCGTCTACTACGGCAACATTCCCAAACAACCGCAAACGCAGTCATTCCCTTTCACAAACGTATGTGAAGACGAACTTTTGACGAACCTAGTACCCCACGTCCCCAAAAATGTCGATCCACCAGTTTCACCAGTTTGGGAAAGTAATGTAACAGTCAGCAATGTCAGGAACGCACAGAATTTCTTCCGTTGGCGGTTCAACTCCACCTCGATGAATGTGAGCTGGGAGAACCCAACTCTGATACAAATTTATCACAACGAGATAGGCTTCTCTAATTCAAGCGGCGTGATCAAGTTGCCTTTCAAGGACAAATGGGTATATCTCTTCATTCAAAATACCGCCGTTACTCATCCCATCCATCTTCATGGTCACGACTTCTCTATCCTGGCACAAGGACAGCCTGGACCAGGAACGCCACGATGGGACGGCTCTGTCATTACACAGAATCCCCCGCGGCGAGATACGGCCGTGCTGGCCGCAAATGGATGGCTGCTTATTGCTTTCCAAACTAATAACCCCGGCGCATGGTTGATGCACTGTCATATTGGATGGCATGTGGACGAGGGTCTGGCGTTACAGTTTATTGAGCGGCAGGATGAGATTCGGGATCTTGTTGATTATACTCCGTTCAATGAGAACTGTGCTGCGTGGGATCATTATGTCAACGCGAAGAATATTGTGCAGGAAGACTCGGGAGTTTGAGGAATTCGTGTGCTAAATGATACGATGGATAGGGCGTGAGAGAGATGGTTTGTTATATAGATAGTCGTATTTGGATTTGGGTCCTTATTTCTATATGGTCATTATATCTTTGCTTGATATTTCATTCTCAATATCACTAGCTGCCGCCTTAAAGTTGGATGTTATATTGTAATAATAAATTAACACTTGCCAACTAAATCACACGGTTTAGTACTATGCGTTGAGGTTTGTTCAATCTGCCTAACATCAATGGTAGCAGCAGGAAAGATGCCCTTTTCGATATCACCTGTTTCTTGTGTATCATCCTTCCTCAGTAAAAGCAAATCATCAATGCTTTTACCTGAATCTTTTGCTTCCTTGCGCAACTTCCGGTAGCGGATTCGCCAGGTAATGTGGCTAATATATATCCCTGCCTCGAGAACTACTACCAAAACATACATAATGCCCCCAAGTATGTCAAATGAGCCTTGTGCCGCTATAATAAAAACGAAGATGTCAGACACTTCATCATAAGTATTTCCAAGATGTAGAGGAAGTCTTACCTAATGCAAAGAGAGAAAATATCCCACCCAAGGTGTCGATGGAGAGGAAGACCCAATCTACTAACATCAGCAGTCATCCGTCAAGTTCTGCAAGTCATAAGAAAACCAACTGAATCCAATTACACGCCCGTCTCTCTTCCACAATTCAAAATACGGCGGCAACAGTCCTGCACTGAGGATAATGGCGGCTATAATCCCAACCACAATTTCGGGCCATTTCACACCATTGTTATATGGTATCTGTCAAGTTGAATTAATACCCCGTATGCCACAAAGTGAAGGGATAGAAAATTGGAAGTTACCCTCAATGTCAGGATGAGAAGAGCCTCTAATGCTCCAAATAAAACAACCGTGCCCACAGATACCAGGATAGCCTTGGTTTTGGTATAGTCACTATTGAAATTCAAAGAGATTAGCAATGCGAACCCAGCAAATTCATACATGCAGCTAGATTACGGGGAAATGAAAAGAAATCTGACTCACTGATTATAATAGAGGATCTGACCCAAACAGACAAGAGACAGAAACCCGAACATCTGAGGCTGAATCTGTAACGGGATATTGACTTGCTATAGCACCAACCATGAATGTAGCGGTCAGCGATATGACGATACAAAGAACCTTCGAAATTGATGTACAAGTACGCTCATTAGGAAAGTTCAACTCACCTGCAGAATCAGATATGCGCCCATTGGAACCGAGCCTGCATGAATCACAATTGTAAGCAATGACAATCTCAATATCATAGCTTGCTTTCCTTTCCCCTTTATTTCCAACGTATCAAAAAGGATTTGAAACATAATTCTCAAGGCCCTTCAACATCATGAAATGAAGGAACAGAGAAAACCCACAGCTGGCCCAAAGAAACATCATCGTCGCTGGAAATCCATCTGTATTCTTCCGCCGCCAATTATACCAGATCTGTGGTATTAATTGAATACACCACAAAACGGTGCCGATCGTGCCGAGGACATTCGATGCCAATGTGACATTTTCTTCAGAGGACATCGTTGGTGTAGTAGAGTGAGGTTTATTATGCATATGGCGGAGCGGTCAATTCAAATCCAGGCAAGGATATCGTAGATTGCAATGCCCACGCAAGATATGCAAGAAAAACAAAATATATGGGTATAGAGTAGATATTCACTATAACAATTGGATTCGACAGCCATATGCGACGAGATGAGCTAGTACTTATACTGAGCAGCCAATCCATAAGAAAAACAAGAACTGACCAGTAAAACAGCGGGAACAGAATCGGGGGTTTGGGATCGAATGAGCGAAAAGATCGAGTATCCTCAGTATGCACACAGTAGCGCATGAGTACCTATTCTTCGGTTGAGCCAGTCACAGCTCATTCAGAAATGCAAGAGAATGTAGTCTTGTATCAAGGTTGGGATTTCGGTCCGAATGCCTCGCTATCTGTGGAAGTGGATATATAGGATGCAGGTTGATAAGTATGATGCAAGATGAGCCAATGGCAGACCAAGAAACGACAGGGGAAGAAAAAAGAAAGCTTGGCTGAACGCAACGCAGCGGTGAAGTTTGGACGCTCAACGCAGGACTTGGCTAGTCTAGTTGATGGATCTTCACGGTTACTGCATTGGACTAAGAAGAGAGGTGTGAACATGTCGCCTATTTTGTGGACCCGGTGTGAGTGCGAGGGTTTTATCGACAGGGAAGGAGAAAAATGAAAAGGCGTGTGGTTTCCCGGGATATTTATACCGAGTTTTCGTGCAGAGAGGTTTTTTGCTGGGTATAAATCTCCGATAGCTTCAAGTCTCCCCGTTTGGGGTCCAGGGACTGCAGAGTGTGGGCTCGAAAGTACCAGAACCGGCCTATAAGATCTGCTGATTCTTGAAGGGGGAACATTATGGACTAAGACTGGATGGGTTAATGGATGGGGAATGAGTGCTGGATACGGGGGTTAGGGCTATGGTATACGGCGTTATCCGTGTTTCTGCATTGCATTTGCATTTTGCCTCTGGTTCGCATCCTATAGGCTTGGTGGATCTAGAGTGGAGCAGCTCTGGAGGTACGGAGCAGGAAGTTACTGGCACAATACAACATTAAATTGGGCGTATGATTTAACAAGTTACTTACCGATAGACGGAAAATAGCTATGTGACCAATACAATATCTGTATCTCTACTCTATATCGTGTTTATTGTCTGGCTCACACGTGGCTACCGGCTTCGAATTTACATATCCGAACCATGGATCGTATCCAGGTCTCATCCATGGATGATTTATGGTTAAACATAGAGAGATATCCGAGAGCAGATGCTCAATGATTTACCTACATAGGTCCGAATATCCTACATAGACTAGATGAGATCAAAAAACAAGGGATGTTCTAGAACTTGAGAGGCCCACGGAGATCTAGGTGCGCCCCCCTGTGGCTCCCTGTGGCTCCCTGTGGATAACAAATTACGTAGATGTACACGTACGTAAGGGCACACTCTCTTCTTTGTAGAGGGTGAATTGCACACTTAGTCAAAACATGTCTTTATAGATGCATCTCACATGGTTATTTTTCTTTCATGTAGAACGGTGTGGTTTATCAAGATCAACAGACCTTAACTCTAGAACCAATTCCAACATGACAATGGAGTATAGCAGCTCGACCATGAAACATAAAGGAAAGACCCGGGATAAACCACCCGCTAGAGTAAAAGCAAAGAACCCCAAATCACAAAAATACGTGCCAGGAAGAGAGAGAGAGGAAATGCACGAAAAACAAGGAAGCCATCAAGACATCACGTTAGAGGAACCAAAAAAAAAAATACACACACATCGAGGTTGGATCCGAAGGGTATCAAAGGAAAGGGAAACAGGTTTTTGCGACAGAACAAATGGCAAGAAACTCGGACAAAAAAGAACAAACAGGCATCATGCATACGGACCAAAGATCACAAAAGGATCAGATAGTTCGAGGGCGCAATGCCAGTATCTCCATTTTGCTTCCGAGCTTGCCACCATCGGCCGCTCACATCGGAAACTTCCAAGATCTCGTGTTTAGCGAAGCTGATTTCATTGGCGTCTTCCGGGTTGGCATCATATGAGTAGATAGCCTTGGCCCGGTATGGATAGTCTGTTGGCTGGGGCACTTCGCCCACTTCTTGATCGCCGTTACCCGGATTCTGGGGGTTGGGGGTGCCAAAGCGAGGCGCAGAAGAGGATCGTTCGGCGCCGGGAGCGCCGCCAGGGTATCCGGAGACAGGGGACGAGGTCTCGAACCCGCCTAGTTGGGCCGAAGTGTACATCTGCGGGGTATTGCTGGTGGCCATGGTGTCTGGGCGGGCGCCGAATGCGCTGGACATAGGACGGCTGCCGCGGTAGGAAGGTTCGGTTGGCTGTTCTTTGTTCAGAGCGAAGGAATCGATGAAGCCACGGTGGGTAGCCTGGGGTGTGGAGCCGAAGTAAAAGATCCAGATGATGATGACCATAGAGAGTAGGATGAAGCCTGCGCCTGCGGCTTGCATGGAGCCTTGGTTTCCGTAGATCAGGTTGTTTGCGCTCGTAGATGTTAGAACTAGGCCACAGGCAAGGTAACCAACGATCTGGGGCCATTGTCAGTATTGATTTGTTGGGACTTGCTGTATTGTAGAGTCGTCATACCGCGACGCCATACACGTGGCCCGTGTCAGTGCCAAAGGTCGTGATGAGGCCCACAATGACACAAAACATGTATGAGATGGCCCACCATGAGTAGTTGGGATATTTGTTCTGCACATCGGCAATGATAGATGCGATGAAAGCAATAAGCCATGCCAGCTAAAATCATGTTAGTCAATGTCGAGTCGCGTAGGGGGAGGTCGAACGAACAAGCGAGATCGAGATGGTCGCGAGCGCGAACGGATCGCCTAGGATATTGCTAGGCCGGAATTTGCCCATTCTGTTGACTCTGGAGAATGGAGGTAAAGGGAAGTATGAGGTCGGAAAAGAGGGAACGTGGATGAGCGGTTTGCTTGTATATAAGGGTTGAGGGAGTCCTGAACGAGGTGGACTGGAAGGAGCGACTATGGTTAGTTAGCGTGGAAAATAAATTGTGCGAATATGAATTGTGAGAAATGACAGATATAAAGAAAAGTGCCTACAAGTTAGATAGAATTAAAGTACCTTAAATGACTGTGGAGAGAGGGGTGGAGAGGTTGGGTTAAAGAAAGAGATTCCCCTTACAGGCAAAAACAGCACCAGGCTGGGGAAAAAGGAATAGAGAAGTTTACAAAAAGAGTGGATATTGAAAGTTGAAAGAAAGAGAGGGAGAAACGATAATAGAAAAGGAGGGAACGGTGGCAGCGCTGTGGAGTCCGGGCCCCCTGGAAATCGACGGTCTCGATTCTTGGAAATTAGGGAAATTAGAGAGATTAGAGAAATTTAAGAAATCCCCAATGGCACATTCCGATTAATATGTGGATTATTATAACCGTTTCACTTTCCAGGGTTATTGGATGTATTTCCCCCCTTGAATAATTGATCTCTGCATATATTACTTTGTATTGATGGGCTCGATGTGGAAATCTATAAATACCCGGTCTTAGTCACTTCCACTTGATGCCTCTTCGGTACTAGCTGCTAAAGAAGCAGAATAGCTTAGTAAAGCACACTTGTGCACAAATAATCATCCAATTGGGGCTGTGGCGCAACGGTAGCGCGTGCGACTCCAGTTCGCAAGGTTATCCGTTCAAATCGGGTCAGCCTCATTTCTTTTTTGTCTTTTTCTTCTTGCTAGACGTAAATATTCTACCCGTATCACTAGAGCCTTGGTTTGGGTGTTTTTTTGGTTGAAAGAGTTTTATATGACTGATATCTAGCACGTGCGAATACAAAAGTACATACCGAGCTGGTCATGATCCTAGTGGAGTAGCACATGCTGATCGATGCTCTGATACGCGCCATACCTATGGTCTTGCTCTTGTAGATACATGTATACAAGGTGAGGTAGTAGCAAAAGCCATATTGGGATCTACAAGTATAAGGAGTCATTTGGGGAAATCTATCAAATACTGTGTTCGACGGCTTGGTAGCTTGGAACCTTCTGCGAGTGATATTGAGCGAGTTTGCCACGATGATAAGCCAAGAAACTGCTTAAATAGCTAGCCGTATGAGTCTCTATGTATGGCCCTAAATTTATACGAGATTCTATGGTAAAGAGGGGGTAGCGGAGCTTTAGGGGACGATATTCTAACCAACTTAGGGCTTTCATGCTTAAATACCTCGGGCATGACCTGATGACCTTTGTTTGCCTTGTTCTATAGTCCATAGGGTTTCGAATATTGTGGAAATCAGATAAGATCGCTTTGAAGAATGAAACCAAAGCAATCTCGATGTGAAAAGCAAAAATCCCTCTAATGTAATGGAGGGGCAAAATCAAAAAACGAATTGAGGCTGACCCGATTTGAACGGATAACCTTGCGAACTGGAGTCGCACGCGCTACCGTTGCGCCACAGCCCCAATTTGGTGATAATCTGCCCTAGCTATTGTATTATGTCCCTTGTATCATGTTAGCCAAGAAACAAATATACAATGTCCCATAAGAAACCTACAACATATAGTTGGTCAAGCAAGCGTACGATACACAAGAGCATAGATGCCGCGCGCTACCGTCCGGTACTTTGTCTGTCTTTTGTCAAATATACGGAGTCTACGGGGTAGAGTAGGCAGCCCCTAGAGACCTCGGGATATTATAACATAGGATTGTCATCCCTTGAGTTCCCTTTGGTCGTTGCAATATAACCATGAGATGGAACGGACGACAACGGAGGGTATCTGAAGTTTGGAAATGAATTTTTAATAAGGTGCGTATAGCATCAGCCATCAGCGGGCTTCCAGTAGACATGATATAGACCAATAAGACGGTTATAATAGCAAGGAATAGGAGCAACATGGCTGTGAAAAAAAAAAAAAAAAAAAAGGCAATGAGAGTTATATGAGCCGAAAATACAATAAATAATAATTCCTGGGCAAAACACAATACAGATTATAAAAATGTTAGAAACACACAAAAGCAAAAAGAAATGAGGCTGACCCGATTTGAACGGATAACCTTGCGAACTGGAGTCGCACGCGCTACCGTTGCGCCACAGCCCCAATTGGATGATGTTCTAGCCAATTTATGGCTATATGAACATTGATGATTTGATCTATTTTGGATTCTATATGGATGATTATGCTCCAGTGCCGGTGACCTGTTCATATTACCCGCACAACACCATCATAATTCAATGGCAACTCAATCCTTGATCACTATTCCTGAGAAGTCTGCAGTCTACATCGCTTTCCACATCATCGATTATGGTTTGCGGGGAAGAATCTGGGGTAGACTAGCGCATTCCAATTGGCTTCATTTGGAATGAGCAATGTGTACTGTATAAACAATTTTCAGGGGTGAGATGGTTCCTCCAAATTTATATAAGAACTCCGGGAAAGGCCTTGGTACGCCATCCTGGAACGTATCAAGTTATCGGCTTGATCAAGCCAAATATATATTCTTTCATAATCAGGGATACAAACCTGAATACGGACATGAATGTTATAGATTGAATCCCCCATACCGTATGCTAAACTGGACAACATCCTATCCGCGGTGTTCAAGATAAAAGCGCCGTACGCCCAAATCAGAGGTATCATAGCAAGATTAAACAAAACAGCAACAACAACCCAACATCAATGCGAGGCATCACCCTCCAGCTGCTCCCAGAAGATCGCTCAAACTATACACATGTAAAAAGGCCTCCCTTTTAAGCCTCCTCCTCTCTCCCCTGTCTAATGACCTCTTTTCGCCTGACCTCCCTCTCAACATCCTCAAGTCTTCCCTCCCACTCAGCCCAGCATTCTCCGCTCCCAACAAGCCCAACATCATACCAGCGCTGAAGGACACGCGCCGTGCGCACCCGTAGCTCTGAAATCTCAGCTGCCTGCTCGCTCTGTTGCTGAGCAAGTCGATCTAGCTGTGGCTGGAGTTCAATTAGTGCCGCGGAGCTCTGCGCGTCAGGCACGGGGAGGTCGTTTAGCGATGTAAGGCGTGAGGCGGTTTCAGGGAATGCAGCGGCGTAGGAGAGGACTATTGAGGCTAGGGTTTGGGTTGTGAGGCCCTCTGGGATTTCATGGGGTGGCGTTGTTCGGAAGAGGTCTGGGTTGCGGTCATCTAGTTGGGTTTGCGTTAATATGGGACCACATGGGATGATTTGGGGTGGAAGAATCTGCGCCAATAGTCGGCAGTCCATCATCTAGACATCAGGAGTCGGACATCAGACAGGGGGATTGGGAGATGAGCGGGGACGGAGTGGTAATGCGCGTCTAAATAAGATAAACATTGGTTACATACGGAGCTGTAGAACGTCCCGTACGGCTGGGACACTCCGACTAAGCCGTTCTAATTCTGATTCTAGCCGTACGAGTCGACGAGAGACTGTCTCATCGAGGGACGTGGGCTTTTCAGGCGTGGTAGGGACGCCGGTCCAGTCTGTGGCACCAGTGAGGAGGTAGGTGAGGCGGCGTAGACGCGCCTCGAGGAGTTCGATAGTGGCTCCAGCCACTGCGTCGCTTTCGAGGGACATGGTATGTGGAGATGAACGGTCAATCAGGAGGATTGTGAGGGGAATTGACCGAGAAGGGTGCTGCAAGCTTGGTGAGGTCCAGTGCAAACATGGCAAAATGTGGGGACAAGCTTATCAGTACAAAAAGTGTACATCGAGCATGGACCACGGGAGGTTGCTACCCTATGTCTACGATCATATGGGATTCTTCATACCAGGTCGACACTTAGGACGTGGGGTTACAGTATAGTCATCTGGCATATGGCATACGCTTAAAATTGCTCTACATATTCATCATTCACTCATCATTAGTATTCGTAGACTTCCCCGCAGGTTTCAATGCAATGCTACTTCGAGTGCTCCAGATGATGTATCGGGCCCTCATCATCTGCAAAATTCCACTCTGGATCAACCCGCGAGGCAGTAGGCACCGTGAAATTGGTTGCAGTAGCACGACGACCCAGGAGACTCGCGCCACCCTTCTCTTGCATCTCTTGGCTGGGTTTTGGCTCATCGTCAAACCCGGAGACCTCATAGTCGAAGACGTTCACCTGTGTGGCCGTCTGAGTCATTTCAGGTTGTTGTTCTTTGTGGTGAGTTTCCGCGTTGTTCGACTCCGCCCAGGAATCTTCCTGGTCACTAAAGATTATGGTAGGGGTATTCTCGAATTCGCCCCCAAAGGCATCGTTGTCTCTGCCCACAAAGCCCTACTCTCAGTTAGCCAGGAACTCTAGAATAATCCGAGAAAGATTGTCCATATTACCTGAAGCTGAGATGGCGCAGGATCCACTCGAGCATTCACTGCATTCTCACTCGCATAAATGAGCAAGACCGAACTCCATTCTTCACAAGCAGCTCGGAGGACTTCGATCTCCTGAACTTTCCGAACGGTATAGCCCACAGCATCGCCATTCTGTGGGGCTGTGGTGTTACCTTGGGCTTTCCGTTTCTCGGCTTGTCGGGTCTTTCCATCCTCCGCCGAGAAGCTGATACGCCACCACTGGTAGTCGCTGCTTTTGTCCGTGTCCGAATCCATATCCATTAAGTGTCCTGGGGCAGTCGTTGTGGGATTTGATAAAACGTAAGTCACATGCGGTTGAGTGCATACGCCTCGTAGCGTATACTTGTGGGCAGGGGGCTCCGAAGGTGATTTGGGAGGTTCGGTAAGTGTCTTTGATATCTCACGCAGAGACTCCATAGCACTCTCTTTTCTAAGTTCCAATTCTGTGCTCAAGATATTAGTCAACGATATGAGCATGGTAGTAATAGCTTTTTTTTTACCTTTAAGCTTGGCTTCTATTTTCGTGGCAATAGCTCTCAATTCCTCTGCGGCTTGTTTCGTTTCCAGACCTGCGGTCCCGGAGCTAGACTGGTCAGACTCGTGCACTTGCTCCGACGCAACCAATGGCACCGCTTGAGCAGCTTGTTCAAGGAGTTCCGTGATAGTCGAACTGCCAACGGGTGCCCGTGGACTGGTGTAGCGATGTATGAGTCGTTCGAGTTTCAAGACGTCCCCCTGGATTTGCTGTCGTTTTGCTCGAAACTCTCGAGCAAGATCTCGGCAGCTGCTAAGATATCGATCTGGATAGAACACAGAATGGATATCCACACCGACCGGGTTTGGTTTTTGACGTGAATCGAGTCTTATGACTAGCACCTCTGCTAAATGTTCCAGCCATGCGTCGTCAAGCTCCTTCCCTGGCCTGTCAGACCACAAAGCTGAATCTAAAACCTCGTAGAGCGTTTGTCCATGGTCTTGCTCAACAGGAGGCTCAAAAGTGAAGAGTTCCCTACTATCGGGCTCTCCAAACTCGTCGAAAGGCTCTTTCCTGTATGCATGTGATGTGAATATGGTCGCCAGTGGATTTTCAGGATCTGCCTGGATAGCTGCTCCATGCCATGCTTCCAAAAACCTGGTGACACTCTCCTCCGAGTCTGCAGAGAGGGATGACATGCTTTTGAGCTTTGCTAAGCTATCACTGCTGCCAAAAGCTCGTTTCGTGGTATCCATGAAAGCCATTAGCCGCTGGGTCTCATGAATGATATCATCCCAGTCGCTATCCCCAGTCTTGCCATCATTCACTGTGACGATCTTTGGCAGGTTGATCGGCTGCCCGTTCCACCATTGCGGCTCATGGCCATAGTCAAACAGAGGTTTGTTCCGCAATAGCAATGCCTCCCGCGCGAGGGGAATACTGTGGAGAATTGTCAAGAGTCCTCCTAGATAAATGCCGTCTGGATTAGGGCGGATGAACGCAGGCTCGCCCTCTACTCTTTTGCGATCTTCTGGGTCCGGACTGATCATGACTTCTTCGGAGGATGTGTTGAATAGGGTCATCGCCCAAGCGCCTTCTTCGTAGTGATCACGGGTTGCTCTGTTGAACTGCGGCTGTTTATTTGACGTCACCCCGGTCTCCTGCTGTCCTATGTCCGAATTCAGTGACATAGCAACTGCCTGCTGTAATTCCTTTTCTTCGCGTTCGGCCAGACTGAGACCTTGTCCGGAGCCTTCTATATGGTCGTACAACCGCGGATTAGTTTACTTCTTGTTTCTGATATGCCAAGATCGTGATACCTTTCGGAGCGATTGCGGCAGAATCTTGATTTCCAGTGTTTTTTTCCGGGTCGCGTATGTCTGTTCGTGAAGGAGGACGAGAGGGCGGTGCTGTCGCTGGCATTGGTGGCGCATTGTCTTGTTGGGCAAAATCCCATGCTGAGGCGCGGTTTGTTAATTCCCAAATCGAGGTCCCATAAGGAAGGCGATCTTACAGGAGCCTCTATTGTCATTCCAGTAACTAGTTATCGGCTTTGATATGTCAGAGTATAGCCACGGGTTGGTGCGCATCGCTAAACTTGCCTTGAGCTGAGACCCTGTCGGATCTTCAAAGTAAGCGTTGATTGCTTTCTGTGAGTCGAGATTATTTCCCTATACGCGATAATATTAGCTCAGATGTCGTTTGCTCAGTGGCAGTGTCCTACCTTCAAGAAGGCGATGGCTTGTTCGCGTGTCGTGCTTGTGAAGCTGACAAAGCTGGCGATAGCTTCCTCGGTCGGTTCGGAGGCCATGACTATTTCTGCGCTGAAATTGGAAATCAATATACAAGCATGGCAGGGATACAAAAGACAAATGAACAAAGCAAGGTGGAAAAGAGAAGAAAGAAGCGTTGGAGCTTCCCCACCACACGCCAAGCGTCATTCCGCTATTTGCGTTCTCTTTGGGTACTTTGTCCGCCCTGGAATTATTTTTACTTTTTTGACCCTTAAACATCTACAGTTGGATTTGTTCAGGCATTTCTTTCACTTTTGAATTAGACTATAGCCAAGGCTAATATGTCGATTCAAATTCACAATGAAGAGAGAGAGATATATATATATATATCGAGAACTCATTGTCTCTTTCTTCGGTTGAATAGTCTCCAAGTACTCCGTACTTACACCACAATACTATTTATGGTCAACAAAGCAAGTGCATAATAGCACCTGGCTTATACAAGAGTCGGATTCCGCGAGTATAAAACACTCCCTCTCTCCCCGTCAAATAATCATTCATCACACATTCTAAACACATCATCCAGCATCCAGCATTTCGCTTACACCTTTTCAATAATTCATTAAGTGTTATATTTTATAGCTATCACAATGGTCCAGACACGCAAAAACGCAACCAAGAAGGCCACAATGACCAATATCCTCAAGACCAACAAAAAGGCTGCCAGCAGAAAGGTTGCCAGTAAGAAGACTGCAAACAAGAAGACCACCAGCAAGAAAACTTCTAGCAAGAAGGCTACCAACAAGCCCATCGCTCATCCTACAGTCGACGTGAACAAGCTTTTCCCACCCTGGGGCTCTGAAGCAGCGCTGGATCAGACAGCAAACAAGGAGGCTACTGACATAATCGTAGCCGTGTACCATGACATCAACACCTACTGCAACATTGAGAGACTTGCGGGAGAGGATTTATATAATTGCCGGGAGATGCTCTCCAACATGCGTACCTTCACGGAAGGATTTGTTCATCGGGAAATCGGTAACTACATGGCCTGCGTGGAATCCTTCAAGGCGGAACATGGTGAGTTTCAACCTGTCACACCTAACAGTAGATTCTTAGAGTTTGTTACTGGGCTCGGATGGAAGATGTTTGCTATCTGTGCCCATGCTGAAGCATTTCGACGAGGTATCCGAGAAGCCAACGATAGAACCTGGAGGTTCCTGATTCAGAAGATCGAAGAAAACGCCCTGAGTATTGAACTTTACGCACACAGCCGTAGCCTGAGGTGGCGTAACATGATCTGGATCCACCAGGGTTATTTCATCCCAGGCCTGCCCGATATGAAAACCGAAATTGAGACATACATGCAGTGGAAAGTCGACCACCCTCACCACACCGTCATCACACTCGACGGCGGACTCAAGGAGCCCACCTACAAAGGCAAGTTACAGAAACACATTGACGAGAATATGTATGATCCCAAGAAATGGCGCGGTCAGAAGCAGGACCCAACGCTTCGTCATATGCCTAATGGGAGCCCCGCTAACGTTGGACGCAATTGCGCTATGTGTGGCAGTCCTGCTTCTTGTGATTGTCGCCTGGCATCCCGAGCAGGAGAACTGGTTGAGCTGAGAGAATACCCCGAGACGGGTACTGGTATTCGAGTACTGACAAGATTCAACCGCGGTGATATTCTTGATATATTCGCGGGTGAACTTCTTCCTGATTCTGTGGAAGATGTCTATCCTCTGACGCAATGCGATGACGAGCCCCACACGACTTCCGATACAGCTCGTACTTTGTGCACAATCTGCCCCCACGAGTTTGGCAACTGGACTCGTTATATTAGCCACTCGTGCCGACCTTCGACGGCATTCATCACTCGCACTATTGGAAACCGAGTTGTGTGCACAATTGAAGCTATTCGTGATATCCGACCTTTTGAAGAGCTTACTGTGAGCTATGGTGATAATTACTGGCAAAATAAGAATTATGAGTGCCGATGCGGGCACTGCGATGGTTCTGGGACTGACTAGGAATGATGGATTAGCTTAGAACTGATAGATATTGAATCGAGCATCTTACATCCTACATCTTATATTAAATAATATCTATATATAGTCAGTCTTATACGGCTATAAAAGGGAAAAGTAGTGCCTCGGGAATCCCCGCACTTTGACTGTGCGGGGAAAGCTATACTTTCCGCTTGTCTTCTTGTCTGATGTCTTCCCCCTTTCTTACTCTCTTCAAAGATACTCTTACTATTATAGTGCCATATTTGGCCGATACAGTCATTTCCAAACATATTTATAAGACCTCAAGCTAGCATTGGACTACAATCATGAGCTACAGCGGAATTTTGGCGCGCACTGGGTCACGTACATTCTGCCGGACTGGCTTCAGAAAGACGGCTCTTCAACATGCATCCTTGGTGAGGAGAGGATTACTGACAGAGAGCTATGCGCGGGGGCCCTCAGGTGTGAGTATTCTCCGTCTAAGCAACAATTGATAACACGGTGTGAGCCAATGTTTCTCTGACTGAATTGCTTTCAATGTGTAGCCGCCCTTGATTGAGTCCACAATTGGTGACCATTTCGCCAAGATTGTCGCGGAATGCGGAGATAGAACAGCGTGAGACTCATGAAGCAAGATTAGGCAATTGAGACACGGGATACTGACCATCCTTAGTGTTATCTCAAAACATCAGAATGATCGAGCAACCTATTCCTCCTTGGATGCAAGAAGTAATGCTCTTGCTCGGGGCCTGGTATCGGTCGGTGTGAAGAAGGGGGAGCGGGTCGGAGTCATGCTCGGGAACTCGATGGAATACGCAGTGGTACGTTGGTTCTTGATGAAAAGATCCAATCAGAAGTCAAGAAGGCTGATATCTTTGAGTAGGCAACATACGCATTATTCAAACTGGGTGCCATTCTGGTAGGTTAGCCCGCTAGTTGTGACATATGACATTGTGGCTGATAATCTGACAGGTCCCGCTCAATCCGTCATTCAATACTGCACAAGTGATTGCGGCATTGGGTCACCTGGAAGCCAGTCATCTTCTGATTAGCACAGAGTCCAAACTACCCCGAAAAAAGCCACGGAGCAATGTTCCCTTGCTCGAGGACCTTGTTCAAGATCTCCACAAGTCAAACTTGGAATCTGCGTTGATCCCTTCTTTAAGAAATATCATTATGGTCGATAACTCTGAAGGTCGCGTGGATATATCACCATATAAAAGCTTGACGCCATATGCATCCATTATGTCCCAGCTTACTGCAGATGGCCGCCCACTCCCTCCTCAAAATCTCTCGCCGCATGATATTGTGAATATCCAATTCACATCAGGGACTACGTCAATGCCCAAGGCAGCATGCCTTACCCATCACTCTATTCTGAATAACGGCACTCAGATCGGTGATCGCATGCGTCTCACGCCAAACGATATTGTCTGTTGCCCGCCGCCGCTATTTCATTGCTTCGGCTGTATATTAGGTTATATGGCAACAGCAACTCACGGTTCAGCCATCGTCTTCCCCAGCGAGTCCTTCAATGCTCGTGCCACACTAGAGGCCATCCAAGAAGAGAGATGTACCGCACTGCATGGTGTACCGACAATGTTCCTCGAGGAGCTGAGCATGATCGAGATGAAAGAGATATCCAGCGAGGGATTCCAGCATCTTCGCACGGGCATCGCCTCTGGAAGCAGTATTCCTTCCGAAATAATGAAGAAACTGCATAAGGTGCTGAACCTGACCGAATTGACAATCTGTTATGGAATGACTGAAACAAGCCCGGTCTCAGCTATGACAACGACAGATGATCCCATTGATAAGCGGATCTACTCAGTCGGGAAACTCATGCCACATGTTGAGGCAAAGATTGTGGACCCGCTGAACAAGAAAGAGATCCTGCCTATAGAGAAACGGGGTGAGTTGGCAGTGAGCGGGTACCTGCTGATGAAGAAATACTGGGGTGCTCCAGAAAAGACCGCGGAGGCGATGATTGCAGACGAGTCTGGCAAGGTGTGGATGCATGTGAGTCCGATCTTCCATTCTTTATTTGAGGTAAACCCATTTTTCTGACCCCTGGGTTTAGACTGGAGATGAAGCTTCTATGTCACCAGATGGGTATATTAGTATCACTGGACGGATCAAAGATCTAATCATCCGCGGTGGCGAGAATATACACCCCGTAGAGATCGAAAATTGTTTGCTAGCGCATGATGAAGTCGCAGATGTGTCTGTCGTCGGCGTTCCCGACGTGAGATATGGCGAGGCAGTGGCTGCTTTTGTTATTGCGCGGGACCATGCCTCGAAGACAGTCACTGCTGAAGATATTCAGCAATGGGTGCGTGAAAAGCTTAGCAATCATCTTGGTAAGTCATAACCGCACCCCCTCGGGACCATTCACTCCTCAATCCAGGGCTGCATCGTCTCCCATCGTTCTCAGCCGGGCTTCGACCATCCTAACATTTGTATCATGGTCTAAGCTGATGATTTGTTTCCTTATAGTTCCGAAGTATGTCTTCTTTTTGGGCCCCGCTGAGCCTTTCCCCAAGACAGCAAGTGGAAAGATTCAGAAGTTCAAGCTCAGGGAGAAGGCTGTTGCACTCTTGGCCAAAAGCGATGCATAAATAGCGAGCATAGCATATAAAGCCAAGGCCTGAGCTTCACAGATTATAAGTGGATAAGCGCCTGGTATTGCTGTACATGTTGATCCTTCAGGCGTTGTTGCTTGTTAGCTAGAATTGTCATATGATTATCGGAAGGCTAAATTACAAGCCTGAGTAGATACACCCATTCTTGTTGTCTTGAGGATTGTCACAAATGTATCATACAAAGGAAGCCAGGTGAAGATTCGAGAAGACTGTTCACTTTGGAGCGAAGCCTCGATAGTCAGAATGCACAATAGACAAGTCTCATGTGTTAGAGACAGTGGCTGAATAGCAATAACCCAGAAACGTCCTCATGGCAACTAGAAGTTTCAAAGATGCTGTAGGTTTGATTGCCTGCTGTCTCACAGGACAGCAACTCATCGCAACCAGCGGCCATTACGGAGGCTTATAGATCGAACCAGCGCATCCACATCCTAACATCGAACACGGAGCTGTCGATCGAGTGGGAAAAATTGAGAGCAGTGTCAAGTTTCCCCTTTGCGTCTTTTCGAGGGCGTGCTCTTCCAGATATAGCCGAGTGACTCAGATAGACCACTGGGAGCAGTGGCTTATAAGTTATAGCATCACGTGTAGCCGGCGAGCGAACTTCGCTGTATTTCATGTTTCAGGAACATGTGCGACCAATCCCTCTTAAATCTAAAAATCCTGAATACCTGTTTCACCCTGTAGATTTGGGCGAGCGTCATCCCCCCGAGTATCGTCAACCACCCATTCAGGCTCCTCATCCTCGAAATACTGGTCTTGCGTATCCGAGTGATCATCGTAATCCTCATTCTTATCAACGGTATTGTAATCGAAATCAGAGTCATGGCCCTGCATGAAACGCAGTCCCATCTCCCACCGCCAGAGCCGCTCGCCTTCCTCCTTATTTGGGGGTATTTCATCACGGTCCTCGGCGAGGATCTCCCCATCTGGGCCGCGAGTGTAGCTCATCATGGCGTTGGGATCCGGGTGTGAGATCGCCTCCATCTTGGCTTCAGAGCGCATGAGATCAGTCTCTAGGACACCCGAGAACCCCTTTGCTCGTCCCTCGGCTTCCCTTTCTTGGGCTGTCTGGAATCGGCGGATGAGGCGATCGTATAGTAATGGGTCTGCGGAGAAGTCGAACAGGATTAGCATTGTACGTTTTTTTTCTTTCTTTTTCTTCTGTGTGCAGAGCCAACTGGCACCGGCAATAAGCCAGGCCAGACATGCGTAAAATAATCAACTGGCGGTGGGAGAGAAAAGAGCAGGCGGACCGGCTAACTCAAGCCCCGCCGAAAAGTATTCTGGATGTAAGTCCAGATACCGCTTGCGACGGTTTTTGACTGTGACAGCTTTCTTTGTGCTGGATACATCTTGGGCCATGAACCCGGAATCCTTGGGAAAATGGGGCATCTTTGGTGTGTTTCAGAGTGTGGAGGTGGAGAGGGAGAAGGAAGTTGGGAAACGCGGAGCTCGGCGGCAAAAGTGCCTTCATCTCCGCAATGATAACTTTTTTTTCTCGTTGAACACTTTGCTTGATATGTGTCTGTTTTGAACGTGTAAGTCAAGGATCTAACTCGATATATCTTTTATTCTTCATTGGATTCATATTGCAAAAAGAAGAAAAGGACACAGTTTCAGGCCGCTAGTGCTAATAAGCTCGCAGATGCGCTATCTTGGTTGATTTCTCCTCCACTTATATCCAGAACTGCACCTGGAAATCATGTCTGCCGAGGACTTCTTGCGGCGGGTTGATATCCGGCGGTTCAGTACCGGTGTGATCCTGCTGATCCTGCTTGCCTTCTACTCGCCCCTTTCCAAGCTGGTTTTGTCTCCGACATATGGATCCTTCCCCGCGCATATCTTCCATAGTTTTGGAGTGGCCATCTCCGGCGGAGTCGGATGGCTACTGAAAGATAAGATCCTCAAACGCCTGGGCCGTCTTGGTGGTTTCATGCTCCCCGTGCTGGCATTCTGGGTTCCGACCCTCCAGTACTTGATCAAGCAGCAAAGCTCGAAGATTGGTAACCCCACCGGCCCAGTAGTCACGGAGCTCTGTGGTTACTATCCTCTAGTATTGCTGACAGTCGCATATGCCGGAAAACAGGTCCAGGCTGCCTTGAGACTCGAGGCCCAGGGCGATGTGATTGCTGAGCATGTCCCCTTGATAGGTACATATGTCTTCTACTCGGCTGGTGAACACATTGCCAAATTTGTTCTTTCCTCAATTATTGGGTCCTCGGTTATTTTTACCAGGGTCGGCATGCAAATGCTCCTCGCGGCCGCTTACGCTGCGCTCATCCCGTCGAAATGGCTAGTTCTGGCCATTCCCTCTATAATTTTCTCTGTGACCTCCAATGTCCATTTCGCTGGAATGAGTGGTGTCAATTCTGCAATTGAGCACGAAGGATATTCCCTCCTGGCGCGACAGGAAGCTTACACGGGATACATTTCTGTTTTGGAAAACCATAATGACGGATTCCGAGTTATGCGTTGTGATCACAGTCTGCTCGGTGGACAGTGGACCGTGCAAGCACCAGGCTACCGACCTGAGGTGGCAGATCCTATCTACGCAGTCTTCGCTATGCTCGAGGCTGTCCGTTTGGTTGAGCCGGATAGTGGCGTTCCTCGCGTTGACGCAGACAGCAAGGCGCTGGTCATGTAAGAGTTACGAAAAATGCCTTAAAAGCCCAGTTTACTGACAGGAAATAGTGGTCTTGGAATTGGCACAACCCCCTCTGCACTCATCAAACATGGTATTGAAACCACCATCGTCGAAATTGACCCTGTGGTGCACAGGTTCGCCACTCAGTACTTTGACCTTCCGCCAAATCACACCCCCGTCATCGAAGACGCTGTAAAATTCGTCAAGAAGGCAGAGTCCGCCCCGAATACACCCCAGTATGACTACATCGTCCATGATGTATTCACCGGAGGCGCCGAGCCAGCCGAACTTTTCACGCACGAGTTCCTGTCAGGTCTTTACTCCCTCCTCAAGGAAGATGGTGCCATTGCCATTGTGAGTATCATCAAGCAATAAGCTCCCAATTTGGTTACCCATTAACAAACGAAACCTAGAACTACGCCGGTGACTTGACCCTCTACCCCACCGGTCTGGTTGTCCGCACCATCATGGCCGTCTTCCCATCTTGCCGCATCTTCCGCGAAGCACCCGGCGGCGATGACGAAGATACCGACTTTACCAACATGGTTCTGTTCTGCAAGAAGAGCTCCAACACCCCGATTCAGTTCCGTGACCCCGTCCCAGCCGACTTCTTGCGCAGCAAGGCCCGTGAAAGCTATCTTGTTCCAGAGCACGAAATTGACCCTGCAATCTTTGCCCATTGGCCTAGGGGTGGCAGATCTCTTTTGTGGGCGAAGGAGGTCGGAAGATTGCACAAGTACCAGGACCGCAGTGCGCTCAAGCACTGGTCTATCATGCGGAAGGTCTTGCCTGATGCTGTGTGGGAGAACTGGTGAGTGTCGAAAAGGGACTTGGGTAAACTTCGGGAATCGAAGATTACTCTTGCTCTCTTCGAGGATTGTACGTTATCAAATAATAGCACATAGACTACAAAAAATAATTTGCGTTCTATTAAGAACAAGAATTGCCGGCCATGTATGCGCCTTTGTCATTCACGACCTAGAACTTCAATTAATTGATTTATGTGGCTGAAGATGTTTGAAAGGGTCGTTATATGGAAGATAGCGACTTGATGTGTATACCTATCTTTTAGGAACTTTCTTTTTCTACGAAGAATGACCATAAAGACTTTACAACAATAGCAACGCGGTAAAAGGTATCAACTGAACGGACGTTTTTTCTCTATGTATAACACTTGATTCAAACATTTTGGGGCTGTGCTTGATGGTCGTTTCTACAGAGAGCAAACCCACTTGTTTTGTCCTTCATGTTTTAGGAAAGACATGAAGAATAACAAATCACAGACTTCATATTGGTATCATTATCTAACACCTGCCGAAAGCTCATGGGAACTACCACCACGGCTAGAGTAACAGAGCAACTGCTCCCCCTCCACAGCCGAAGGTCTTCCAAGAGCTCTTTCATCTCCATATCAGATTGCCCAGCTCATCGCTAGGAGCGAGAGTTCCGGCCTCTGTATTATGTACGCACAAAGAACTAAAATACAGTGAGAAGAGAATGAATCAAGCCGAGGGGCTGCCACGGGGACTGGAGCCAGGTTTCTTGACGAGACCAGCGAAGAAATTTGCCAGGGCTTGGTTGTGTGCTTTCTCATCATTGCCGCCGGTGCCTGGATACGGGCTCTCTTTCTTTAGGCTTCGGCTAGCCTCACGGTCCTGGGGTAATTTTTAGCTATATCCTGGGTTGGGGAGGGTGATGACGTCGCGCGGGTCGGGTGCTTACCCGAAGCTTTTTCAACATATCATCGGCATCCACTTGGATTCCGCCCATGTTAAACTGTACAGGGCCGATGTGATCATTGACTTTGCCTTCGTCGGCCATGGGAGACATCTCCAGTTGGGGGGCTGGCTGGTTTGAATTCTCCTTTTCATCCTTGGCTTTGAGATCTTCCAGTTTCTCCACTTGGGCTGCGAAGAACTCTTGGAGATCAGTGGTCTCGATTTCGATCTTGGTCGTATTGCCGTGCGGGTTGGCTATGCCTCGTTTGGGATCATTGATTGTCTGTTCAAACATGGTAACCGCGCTTGTACCTTCTTCTGCTAGGCCGTTGTCGCTCGGCTGCTTGTCATCTGTTGGTTGATAGATCGGCTCGGGAGGGTCCTGGATCTCAATTGACCACGCTGTCGATACTCCCTCCATGTCAAATCCTTCCCGAATAATTCGGATCTTACCCCATGAATCCCAGTTGGCTGGCACCAGGATCTTGTCCCGGTCGATCACATTATGTTTTAATGATTCCCTTTTCAAAAGAGAGTGTATGCCCAGAGAAGAATGAATTAAGCCCTGAAGAGAGTTTGCAAGGAATGGGGTAGTATAGATGAGCGATGCGCCGTCTGTCTGGGGGTCAGAAAAGTGCCTAAAATGACCAAACACTGGGTAGTAAAGTCCTTACGCTTCAGGAGAATCGTTCTGAGGAACTGGAGCACGAAATCGAACTGTTCTTCATGCCATCCGTGATCTTTCTCCAATTTTTCGATCTTATCCGCCTGAAATATGGAGTAGGCAAGTCAGTCAAGGGTTATCGACAAATGATTTCGGGATGAGAGTTTACGTACTCCCTGGCAGACAACACACATTGGGATTCCGAGGCCCTCGTCCCATTCGCCGGGTCCTAGAGGTATCGTGACTGGACCGCTTGAGTTTGATATGCCGCCTGCAGCTGCAGAGCTGGGATCAATTCCCCTTTTGCGATCGCGCCACTCCGTCATGGTCTCTTCCATAACAAATTTAGTTTCATCGTCAAGCGAAACGAGAACAGATCGTAGAAGACGAGTCCATTCCCTCAGTCTTCGAACCCATGTCCATGGGTCTGACCAATCCATCAGGATGACAACCAGCGTTTCCGGGACAGACTTGGGGGTCAGGAGTGGTTTAAGGAGAGGTGCAAATGACGGAGAAGGCTCGGACAGGAGGTAGGCCGAGACGCGGGCCAGAGTATCTGCGCGAGAAGAGAATTAGCATATCTAAAGCTGGTGAAAGGGTGCATGTTCCATGTACCTTCTTTATCGGCATCGAGGACGTCTCGATATGTGTATCCAAGCGCAAACTGATTGGCGATTGGTGGTGTTTTCCCTTTACCTTTCCGCTTGTCGTTTGCTAAGCTAGGATCTGCAGACGTATCCGCGGAAAAAGTATCTAGGAATTCCCTTTGGCTGTCCGGCGTGCCACCTACCAAGCTATTAGCAACGTTGTCCAGGAAGTGCGAGACAGCACCAGAAATAAGGATGGGCAATACTGGAATGCCCAGAGGAGATCAGTACTAACCTAGCACTAGCAAGTTCTTTTCAGGCAAGCGCTTCCCGTTGGCAACAGTATCTAATAGGGAGGACCAAATGTTTTTCTTGGAGCCATCTTTGCTAGTTGGCCGACTGTTTGTTCCGGTCTTCGAACCGGGGTTCGGACTGGAAGACATCGTCTCTAGTCCCACCATGCCTCAAAGGGCATTCACCCTTCCAAATGTTTATCTCTTGCGAAGTACAGCGTTCAATATTGTGCGTGTGGAAATGTTGAGTGGAGGGGAGGGAGAAAGTTGAAGCAGCGCGGGTCAGGGGAATCCCGAGGGCGATCTGGTATAAAGTGTAGGTCCACGTGAAACACCTCTACTTCGCGAAAAGCTCGATCGCAATTCTCAAAAAAAGAGGGAGGTCTGTTTGATTCTGGCACGTCGTCGAGCAGGGGGCTAGTTGGGTAAAGGTGCGTAAACAATTGATTATTACGGTTCCGCGGGTCTCCACATTTCTTTCTCTCCAACTCCTGCACTTTGTGAACTTCATCTCTCCCACATTGTCCCCATGAATTCTATTCGCCAGGTTCAGGCACTCAATAAGCGCGAGCTTGAGCATGCGATGTATGTTGAACTCTGCTGGAGCTCCCGTAAAGCTCTTTCCCCCGCTGACAGTCTTACCTTCCTACAGACCCCCAGAGGCGTCATGGCATGCAGACTACCGCGACACAGCCTATATCTACATTGGAGGACTCCCATTTGACTTATCCGAAGGTGACATTGTCGCAATCTTCTCACAATATGGAGAACCGGTGCATGTCAATCTAGTCCGCGACAAGGAAACAGGTAAGAGCAAGGGATTTGCCTTTCTGAAATACGAGGACCAGCGCAGCACAGATCTTGCCGTGGATAACCTCGGTGGTGCAACTGTTATGGGCCGTCTGCTTCGGGTGGATCATGCGCGCTACAAGCGGAAGGATGATGAGGAGGACCAGGACAATGTTGCCAAATTGATGGGAGATCCGGTTATCACCGAGAGCAAAGGCAAGGAACACGACCGGAGAAAGGGAACTGAAATTGAAGACCGACGGCCGATACTGAAGGAGGAGAAAGAGCTAGAAGAATTGATTCGGAACCACGACGAGGAAGATCCGATGAAGGAATTCCTTATCGAGGAGAAGAAAGAAGAGGTTGCCACTGCGATCCGGTTGTGGAATAGCACTAAGAAGTCGTCGAGGCGACGGGACGACAGCAGAGAACGGTCAAGCCGGCACCACCGCCGACACCGTTCCCGCTCTCCTCGCGAGCGAAGACATCGAGATGATCGTTCTCCAGATAGGGAAAGGCGATCTCGCTACAGGTCATCGGAAAGAGCAGAAAGATCCAGAAGGGACCGGTCGCCAAGGAAATCGCGCTCGCCCGAGTCCCGAAGACACCGAAGTGATCGGGATAGACATGATCGCCGCCATTGAGGGATATACGAAATATCATAAAGTCTTCCAAAGTTAACTACGGGGCTAGACGATTTTCTTTCTTGCCATGATTCTCCTCTTGCAACTTGGGTCACTCTGGCCAAAGAGTGTCTCCCAGTCCAGAAAGCGATACAATATTCGAGCTTGATACTGCCAATGAGCTGCGAGCTGCGTGCTGCGGACAAGGTGTTCGTTACTTGGTGTGCGATATACTACCACCCTTGTTGTGAAAGCCTAGGAATTGTCTTCTATCAACTCCCAAGATATCTCTTCCAGCCATCCCGGAGACAATATCTCTTTCCTTCCCCGCCATCTCGAATCACAAATTTCTCCCAACGTCCTTCTTTTCCAGACCCGATTACCAATAGAGTCTGGTCATCGCACCAGCCTATGAGGCCTTTATGAGGCCGGCCAAATGAGGGCCCGATTGGTGGCACATGCGGCGAGCTCAAGTTGGCTTGCTCACCAATCTCAAAATGGGCGTTGGCAAATGAATAAACGTCTGAGAAGACACGAGGAAGCAGGGGAATCTTGCCAAGGATTCCCCATTTGTGACTAGGAGGTGTTTCCTCGGATGCCGATGATGGTGACTGACTGCGACGAGCGGCGGGTTGCTGATGGGGGATGTCAAAGATGTGGAGAGTCGATTTGTCAGACGTTACTGCCAACAAAGTATTGGACGGCGAAAAGGAAATTGAGAATACCACAGCATGGTCAACGCCACGTCGCAGTTCGGCCAGCTTTGTACAATTCCCTGTAGCGAATATACGAACCAAAGTCCCCTTGTACAGATGTCAACAATCCACTAATAGATGATCACAACGTAAGAAAACTCACGGACTCACTCGCAGTTGCGAGCAATTTCCCATTTGGACTCAGGGCCATAGCACGCAACGGTGTGCTATGTGCGGGTATGATACTGATATTGCCGGTCTCCAGCTCTATCATTTGGACCTGGCCTGGAGACCGACCAGGGAATGCCAGCACCTTTTGATCCAGACAGGCCAGTCCCAAAGGGTTGTCGGAGGTCTCGAAGACTGATAACTTCTGCGGGGGGTTGGAAAATGCAAATACATGGACGCTGTTCAATAGAACGGCGACAATCTTTGATTTGGAGAGACGGACACCGAGGACGGAAGTACGGAACTCAAGCGTGATGGCCGCTTTTTGTTTAGCATCGTCCCATATAACCAACTAAAGGTGTCCGTGAGCTCAGATGCCCCTGGATTGTTATGGGAATGATTGCTTACCTTGTTCTGTGGAAACTTCGGGTTTTTTCCACCACCAACAATAGCTAAGTAGTTTGACTGGCCAAGCATTTCCGCTATCCCGATGCCTGCGTTGAAATCTGAAGTGCAGATAAGACAGTTAGGTTAGATTCTTTTATATTTGGATCATTCTTGACTTTGAGAATTAATTCTTTACCTCTCAGGACCTTGAGCTCGCAAGGGTTGGCATTATATACTGTTCAGTCGTTTTATCAGCCAGGGCTCCATAGTTCATGATATAAGCTAGCTTCCAAGGTCCTGCTGACAGCTGATTCAAGGCTTTCTTACCACAAAATCCCGTATCCAAGCCCACTGAGAAGCAACTGTTATCATGATTAAATGTTGCCGAGAGTGAATATGGTCCGATGGACTCATCGATAGATTGACGGGTATTCATTGCTTTATGTCAACGAAGCATAGTTGAATAGAATTTGGCGAAGTAGATCAATGTGGATAGACTCTGTCTATTCAAGCCCTCCAGCCCTAATAAATATTTGGTCTTCACGATCGTTTCAGGTTCAAATGCTTCCAAATGCCTTCACTGGATGTCTTCCCCGAGCTTAATCGATAAGAGCAATGCGGGCAAGATCCACATTGACACCTCAGGCCGTAGATTATATAATCATACGGTTGCCAGCAGCGACCCACTTTGATCAACCCCTGAGTTGTTGATGCCAGCTGGGTATAGAGGCAATATTAGGGAAATAGGGGAAATACTGAGTGTGATAATTGACAACTTACTCAATGGTGTTTTGTTTTTTTCTGCATCCACTTATTGTGACTGATCAAGACCTCGAGAGCTTTGTAGAAGTAAAAAAGTAGCAGACTGGAGAAGAAGAGCTGTCCCGTGATTGGCCTATTTGGGAAAGGGGGAAACACGAACTGTCTTTCCCCCCTACTCTCTCCAGACTCTCAGGAGAGCCAAGTTTCACACCATTCTTCCTCGTTATTAATTCCTTGCTTTGGACTTCTTTCTCCGGACACTTCTTTAATCTTCCTTTAGTTCACAATGTCGTCAGCACTCAACGCGGTATGTGCATTCCCCTTTTAATTCGGAGCTTCCCGCTTTCTTGAAAAGTTTCCCAAGCTAATTGCAGGCCCGTACTCATTTCGGGTAGATCAAGATCCGTCGCAAGAAGAATGTCAAGAAGGGAATTCAGTTCTGTTTGATGGTCTGCGGCGCCAGTGGAACAGGTATGGTCGAGACGAATTACTCGAATTCCAGCGACTAACAGGATCTCCTTTCTGCGACAGGCCGCACCACTTTCGTCAACACTCTCTGCGGCAAGCAGGTTCTGGAAGGCAAGGATGCCGATGATGCCGCCAATGCCCACCTCGAGGAGGGTGTCCGCATCAAGCCCGTGACTGTCGGTCAGTTGAAACCGCCCCCGCGCGCGGCGCTTGTACCAAGCTATTAATACTGACACTGGGATTCCAGAGCTCGAGTTGGACGAGGAGGGAACCCGCATTTCCCTGACCATCGTCGATACCCCCGGGTTTGGTGACCAGATTGACAACGAGGCCAGGCACGTACACACAGATACTCCACGACTGTTCATGGACTGACTTCTCGGGTAGCTTCGGTGAGATTGTCGGTTATCTTGAGCGCCAATACGATGATATTCTTGCAGAGGAGTCGCGAATTAAGCGTAACCCTCGATTCAGGGATAACCGAGTGCACGTGCTGCTCTACTTCATCACACCCACTGGCCATGGTCTGCGTGAACTCGATATCGAATTGATGAAGCGCCTTTCTCCCCGTGTTAACGTCATTCCCGTCATTGGAAAGGCCGACTCGCTCACTCCCGCCGAATTGGCCGAGTCCAAGAAGCTGATCATGGAGGACATTGAACACTACCGCATTCCCGTCTACAACTTCCCTTACGACATTGAGGAGGATGATGAGGACACTGTGGAGGAGAACGCCGAGCTCCGTGGATTGATGCCCTTTGCTATTGTTGGCTCGGAAGACTTCGTTGAGATTGACAACCGGAAAGTGCGCGCGCGCCAATACCCATGGGGTGTCGTCGAGGTTGAGAACCCTCGTCACTCTGACTTCCTGGCGATCCGTAGCGCTCTGCTCCACAGCCACTTGGCTGATTTGAAGGAGATCACTCACGACTTCCTCTATGAGAACTACCGTACCGAGAAACTCAGCAAGAGCGTCGATGGTGGCTCTGGGTATGTCTTTCCTGAAACTACAAATGGATACAATCTTTATGCTAACATATGGATGAACAGTGGCTATGATTCTGCTATGAACCCCGAGGATCTTGCCAACCAGTCTGTCCGCCTCAAGGAGGAGCAGCTCCGCCGCGAGGAGGAGAAGCTGCGCGAGATTGAGATCAAGGTACAGCGTGAGATTGCCGAGAAGCGACAGGAGCTGTTGGCCCGGGAGAGCCAGCTCCGAGAGATTGAGGCTCGCATGCAGCGCGAGCAGCAAAGCCAGGGCAATATGGGCGAAGCAGCCAACGGAGAGGCCTAGATATACCCTGTCGACGGTGCAGCTCATTCAACGGGGCGCCGATTCGCAATGTGATACCGTTTGTGCCAATGGACTTTTATGGCACCAACAAGTTGGCTTTTGTTTATGGGATAATATTGACTGTTTATTCACGTTAATAGCTTTTTTCTTCTTTTCTTACCTTTGCGAGGATGGGTCACCTCAACATAGATTACGGCGCTCCGGTCCCGAATTGTGGGTGCAATTCTTCTCATTTTCAATGGGAGACTGAACTGTTCTTATCAGTTTCTGGTTCCATCGATATACTTCTCTCGCGTTCAATCCGGTGACTGCCTCCGTTTCAGCACATGTTTTCGCCGTGTCCAGGTCATCCTGTCTCTTTTCCTTTTCATCACATCCCAGTTGCCACCGAGACATGTTGCTGTATCATTTCTATTTCCTCCTCTTCTCTGCTTCCTCTCCTGTTCTTGTCCAAAGTCCGCAGCGCAGCAATATTCCCTCTTCCCTTGTTTTTTTTTTTGCGTTCGTGGCTCCTGTCTGTTCATTATCTATCCTTTCTCCTCGCCTGTCTTCCTAGCCCCCGATAGTAATTGAGGAAGAAAAAGTACCTAACTCGCTCCCTTACTTGTGTCATTTTTCGGGGCTCTGCTACTGTAGTCGATTCCTGAGTATTATTTGTAGCAGCGTGAGGACAGTGCAAAACGACCATGAAAGATAATCGAATATCCATGATTGGATTTAACCACATTAACAAACTAGGCTTAAATCTACTGCAATCCCCATCTGAAATGTAATTGCCTTTCACTTCAATGAGATTGCTAAGTATAATAGGCAAAGATGCCTCGAACTCAAAACGATACAGGTAGAACGAAAATGTCTCGAGAATATGGCAATGCCGAAGGAGACACACCCATCGGGAGATAGAAAGAGCTAAAGAAGAAGGGTAAAAATTTTTCAAAAGAAGAGAAAGGACCAAATGCAGTCAACAAAAAGTAGAAGAGGAAGAAAAAACAAGCAAAAAGCAAGAAAGCAGACACGCAAGAAGTGGTATTTGCGCTCCATTGTACATTGCGTAGAAAAGACGGGAAAACCCCCCGATTTATTGTAATTGGTATCGAGGAAGGGGAGGGACTGGTGTTTGCGAAGTAGATGCGGGTGATCGGCTGAAATGTTGTAGACACAACACAGTACATACAGTCACGACCTTGCGAGTGTGCTGGGATGACACATACAGTAAATGGCGCATGTGAATGAGAACTTCTCAAGAG